CCAAAAATCGCGTACACATGACAAATGTTTGTTTAGTTTTTTTTTGTTTTTTTTTAAATGATGAGTATCCATACTTTACAATCTATTACTAGGTGATTATCAATCTATGTCTTAAAGTTTCCAAAGATGATAGCCTCCGATTAATCAAAAATTCACTTAGGTGGTTCATATAGAACAAAGAGCAGCAGTTGTCCACTTGTTACATTACATTAATTGGATTCAATAGCCCACGATGATCTATCCATCTTTTTTTTTTTTTTTTTTTTGATCATGTAAACATATCTGGGGCCCTAATCAAGGTTATTTTTTTTATTGAGTCGAGTTCAAATCCATCAAACCATAGGGTAGAACAGATGGGACCAAAGTCAAAATTAATAAATGAATGAATGTAGGCCGTAAACGTTAAAGTGATGTTCAGTCGATTCGAATGATAAATTTTTGTTTTATGATGATGATGACCGATTATGATCGTGGCTCATCTTCATCGTTAACTGGTGGGCAAAATAGTAGGCATCTTTATTTTTTTTTTATTACTGAATGTTACTTGTTCTATGAATTCATAATAACACGAATCATTTATTTGTACAAAAAGCATTTCAAGTGAGCAGTTTTGAATGTATGCCAAACATCAACCGATCATAGTGGCTACTACTATCGATCCACGATTCATTCATTCATTTATTCGTCCATACAAATCGTGTCTATATGTATGCGTGCCCTATTGTCTTAGCATCATAATGTATGTTGTGCTTGTTTTGATTCAATCGAGGATACTCATATATGCAATACCGGATTGATCTGGGACACTGTTTTTTTTTCTTATTGTGTATCGGCTGTTTGTTGGTCAGGTTGGATGTAATCGATAGCTTTTACCTATGATAACGGTGCCATCGATAGATGCAATGCATGGGTTGTTTGATTGATTGATTTGATTGTAGCTTTCGGTCATTCAATATGTTTGGTGAATTGTTGTTATTTCCGTTTATTTTTTTTGTATTATTATCAATTGTATTATCGATAAAATCAATCAATCAATATCAATAACATTGTGATCGATTTGAATTGATTTCAAATCGAATAGATTATTTTATTACTGATAAATGTCACAGATGACATGAATGACAAGCCAAACGAATCTATTTTCGTATTGAAAAATTTTTTTTCATATCAATCGATTGATGTGAACATCTTCATTAACATTGTAACATTTATTCTTAGCATTTAAAAAAAACAGTTGAGTTACATTTAGTGAATAAAATTCTAAACGATTTGTTGAGATGTTGTCCATCTATAAAGAGAGATAGATAGGCTTGTCACACAATATAATGAATGAACATGTTAATTGTCTTGTTTGATTTGTTCACATAGAAAAAAAAAGAAACGAGGCCAAACAAAAAATAAACCAGAATCATTAACCAACATGTAAACAAACCGATTCATTAATTTGAACCGAACAATTCCATACAAATTTTTTTTTTATAAATGTTATGGAAAACGATTATTTACATGACAACCCTCTCTTTCCTTTATCCACCTTACAGCAGATACTATTAATCTTTATCATCACAACCATATGAGATGTGTATATTCAGTTTTCTCATTAGCTTCTGTGAATCAATGATGGAATAAATGAATGAATGAATTGAGAGTTTGTTGTACTCAATGTGAAAACGGAATTACAGCTGCTGTTATATATAAAACAGATGATGATTATGACTCATTAGATGATTCAGTAAATCATTATTACTAAACATATCTATAGTTGTAATCTACATCCGTACGATTATCTAATCCAATCTGATTTAATCTAGAATCTAATGAAAAAAAAAATCTACTTATTGAAGGAAAAAGTACAGATTCTTAGATATAAAAAAAAGTCATGAACCCACACAAAGCTAAATTAGAGAGTAAGCAAAGAGAGAGAGAGAGAGAGACACGATTTTAGAAATTATTGGTCACTTTTTCCTAATGGTTGTGGTTCCCTATTTCCATGATACGATTCGAATCGATAATCCACAGAGCATCCATGATCATTTCAACTATAATTAGTGATTATGATGGTCATATATAATATAATATACACAGCTGATCAGAATAGAAAGAGTGAGATCAAAATCTGAAATGAACCAAAGAAAAAAAAACGAATCGATGGACATTTGAACAAAATTATAGTATGAATGAATATAAAGCCAACAAGTGTATAGTTTATGAACATTTCTGTTGTGTATTGGGAGCTAAATTGACCTAAGTGAATTTATGAAATTCACATGTTCACATTCAACCGATGATGATGATCATAACTAAACATCACGATCCAATCATCAACCACTCTTAGCTAACAAATCTATGTCAATTACTCCCCTCACAAACACACACACACACACACATACACAAACAAGACTTTGGATATCTTTACCTGATCAATCGAGACTGCTATTGCGATTTACCTAACCAATGTTCCTTATATTTGTAATGTTTTTCTTTCCAATATTCTTAACATTATACTTGACCACACATTTATAGACTTTATTCATTCATTGATTATGTCGATTTTCTGGTTTTCGAATTTCCGGTGAATATATATATATATATATATATATATGAATGGCCTAACCAATAGCTATAAAGTTATGCAATATTAGAATGATGTCTGCCAATGGGGATTTTTTTTTTTTTTTTTGTTTTGTTGTTTGTTGTTTGTTAGCTTGTTAGTTCGTGCCATACAGCTTTAGAATAGCTATATCATCAGAAACATGTAATAACATAGCCACCGATATATATGATGAACAGAAAGTCATTCATTTGATCATCTTGGGATTTAAGTGTGATAAAAACTCGTGTCTTATTCTTTTTCCCTCTTATATTGCTATCCCTCTTTTCAGTTTGTCGATTTCGGTATTCACCATAAAACCAGAGAGAAAGAGAGATTCAATTGAACAGAATGCTATATTTATACACAACCCAACTAAACCATCGTTTGATATGAGCATGTATGGGTCTCTATCATGTGTAGGACATGACACAGGATGAAAAAAAAAATAAAAACGATCAATCGATGATGATGATGATGATGTTGATGATGGTAAATGTGGATGGTCGATCCATTCATTCAATTTTTATTTCGAAAATATGATGATGATAAACAGAATATGCTATGTTTTACTGTACTAGAAAGAGGATATGGATGCTTTAGTAGTCATATGTAGAAAGAGAGAGAGAGAGAGAGAGAGAGAGAGAAAAAAGAAATGAGAATCGCTTCTCGATTCATAGACAATACACATAGACCGATTTGTCCGCATTTAATCATATAAACATATGTGTATATACTACAAACACAACATATCAATGCAGCAGCTGAATGGTGAAAAAAAAGAGAGAGAGAGAGAAAAAAAAAACAACCGACCATTCAACCAAACATACCAATGTTGATGTTTTCGGGCGAGAAATTGAGAACGAACATTGAACATTGAACATGGACAACAACAACAACAACAACATCATCATCATCATCGTCATTCTCAACGAAAAGAAAAAAAAATCGTGCTGCACGACATGGAAAATGTTTACGCGCGCGGACATCATCCATCCAAACATCGGACATTCAATGACGACGGATTGATCAGGATGCTGATGATGATGATGATGATGATGAAGCAAGAATACAAAAAAAATTTAGATGAAGATTATGTTGATAAAGCTAAAAAACAAAACAAAACAAAACAAAAATTATTGTCCAGAATGAAATGTGAATTACCACACAACAATCAACATAACGATGTTGATTGATGTTTTAGTTTGGTAATAAATCGAATCCTAAAAGGAATCATTATCTAGTTGAACATAAAAAAAAAATTTTAACCAAATTTTCAAATTAGAAATTCTGAAAAATATTTTCTGCAATGAATCAATTTTAAATTTACCAAAAAATTTTTTTGGACCAATATCAAATCCAACTGGTAATAATTTATTTGTTGAATGATTAAAAGGGCCCTATGACATACTATATCACGGGTGGACAATATTTTTCAAACGGTGATAGAAACGCCTCTCTCTTTCTCTCTCTCTCTCTCTCTCTCTGTCTCACTTTTTCTGATCGATAGACAAACAGACACACAATAATAATACATATACATACAGAATGCATAATACACAAACACACAAAGCATACAAACAGAGATAGCAACAGCCAAATTGATGGATGAGAAAAGAGTATACATTGGACTAAACAGCATACATTGGCCGCCAGTTGATCATTGATATTACAAGTGTTCGGACGTGTATAATATTGTTGCAGCTGCTTCCATATTTTGAGTTTTTTTTTTCATGAAAAAAAAATTGACTTTCGCTTCAAATAAAATCAAATTCTTGTGCTTGTTACTTTATAATGTTTTTCGTTTTATATAAATGTGTCTGATCTCAAGTGATTGTTTGTATCCAACAATGGTAATCAATGATTATGTGAAACCGACATTTAAATAAAATCATATATCCATCCATATAATAATAAAAATCGTCTAATGTCCGTTATAAATTGTTGTTATTTATTAATTGATTTCCAGTGTATGTTATTTTGTTTGTTTCCATCGATTGGTCGGTTGATTTGTTAGTTCGCCCCTCTATGAGCTCTGTTGCCATAGACATCTCATTTTACTTTGATCCATAACATAATGATGACATTTTTTTATTATTTTGTTTAATTTCATTGTATGTTAATTGGTGAAATTCCACAACAAACACACACACACACACACATACACAAATACACACGGACATGTTAGATAGCATAAACACAGTGACATAGGGACATGGTTGCCATCCATACGATCATATAACATCCGTTATTCATTGTATTATTCAGTGAATGTGTGTGTGTGTGTGTGTGTGTGTGTGTGTATGTGAAACGAACCGCGAACAATCGTATTGTAGCTACCTGAATTTTTTTTTTTTTTTTTAAAAAAACCATCACGTACGTACGACGGATTGTCAAAAAAAAAAAAAAAACGCCAAACGGTTTTGCCAAAACAAAACCAAACAAAACAAAAAAATCAACTTTATCATTATTTGTTTGTCCATCATATTTGATGGGCGTATGTGATCTCCATTCCCTCAAACAAATCAATCGATGACTAGTCGACTAAATTATAAATTAATAAATGACCAAATTATTCGAATAATGGATCTATTGGAATGTTATATGATCAATTCTATTCAGGTATGTGTGAAAAGTTTTTTTTTTACTTGATTTTACCAGCTTGGTTTGATTCAATTTTTATCCTATTTGTCAATTAAATTTTATTAGGTGTTTTTTTTAGGTGTGTTATCAAAAAAAAAAAAAAATAATAATAATAATAATAGATAATGTGTCTCATTTTTATTAATTATGTATGGGGGATATCAATAGACAATTGTAAATTATCCCATTTTTTCTTCTTTTTTTTTGATGACAATCAAGGATATAGAGATTGGATCATTATAATACCTTGCTTGCGTAAAAATACACCATTGAAATACAAAATTAATCCCCCCCAAAAAAAAATCTTTGTCATTTTTTTTTTTTTGCTGCTGTTGATAACATTCATTCATTGATAGCAATAACCAGTATTATTGACAATTGATCCAAATAAATTTGCACAAGGACATTTTTTTTTTACTATACAAGTATTAACCAATATAATCAATAGGAACAAAAAAAAAACACATAAAAACCATATATACAATACTTTAAGTATAAATCAATCAATCAATCAATAATATAAAAGGTAATATATAATGACAATAATGTGGTAATCATTTAAAAAATGATCACCATTAATTTGAGGATTATATAAAAAACAGTCACACACACACACACACAAAAATCGATTGTCTGTTTGATTGTTGGTTGTGTATGCATTATTGAAAGTGATATCATTTAGCAAAAAAAAAAAAAACTACCACGGTGGTCTTATTATTATTGTCCCATTGAAAATTAAATCAGTCAGTTTTAATATACCCCATTCACATTGACGTTGTTCACCATTTGAATATCACAAAAATTGTACGTGAAAGAGAAAAAAAAACTAAATTCAATTCAATGAATATTTCTTTATACATGTGTGTGTGTGTGTGTGTGGGAGATATCAATAAATATGTCCTATCTTATTTTGTTTTTTGTTTTGTTTTTTTTTGGTCACATTGTGTGGCCCTTTCCATCCAAGATTAAATTCTTGATTCAATAATGTTTTGATGGTCAAGTTGTGTACTAAGTTCTACTATGATCAGCCTGTTTGTAATTCATTTGAATTACTCATCATCATCATCATCATCATCGTTGATATAGACGAGACAGTACTACTCATACAAAAATTTATATTGAATTGATGATGAGGATCTGATTGTCGATGTATTTCGCGATTGAGCTCAAGATCGTGACATAAGACTGATGGCAATTTTCTAAGCATCTTATATATAAGAGCAGGTAACAACCGTCCATCATCAGTTGATCGGTCATTCTTTCATTCTAGTGAATGTAGTACGTTGTATTATATTATCTATTGTGTGATGATCACTCATCACTGGTGATGACGATGAACCTTTGGATCGATCATTAAAAAAAAAAATTTCTTTATATTGGCCACAATCAATCTAACTTTTCAATTAATATATTTCCATTAAAATCATAGCTTTTTTTACATTAAATGTACTGGATCTTTTATTTGATTCAATCAGATTGATTGAAATAAAGAAACAACAATACAAAGATTGATCAATGAGCAATAATTCTTGGTTGAATTCTTTGTTGACTGTTATTTTTTTTCTCATTGATCCAACAAAAATATTGATTCATGAATCAGACACACCTTTTTAGATTAGCCAGAATGTCATTTATTCGATTGACGATTAAAAATATGGCCATGAACATATATATGCTCATAACAATCAAAATATTTCTAGGGCGATAACCAGAATTCTGAAACTAAGGGTGTATCCTTAAAACGATCCAATATGGTGAATTTTCATAATAATAATAATAATAATATTTTTGGATGAATAGACTTTTTTTTCATTTTTGATCAATTTGAACGATGTGAGAATGCCGGATATAGACAAAATCATCGATTTACACACACACACACACACACACACACACACATACACAGGTCAGTTGGTCTGATTGACCATCGTAACGTGACTGAAACAAATGAGAATTGAGTAGAGAAAAAATGATGGGGGAAAATAAACAAAGATAATAATGTATCCCCCAATAAGATGATGGAGATCACAATAGCAGGCAGCAAATGATGAGCAATGTTCATGATTCCATATACATTTGATGTATGCATGCATTCATTGATCGGGAAAAAGAGCTGGAAACAAAAAAAAAATCGTGACCAGCTGTCTGATCTATCACTCGTGTGCTTGTTTTTTAAGTTAGATCTTTACCTGACTCTGTAAGCACGAGAAAGCGATTATGATCGCCATGAGCACACATCATGGAACCTATCTTACTTGCTATATCTGATATGACGCTGCTTCTTATGCCGGTGATTTTCTTGTACATTTTACTGTCTTCTATACAGACATATTGATATGCACCGAGTTCGTCAATCTAACGATCAAATCGTGCACAACCGTTTTGTTGTTTTTTTTTCACCAAATTCCACAATCCAAAACACTGAAAACACCAGTTTATTCATTTAAGTTGGTCATTCATTCAATGAAAATCAAATGGCCAAGTTAATTAACCTTATGACAACAACAAACAACAACAACAACAATAATAATAATAATAATCTAGCCATTCGGATGCTGTGCACAAATTTCTTGTGCAAATTCGTAATGTCCAAAATACAACTACAAATTACCGCTAGTGACTGATTCTCATAGTTTGAGTTTAAAAGAAAAATACGATCATTGGCCCTATCTATAGAGTTGACAGTGTGATGGTGTAAGCTAAATTGGTTATACTGAAAAAAAATGTTCAGTAGTCAATTTGAATTAGATGAATGATTCTATGGATGGTTTAGACAAGCAAACAAATTATCTTTTAGACAGATATTTATTCTTATTCGGATTGTTTCTTTTGTTGTTGTTTTTATTCATTGATGATCTCATGTTTGTGATAATCTTGGCTAGTTTGGCCATCACATAAAACATAAAACTCCCCCTCAAAAAAAACGGTAGTAAATATATATATGGAGAAAGTGTACAGATTATGATGACAACTTACAATTCCAGCTACATAGATTGAGTAAACCTATTTCTTTTTCTTTACTTTGATTAATGCTGTTTGTGTGCACTACCAATCAACATTATATATAAAATGGCCATTATCAGTCAAGTGACTCCCAATCTTGACACATACAAACAGGAAAAAAAAATTCGACCCTTCTCTATAACTAATAGATATAACGCATGTTTGATCACTAATTAATGACTTAGTCTGTCCATCTGTCTGGCTGCCTTACCTGTCGGTGAGATTGAACAGCAAATTAATTGATTGCCCCATTGAGCTTCTGGTGATGCGCTGTTTCTGTTGCTGTTGTTTGAAGATACCCCCTGGACAACGATGATCACGACGACCTTAAAATATAAAAATCAATCCATCATTCTTCATTGCTATTCTTGTACAATGTTCATGTACAACAAATGAATAAGAAAGACACTTGGTCTAAACTTTGTTCCGTAATTCAATTGGTAGCCAGGTACAAAAATAACAATTGGCCATTAAGGACCTTCTGTTGACACTTGTATGAACGAACGGATTGCCTAGGATAATATCAATCAAGAACGTACTATAGATGACAACTTATATATATCAGCGATAGATCAACATTTATTAGAATGACTAGCAACAATTCGTTGCTAGCCAATAGCAACCATGACTTTTATATCGATCACTCGATCAATGAATGTATTGGCATCGATCGATGAATTGATGGCCAACAATAAAAACGACCGTGTATTCATCATCTATTCAGCATCATCATCATGCAATCGATAGGCGGTAAATAAATGGTCCATTGTTCTCGGCTCCATTTTTTGCTCTGTCGCCATCATTATCTTCGATATCGGTATGATCAAATGGCATATTGCTTATCTAATGTTATTGGCAAAAAAAAAACATTTATTCATTCAGAACTCGATTGGCTTTCATCCACCAATCGATGATGATGATGATGATGATGATGACAAACAAATTCGGCCACTAGGGACTGGTAAATGGTTTCCGTCATTTTACCACATTTAATCAATGACAACGACCAGATAGGAATGTTTTTATTTTCTATCCAAGATATCAAATTGAAAGGTTGGCCAGGCGACAGCTTCATCATAATCAACACACACACACACATATTCATTGATTAAATAGCAAAAAGACGGTGCCACTTTATTCAATTTAACAAGCAAATTTTTAGAATAAATGAATGTATCAATGTATGTGTGTTTGTGTCTGTGTTGTGTGTGTGTGTGTGTATGTGAAAGAAAGATCATTATCACTGACCATTTTATTTTTTAATGACTCCGAGGCCGAAGGTCCAAGGTCCAAACGTTTTTTTTTTTTTTTTTTTTTTGATGTCCACTTATATTATTGGAAAGTAAATAGCTCATTTATGGCTGACTAAATAAACGAACAAGCCCATTTGATTCACTGGCAGTAAATTATTGATTTAACCTATGACCTTTATTAAATTGAGAATAGATTGAGTTGATATTGCCTGTGTGTGTGTGTGTGTGTGTGTGTGTGTTTTTGATGAAAAATTCGTAGCTTAATGCATGTACGTGATGAACATCTCAAAGAAGTGTCATTCATACACCTTGTGTAATACACACTTTTACCATTTATTTACTTTTTTTCATCATTTCGTTTTGTGTGTGTAGGATGATGTTATATCATTGCTTGCAATCGAAATAGAAATCAAGTGTTGGCCATTAAAAATGGTGTCATATATGTTAAGTGCTGTCCATCATGAAATGGTTGCACCCTTCATTCCAAAGATTCCTTAACCTTAGATTGTTGAATAGATTCTAAATGAATCAATGGAAATTTGATCAATAGAAAAAAAATTCCTATGTCCGATCGGTCAACAATTTTTTTTTTTGAATCGCTCCAAATCTGACAAGTGGCTCTAATAAATTGAATACTGACTTACTCTATTTGATGTCCGGCAAGACAAGATCGATTAGTCTGTAAGTAGAGCATCCATCCATCCATCGACATGATGACAATGGACAATTGTCGATTCACATGATGATGATGGCGCCCCCAAATAGACATAGATAGCCATTATCTACACTAATATACACACACATAGTGATCACGTTCATATTAAATCAGGCTACTGTAGTATATCTTTGCTTGTCCATATCACGACATTTGCCTATCAACCATTGCACTTGTGGATGATGACAAATTCAATTCAATGTCCAATGTCCAACTTTCACAATAATCTGTATTGCTTCCAGAATAGTGTGATCATTATGACGATGCTTATTATGGTCAAAGCTTTATCGACCGACTTTTCTTTGCTTGGCCAATAGAAAGGGTTTCCATTTCATGCATATTTCATAAAACAGTCATCATGTTTGATGGAAATGGCCGATACCATGCGAAAATGGCCGGCCAATTTGATAACCGATGCACTATATCTGGCCTCATTCTTAATTCTATTGTATTCGATGCAATTATATGCAAGGACCATTCATGATTGATTGTCCTAAAAATACGATTTCCGGTAAGATGGGCTGTTTTGGACAAAAATTCAATTCAATCAATTGAATTTTGGCAATTTTTCGCAACAATTTTTCACCGCTATAGCCAAGTTAATGATAAAGATGAGTGGTCATCATGATAATGGCTTTGATGACAACATGTTGCGTGCAAGATTGAATCGAATACAGCCATAGTAATTGTCGAAGATGAAGGTGATCGATCAATAGCACGGACTTGCTTTCGTGTGTTGAGGCCATATATTTTGGTTGATAGAGCCGGCAATGCAATCGAATGATAATCAAGTGAATCCTATTTTCAAATGACGGTCATTATGGTCATTATATCGATGATGATGATGGTGATGATGATGATGATATTCATAGTGATGTTCGCAACAATCGGACACGAGACATCACCATCATTATCTGGTAATAAGTGATGGCACCAAGGTGTAATCTTGTCACACAACAGCCGTAATCAAAATCAAATTCTTTAACCTCGATTTTCTGTATTTTCCAATAAGATTGCCTACACCAATTATTATCACCATAATATGAACAAATTTCATTTGATTAAACTAACAATGTATTTATTTATTTTGACTTTGTAGTTGTTGAAATGTTCCAGAACGTTACCCTATAAAATGAAAATATCTACAAAAAAAACATTTTCAACTCTGACCTTTTGTAGCAGATCATGGCTCAGCATTTTGATGGTCATGTTGATAATTCTTCAGCCTATTTGCTGTTCTCATCAATCCATACATTTAGATCCATCTGGTAACTATCATGGACTTATTATTGGTTTTGGCAATAACTTTCAATCATTCGAACGACCAAATATTAACACGACAATCGTGTCAATTATGGTAAGCATCATGAATCATTGTGTTTAACATTGATTTAGCAACCTTATATTTTATTGTATATTGTATTGTTTACTATGAAACAGAATCAATTGCAACGAACATCGTCTATATTGAAGGAACTAATGTCAGTTCAAATAGCTGATGTAACTATCATTCTGCCCGAAAAATGGCATATTGATGTGAATCAATTACAACAATCGACATCCATGCAGTTTGATGTACGAGAATCTAGAGCTCAATATCGATCACTAGCCGATGCCGATATTTTATATACAAGTAAGTCTTTATCATTCATTCACTATTGAACCATTTGGATACATTATAATTCTCGTTGTAGATGATGATAAAAATCAGATATTGACCATGCAATATGGGGATTGTGGTGAAGGTGGTATGGCCATCAATTTTCCAATGCAATATGTATCGGATGAATATTCAGCTCGTTTACTGGCCCATCAATGGCTTTTATATAGATATGGCGTATTCAATGAATTCGGCCTTGAAGATGATTACAATTATCCAGTATACTTTGCTGCTCCAGACGGTGGAATACGTCATGATGTACGGCCACATATCAATTCTTGTTTTCAGGGTTCGAATGCCCAGTTCAAATATTCCAATAACTGTAATAATGCCACCGATCCAAACACTGGTCGACCAATCAATCCAAATTGTGATGTGATACCGGCCAAGAATACAATTCAATCCTCGTTTATGTATGCCCCGATTGCTGTATCCGAATATCGGCTTTGTAATTCTAGTACACACGATTATCAATCGCCAACCAAGCACAATGTCCTATGTGATTACCAATCCATCCAGGATGTCATTGTAAAACATGCCGATTTCGAACGGTAAACATCTCTTATTTTGGTGTTTAATTGTTTCATTAACCTAAAATGATTTGATTCTAGATTTAAACCCAACTTTAATGGCCAAAACACTGATTTGAATGCATCAACCCCGTTGATTAGATTCCAGATCCTACAAAACCAAAATTTACTACATGATGAACATTCGATTAAAGCTAATGTTCTATACGCTTTGCCTAAAAATGGATCAAAATTTCTGGAAGCCTCAATGGATATGATCAAAAAGATGGGCATACAAGGCTTTTTTCCACATCAGGCATTATTTGCTTTGTACGATGAAAATCAATTACAAGTTGTTCCTGGTTGGCGTCCATCATCACAATTGTCTATGATCTATTTCGATGATGATCATAATGAACGTAGAATAAAACTAAGACAAATTTTCGAACAAATGTCCAGACAATTCGACAATGTACCTGGAGCTGGAACCTGTGTATTTTTCTATTCGGGCGACATGCTTATGGAAAACACTGATATCGATTACATAGAATCGTTGGCTGATTTGTTGAACAAGAAAAATCTTCGACTACAAGTTATTCTTTACGATCGTCCACCAAGCAATGAAGTGCTACGATTCTTTGATCAGCTAAAATTGAAAATAAACAGTTATTCTGCTGTTGATTATGCGTTCGGTCAAACAGATAATTCATCGCCTTCGATCATGGCCTTTCGAACGCAACTCACCTCTATTATAAACACTGTACTGTTTGATCTGTTACAGGATCTGACCGATCAGAGTCATCTACTCATCAAACGAGAAACGGTTCGTTCAGATGATCCTTCTGGAATTGAATTCACCATTGATTCGACCATTAGCAACAATGATTTGCTTATTGAAATGACCACTAATGGAAAAGGATCCGACTTGGCCATGGGTTTCAATCTGAGCGAAGATTATCGCAACGTCATACAATTCCAAACATTTGAACCATACGATAGAAGCATTGTGATTCATTACCAAATGATCAAAGAAGGCAAATTTCGTTTCAATTACCGTTCCAGCGATCCAAACACGTTCATCACAATTAGTGTTCGCGTTTTATCTAAGCAAAGTCATTATCACTCATACAAGGATGCTCTATTATCGGCTCGATGTTGGATTCAATCCAGTCAATCGAATCCAGTTCGTGGCTATGTACAAGGTTAGCCAAGGTTTGAATGGCCCTGTTTATGAGGCTGATGTTAGTTTTGCTGCTCGAGCATTCACCCGAACGCAACAACGACAGGAAGTGACTCGGCCTTCAAATGATAATGGCCGAGGTAATCCGGATATTACAGCTTATGACGGGATCTATTCAGCCTATCTGGACTCATTATTTACTGGTAATGGCGAATCATATGGTGTGGCTTATACGATTGTAGCGAAAATCAGCGGCCACAAGATTGCAGTTAAACCAGGAAATTTTGGAAATACTGTCATGTTCAATAGCAAAACTCGTTGCTGTGGTACACAAATAAAAACAAATGATGATCAAATTGAATCAAATTCATTCGAACGATTCGTACATTGTGGTTCGTTCTACAATAGCATGCAAAACGAACATCATGGTATGGCCAATTATGCCATTCGTGATTTACGTATCGTCAATCTGGATGCCGACAATCGAACAATGGCTCTAGAATGGAGCTCTCCATTTTACTATACGAGCGATCAAAACAAACCAATCATCATCAAGGCATTTCATTCGTATAGTCGTCATTCGAAACTTCCTCTCGAGATTAAACAAGCCTTTGATAGAGACCAGAATGAAGCTGAATTGCAAGTTATTACCGGTGATGATAACCATGATAACCACTATTCACAACCCTCTGTTATGACCATCAACGAGCAGTCTGATGATGCTCGTATCATTTTTGAAACACTTTCATCATCACAAGCTCCGTATGCACGATACGAATCCTCACCATCGTTTCCACAATTAATACGACCATCCACAGTCAGCAGTAATACGTTGGTGACCAATTCATTACGGCAAGTGACCATACGTATCCTTAGTCCAGAAGAAGGTTTCTATTTGATCGCCGTCAAAGAACGTAACGATGATTATGAATCGAAGCCATCAAACATCGTTACCGTTTATCTGAAAAGTAACGTACTAATTGAAAATACAACCGCTTTAGCCAATGATAATAGCCGTTTGTCAGGTATTAGTGTTTTTGTCATATCGTACTAATAATAGCATGGCATGGCATGGCATGATATACGGTCCATTTCCTTCTCCTAATTATTATACATTTTTCTTTTGTATATTGATTACTTCTTTTAACATTTTTTTCATTCTACATGCAATTATTCTAACCCCTAGTGTAAGAATATTCATGCTGACATTGGAAATCAATCTAACGCTTTCTGTCTAATTTGCTTGCTCAACCCTTTTTTCTTTCCCTTTTTGCATGAAGTTGTATTTCTCATCACTGATAAATTATTTATTCATATTTGAATTCTCTTTTATTTAAATTATAGCCGGACCATACCGAGAAAGTGGACGTGGTCGTGCATTACCTTGGATCCAGATATTGATCATTTGCATCGTTCGGCATTCGTCCTTTTTATCATCATCTTGATTATTATCTGTCTTACCATTCGTCGTTACCGTCGTTCGAATAAAGAAGCTCTGAATAGCGATTACAAATCAACTGATAGTGCCACTTCGAATTGTGGAACAATCATGAACGGCGACAATAAGAACGATACACATACGAACAAACAATCCTATTATCTAGCTCAGGATGGCAATTCACTCATATCGAATTCACTAAACGACAACAGGATGTTGCCCAACGGCGCAGCCAGCAATCATACGAGCTGTAGTTCAGTCAACACGAACGTCGAAAATGGTCCAGCGGGCCATACTTCTTACCTGAACCATCACCAGAATCACTTACCTCCTCATGCGATCGATCGTCCGCATCAACAGGACCAATCGTCTATGGAACAGTCAGCAGGTGTAATGAAAGAACTAAACGTAGCAACATTACTACCAAACTCATGGGATGCCAAAGAACTGCTCGATCATTGGGGTCGAGTTCAGGAAGCCAAATTACGGCAGGAATCACCACCGATTGTAACTAACGGTCAGCCTGGGATGCAATCAAATTCACCCAGTGTTCTATCTTATGGTGGCAGTTCTTCGGTGGATAATTTTCACAGCAATCATCCAGCGATCGTTCAACCAACATCAAACATGAATCAATCACATTTCGGTCTGCCTTACGGTAATTCCATACCGGCAGATTATCCAAATGGACCATTACCTTCATCCATGTATTCGCCTTATTCAAATGCGAGCAGTATATGGCAACATCAACAACAGAAACAATTGCAGCAACAGCATTTGCATCAGCCACATTCATACCTGTCGCTACCACCACCCCCACCGCCACCTTCACTGTCATCACATGTGGTCCAAGCAATCAACCTGGATGATAATGGCCTTCCTGAGTACAGTGTTGTACGGAAGATCATTTCGGCCAACATATCTCAAGTGTAAAATCCAGTCAATTGTTGCCTTTTTGCAAATTTGTAAAATCAACCCTTTGTAAATAAAATTGCCCTTTCCTTTTAGCATCATCATTATCATATAATAATCATACCCATGTATCATATTGCTCATTAAATATTAATACAAAAAAAACTATATTTTATTCAAAATGTCAAGATCAATAAATAGATCAATGTTAGATTCATCAGTCATTTTGTGATAATTAATTCATTAGGCCAAAATCTGATGTTCACGTAATATACCTCCAGTTTGTTCCTCGTAGATGGCCATCAGATCCTCAAGCGGTGTATTCGCATCGATGGTAAGAACTGGTGCTGGCAATGAAAATTTTTTATGAACCAACCAGTCTTCATGTAGTTTATGCAATGCTCGAAGATAATCGAGTGTTATTTTGGATTCTTCTGGTCTTCCTCTTTTCTTTATTCTTTCAAAAACAATGTCAGGATCGGTTCTTAAGTAAATGATGAGATCAATCTGAGCAGCTGGCAAACAATTGTTAAACCATTGATTCAGGACATGATATTCACAGGGCGATATCAATTTCTTTTGCATCAAATTCTCGACAAAACAATAACGAGCAGAATAAAGAGATCGTTCCATAACTTTAACGTTTCCATTCTCAGGCATCAATTCATGAATCTGTAAAGAAAATAGTCAACAATGTAAATAATCATCATAAAAATGATATATATGTTTGTACAAAGAGCACCTACTTTGAGCATGGTTAGTTGAACATATGATTGAAATGTAAAACTCCAACGTTTTGGATCATCGGCCAACAATTGGAAAATGTTAACACCACCCACATCACGCCACAAATCAACTGGTTCAGGTATAATCAATGGATCGTTGCATAGTTTGGAACAATTTTTAGCAAAAATCGATAGAAAAGTTGTCTTGCCGCTGCCTATATTTCCTTCAACAATTATCTTGAGGACTTTGTTTTTCTCGGCCTTATAACTCAAACACATTGATGGAATTTCGAATAGTCGGTTATCGTTAAGTGTTTTGGAGATCAGTGATGACTCATTATTATCTTCGTCATTATTTTTGGACTGTGTTGACTTGATGATGAATTGTTCCATCGTTTCCGAAATCAAAGTTGATTTTTTTCGATTTGAATGAGAAAAGTCGTGTAAAGTCGATGACGAGCGTAAAAATGCCGCCAAAACCGATGACAACGGACAAAAGCCGCGCTTTCTGATCGTTTGGCTAAGCAAATAATGTGTTTTAGCGCCAAAACATTGCATCACCGTTTTGATAGGCTTGTGTATGTGTTGCTGCTGTTGTGCTGAGGGTGGTGCTTCCATACACACTCTGACATCGTTGAATTTTCTTGGCATGAGTTCATTATATCCAATATTAGCAGTCGTAGAACTCGTTCGAACTTTATTAAACATGCAGATTAATTTTGACATTTTTTTCGAGATTTCAACGTTGTTTTTACAATGCTTATACCATATTGTTGTTGTTGTTGTTAAGGAATATCTAATTGCATGGATTGTCATCATTGGATTAAGTACATTTGGCTATTTCATCAAGATATTGTGATTAAATGGACACATGAAACGATAAAAACTTCGATATGAATGATGATAATGGCACAAAAAAAAATTACCATTGTTTTGATCACATGTATACATGCATACTCAATTTATATATCCTGGTATTTATGAACGGTAACTTTGTTTATACACAGTTAGAACCAATTTTTTTTCTATTAATTTGGGAAAATATTTTGTAAACTAAATATATAATAATAATATAAAATATTGTAATATTGTAATGATGTTTAAGTCGCCAATAGAAACTGAATCTTATAGTAAAAAGGAAACTAAAGGCATCGATGGTAAAGATCCCCTTAAAATGGATAGTATTCTGGCTATAATGTTTGCTGTTTGTCGCATCATTGATGTTGATGGGTAGCCCAAACCTAAACAGATAAATCTCATTATAACCAATATAAAGCCAACCCATCCAATTAACTTACTCATTGTTTTACAAATTGAATTTGTGCTTGCGCTCAATTCATCAGCATATTTCCACCTGTTCGTTCAAAGCAGCAATGCTAATCATCTTAGTCTGTGATAAAATACGAACAAATTGAATCCATCTGTTGTCCATAGCATCGTAATCATCAGTTATTATTATTTTTAAGCCATGTAAGTTGAATTGTACGCTACTGACCCCTAACGTGAATGACACAAGAATGTGTATATCCCAAACGATGACAGTGAAAAGATGGTACAAGTGAGTAAAACTGGGTGTGTCGTCAGGCGTTAATGATATGTGTAAGCACACACCCCAACAACTTGTCGATTCATATCAATGTCAATGTGACCTTTTTATGATTTTAATTTGTTGGTTTGTTGTTGTTGTTGTGTTCCAGGCCTATCTTAATCCGATTGTATTTAGTATCCGGATTATATGACTAGAATGTACAAATGGATTAATGGTAGGCCTGTATGTTTGTTTACAAACACGATTGCTTATATGGCTAAATCAGCGACACTGATCAAACATGATCCTGTAAGACATTAATACTTGCCTATATATTTTTGATAGAACATTGTACTTTGCAAGCTACATCGATACAATCGCTGTATGAGTGTTCAATTTACTTTGATTCGATTCGATTCAATACTCATTCACGGCTCATTGCATTGTCATTTCGAAGTTCATTTCAATTCGATCTTGAAGTCGCATCAATTCATTGAATGATTGAGCTTTAGATTGACGCCTATTCAATAAAGACGTGATCTTTATCGATCGATTATTTATATGTGCAACACGTGACCATGGCTATTTGATATTTTGTTGATTAATTGAATAAATGATCGGATGATATTGACTATGATCAACGAGCATTCATTGCCATTTATCGATTTGTACACATGTTGCTCATTCTTTTGTTGGATCGAATCAAATCCAATCAACTTGCATCAATTGATTGATTTTATTTTATTTCTAGAATTCCAATTGAATCGTTTCCATAATAATCTACAGAAAACAGGACATGTTGGATGCACGTGCTAATATTGTATTAGCCATGATAAACGATTGCAAATTCTCTAGCGACCAGCTCATCTATCGAGGTGAAGGTAATTCCAGCTTGGTTGTCGCAATTCAGCCGGTATGTTTTCTTCAACCTGAATGTAATGACTTGATTAAAAATCTCATTGCTTTCGTTGTAGACATGTCAAGTGATCAGATTGCTCAAGTCTGATGCTAAAAAACTGGTAAGTATATCCCAATTTTAGAATTCAATTTTTTTTATTTATTATTCAATGTATGTTTATGTCTGTAACAGCGAAACGCCAACGACGTTTTGACTCATCTTCTGCAACACATAGACTTTAATCGTAACGTATTACCAGATGTGATTGGCGAACATTTGTTTTCATCGCCTCAGCTGGTTTACCTGGATAGCCAACAATTGGATACAATCAAAAGTTTTGTTCAAGACAAAAGGCCTTGTATGTTACCTATCCAATCATTGATTTCATTTCATTGTTGTCATTTTAATTTGTTTAGCATTTCGATTGGAGAAAACTTTAACCAATTGTGGATTTGCACTGCTCATAGCCGATTGTTGTACCATTCCGCGGGCTATCGATGGCTACGATTGGACCCAGCATTCAGTCATCGCTGTCGAAATCAAGGTATGTTCTCTGCATCACCTGTATGATTAATTGAGGAATAAACGAATTATATATCCAGCCCAAACAGGGATTTATGCCGAATGCAAGCCTTTTTCGAGGGAACGATATGCTTCGATTAAAATCACAAATTTGTCGTTTTGGTCTCTCTCAATTTTATAAGTTGCAGAAAAAATCAATTCAGTCTATCAGTTCATACTGTCCATTGGATCTATTCTCTGGTTGTCCATCGCGAACATTTCATGCATTGCTCTGCCTAATGGATAATCCACAGAATAACTTTCGCGTCTTCCTTAATTCACACCTTCTTTTCGATGACCAATCTAACTTGGATAATCTTCGATCAGTTTTAGTTAGGTTTTTTTCCGTTCGTCGTAATGTGCTTGCTAAACACTTCAAAGTGAATCCAATGACTGTCGATGTCGCCAACAAAGCAACCGATCCGATACAATCGTTCGCTTCGTTGTTGGTACAGATTCTCACTGAGCCTCTATGCGATGATAGTAAGGAAAATGATTGTCAACCGAAAATCTATCGAAAAGGCAACAAAAACGATTATAAGCACATGCCAAACGTGATTCGTGAGCTTGAGAATCTGGATTGTCAACAACATTATGTTTTTTACAGGACATTCATCGAATTCTTTGAAAAAATAATCACCAACACCAATATCAGCGATATGAGCAGCAACCAGACTGCCTTACAGTCCATGATAAACGATAATTGTGGACAACTTGATAATTTTATGGTAATCAAAAACAAAAAATCCAAATTAATGGCCACCGATTACCATGGCTTAGCTCAATGTCGACTACACGCTGCTAAACAACCTCTCATTTGTGATTCGATTTCCGAATGTCAAGGTAAGTATTTGCTTATCATTTGCCTAGCATGACTGACATTTTCATCTTCATTTCATAGATAAAAACTTACAGCATGGATTGCCGGTTGGCTCAATTCTTGATTCAATATTACGTGCACAACAATTAGACACGATTGATTCATTTATAGCCGTCGAATTAATGGACAAATTGTTTCTCAAGTATAAAGCGTTGAAACATCACTTATCTTTGCAAGGGAATTGCCTTTATCCGATCGATCCACAACGACCTGAATGTCGTGAAAGTTTGGAAAAATTTATTTTACAAAACGCTCAGGATTTGGACACGGTAGTTTCATATCATATTTCTGTTCATTTCCCTTTAATATTAACTTGTCGATGCTTTCATTTGTTAGCTTTGGCGCTTCCTAATATCATTGACAGCCAAGGACTGCTCCATTATGATTGCCATACAACACGACGATGACCGCTATAAAAATAGATTTGTTCAGTCATCTATAAGTACGATCCATGTGACCGACAAGACAAATGGCCGGCCTTATCTATGCAGGCTATCCATCATTGATCTCGATTATAAACCAGCCTGCAAGATCCAGCGTATGCTGCATAATGACCGCCGCATGATTCTGGCTTTTCTTAGTTCTATCTACAAGGGCAAAAAGTGCCATTCAACCAGTCAAAACCATGCTTCTGGTGATGAAACCGGTGCCGGTGTAACAGCGGACAATCTTCGAATGGAAGAGCAATTGGCCGATTATATCGGACAAGAACTTTCCCAGTTATTTGACCCAACTGTGATCGGTATTCATTGCAAACAATGATACCTGATTGTCTGCATGCAAGCTTATTATATTCATGTGAAACAATGTAATTTATTTATTTGGATTAATTACATTAAAATTGCTATATTTACAACAACTATCTATCCCTTTCAACAGTATGTAAGCACAGTATGGTCGTTTGGATCACGACGAATGTATTCGTTCTCGATAAGCCATTCAAGCTGATCTTTGATTAACTGTTTGCTCGGTACGAACATTTCCTTCAGGACATGAGTCAATTCCAGATGTAATGCATTGCAGGTAGTCGTTTTTCGCATCTTCATTATCTTCATGATTGCCTCCTGCGTGCGTAATATACGTAACTTGACAATACTTTCCGCTTCTTCTTCCCGGAATTTTTCCGGTTGCAATTGAAGTCTACCAATCAGATTGAAACGACCTCGTTTCATCATACGCCCCGTTTTTCTGTAATGAATCAATGGAATATTATTTATTCTGGAGAACTAGAAAATGAAAAAAGAAAAATCATATTTAAACATACCCATACAAAGAGAATTTGAGGTTTATTATGAATCGGCTATCATCACTGAAATCTTTGAAGCTCTTGATCGCCTGATTGGCTTTGCCTGGCGGATTACCATCATGATGATCGACCAACAACAATTGAGTTTTTAGTTTGGCATTTGAGACTAGGGACTAGGAAAAAAATGATCAAGGTTGTAAGTGTGCCAATAAATGAATAAACTTACCCATAGAGTTTTACGTAATTCAACGTTGGGCAGTTGAGTGGAGAGGATGAGCGTTTCAAGGCTAATAGAATCGGTGGGTCTATCATTCCAGGCAAAAAGCACGGCTGCCTGGTATGACGTAACATCTAGATCATATGAACCATTGTCTGAATGGAAAGTGACAATTCCATAGCTAAACTGGTGATGCCAGAATAGATTTCGTCCATTATGTTTGTTCTTATAAAAGCTTTCAATCTTGGGCATAAGTTCTTCAATTTCAGAGGGCAACGATACGTTTACTTTTTCCATATTGCGCGACCATGTGGATGAGTTGAGAATTTTGACGTTAATCAGATCACCAACTTGTTTATCGCAGCAGAGTTTATACTGACGATTGAAATCTTCTGATACTTTGAGGTCTTGGAACATGCGACTAATCTTGTTGACGTAGTCGGCCGGCATTCCCACTTCACGAAGCCAGTTGACCATCATTTCTTCTTTGTCCAGATCGATCGACACATCCAGGATGAGACGGCGTGTCAAATGTGCCTTGTAGTATTTCATGTAAACATCCTTGTCTTGTAAGTATTTTAGCAGCAGTATTACATTCTTTAGTTTTGATTCAATTTGTTCAGGTGACAAATGACGTGATACGTTTGTCCTACGAAGTAGAATGTCACAAAAGTTGGCAAATAGTTCGGCATTACGTGATTCGAACCACTTCTTTTGGCTTTGATTACCGATAGCAATCACTGAATTACTACTATTTGCTGTTAAGCTTTCATCAGTAGTGGCGGCTCCAGCATTTGAATCGTTGACACTTGTTTGGCCGTTATTATTATTCTGTTTAAGGGCAAAAGCTAAGGCAAAGATTGTTTTATCGTTGATGAGCATGTTAATCGACTAAACAAAAATAAAAAAAAAATTGAAAACATTTTGTAATAGCTTCCTATTAAGCAACTCACCATATCACGCGTGGTCAAAAATCGTGAATCGGAATTAAAAGCTTCCTGAATGAGCGTGGTTGCCATGTTAAACAGTTTGAGCAGATTGTCGATATACTTTTCTGAATCTTGAGCGATGGTCATTGCTTCAAGTCGTAGATTCTCCATACCAATGTTAGTCATATATTTCTCGAACTTTTCGAGTAGCGGGTCGATACCGTTATCCACTCGATCTAGTAAGGTGAACATAAGATTCAGGCTAACGATATCACGACATTTGATGAGATCTAGGAATTTGTCGGCCAACATTTCTTTGTATCGAGCGACCAGTGTATTGACACAAGAGGAAATCACCTTGCTTAATGATTGTGGTTCAAGGTATCTGTTGGCTCGATCGATTTCTTCTTTGATTTTTTGATCCACCCATTTCATGTAATTGAGAACACCATGTTCGTTGTAATACTCTTGACCTTTGGCCTGATAGAAACTCTCGATCGAGGCTAGATACACGCTTTCAAAGTTGTTTCGGTAAATGTAATGACGGTTGGGTAGATATTTGCAAAGGTTGACACAGGATTCTTTTACACCGACAATCAATTGAGGATCGCTGTGCACATTCTTACGTTCGGCATCGACTAGCAACATTGCACCATGTACCAGTTGATCGGATACTCTACTGAATATGTGTAACACCCACATTTCCATCATGGACTGGAAATGATGGACCAAATTATTCAATTGCAAGGACCTTTCATCCATCCAGATTTACTTACAAGGCGAAGAAAGTTGTCCGTTTCTTCGGACTTGGTGTGATTATCACCAATCGGACCCCCACGATTAAAGACTAGTTTCTCGAGAGGAGCGAACGGTAATGGCACGTACGTATAGTAAAACATGAACCGTTTCCAGGCGACCATGTAAGCCTTCATCAACGATAAATCTGTCTGAGCATTGGAAAATATGAACTATAGGAATAAAACAAGTTATAATTTGCTGTCACATATTTCTGGTTGTACTCACCCGTTGTTCTCGGGTAATATAGAAGCTAAAAAGTTCCCGTAATCGTTGCTGCAGTTGGTATGCTGAATGAGGATCCCACATACAGGTAAGATGCACTTTCCTGTGGTTAATCACCAACACAATTACAATCACAATGTCTCAGTATTATAATAGCTACTCTTACCAAAAGATTTCTTGCCAATCAGATTTGCTTAATGTATCATTCGTGAAGATTTTTTTGACCAATGGTTCTATCTGGGGCCAAACTTCATTGAATGAGGAACCTTGGGGTGACTGAATTAACAATTTAGATGTACTTTAATCAATGTGAGAAAATGGTACTCACCATGGATCGTTGTGTCGAGTCTAAACGAACATCCATAGTTATTATTAGTGATACCGATTCGATGAGAATTCAAAACGTTGTGAATGACAATTCAGCCTGATTACGTTAACATCATCGGGTTTTGTGCGGAATTGCAACGACGTAGTCGATAGGATTCTAAATTATCGGATTCTTTTGTTTGCCACGTGAATAACCTCGTAAACGAGAACGTAATTCAAGAATCAGTTGCGCCTGTCCGTGTATGTTTTTGTATGCAGACGGCGTAGTTGATAGCCAATTTGGCAAGATATTCTTTACGTCACATTCGTATTACCAGAATCTTTATCATGTGAATCAGATGCAATTATTATTCAATAAATGGACAGCCGGTCAAGATTATTAGGCCTTCGAATTTTCCGATAACTTGTACTTGGAAATTGGAACATGACTCGCTCTCCCTATTCTTTCTTTTTATTATTATTATTGTTGTTGTTGTTGTTGTGTGATAAACTAAAATGGATGTAATCCAAACACTCCCTTCTTTGGCTATAGTTAATAGGATTTTTTTACAATACCTGCTTTTGCTGCTACTACACGACATGATAAAATGATTTGCGAGTGCTTCCCTCTATTGAGCTTTTAAGCCATTCACCTCTGTTTTAAATCCGATTGATTGATTGATATATTGATATATACACATGTTACTATAATAGTACTACATGTAATAAAAAAACAATTTGATTGTTAATAATCATCAACAATAAGTCCATATATATCAACAGATTCGATTATCTTCATCTTTGGCCACAATTGTCAATTTATTGTTGAGACTTTTTAAAACATTCAAACGATTCTACTCAAGAATTGGCATATGCAAAAATTTTAACCACAACTTATAAACATTCTGTTTGGAATGTAAAAATATGGCTCAATCATGCCGATTTGATCGGATGCCAAGAATGCGCTTTAGTGTATCGAGTATGAATGAGTTCAAGTTTATCCTTGGTAAACGGCATTCATTGCCAACACTATTGAATGCTAGTGATGGCACAGCTAAGATAATAATATAATCAGGATTCATGTTAGACGCCTGACGAATATCATGAAGATGACGATGGTCGTCGTTGGTGGTATGAACAAAACTAAAATGTGGTGAGCTTCGAAACAAATTAATGATGTTGACCACAAATCCCGTTGCCAACATGTACGGTACTTACCAGAGACGCCGTTGTTCTTTTGTGCCGTGGTTGGTCGGCCAATTTAACGACATAATCGAATGGAAAACTCAGGTTGCTCAGAACGACCTAGAATATCAGGCTCAACGAGCAAACAATTCCAGCAACTACCAACGCCGTTACTCAAATACAAGCGAATCTTTCGCACAATCTGGCCTGCAGCGGTCAGCCACCGACAGTTCCATTAATCGCTGCTTTCAATATCAATCATCATCTGATTTAAATTGTCATCTAAATGAAAAACAGCAACGTCCTCTATCACCGTCGAAAAAGAGACGAGTGATTAAATTACGATTACGAAAAGGCCAAGATGATCTGGATCATAAATTGAGCCAACTACGTCATGAAACTATCGAAAATCGAATTGATGAGTCCAACGATGAAAATGTTGATGAAGTATCATCATCGAACATCACTATTGTTGAACCAGTTGAGATAACATCAGCTCAGATTGATTCAATCGAAACTGTCCTTGTCGAACATATGGTTTCCATCGCTATCGACAATAAAGAAGAAATTAAGCCATACGAAAACAATGACCAATTGATTACCGACATTCAAGAGGTTGAACGGCCAATAAGTCCGAAGCCAACTATAGATGAAAACAACAATGCAATGCTAGAGATGGATAAGCCATCCGAACCAGAAAAAGTCAAGCAATCGATGAATTCATATAATGTGCTGTTGGAGAAGCTGGCCAGCTCGTATCGACATCATTTCCAGATGAAAACTGTTTTTAAACAGAATGCTGGTATAGAAAAACCAATGGGAAAACAAACTTCAATCAGCAGACATTGTTTCTGTGGTAAAGAATTTAACTTTTCAGACAAATATTTACAATGTTTCAACTGTTTGACTGGGTGTCATACAAACTGTGGTCAAATAGTGCCTAGGCCATGTATTAGATATGTGGATCCTTTTATAAGACCCAGTAAGACGATAGCTAATTACATATTTCCTCGTTCAAAGCCTTTAATACCGGCCTTATTAGTTCATCTATGCGGGCAAATCGAACGAGAATGTCAAAAAGATGATTGCTCAAGTGGTAAATTGTCTAGTTTCGAGCTATACTACATTCATAGTGAGATGCTCAAACCGGTCAAAGATCAATGCAAACGACTGCTTCAAGATGCAAAACATGGCTTCCCTCGGCTTGATGAATGTAACTTGGATCATTTATGCGGTATGGTCAAATACTTCCTGGGTGAAATGATAGAACCACTTTTTCCAAAACAGCTATGGAAAGATTATTCACCTCTAATTCGTAAGTATGCCCATGCCATTATATTTTATTTTATTTTAATTGTCAATGTTTTTTGGGGATTTAAACAGACAAAAAAAGTGACCAGGAACTTCGAGAAAAACTGTTAGAATCACTTAAACAATTCAACGCGGCTAATCTACATAGCCTATGCTTCATTCTGGTTCATCTTAAACACCTGATTCGTTGTGGCTTTCAAAATGGTGACATATTGACTGATATATTTTGTCCGATATTGATGGGCGAACTTGAATACAAACGCAAACTACGCTTAATGAAGCTCATGTTCGATCTAGAAGAGAAAATTCTTGTTTCTTTTGCTCAATTATAACTTAACATCCCATTTATTATAACCAAACGTAAAAAAAGTCATTAACTAACACTAAAGTATCCATAGAAATGGCATTAAATATGATTCCAACATTATGAAGAAAGTAATTTGGATAGCTCTCCTGATTTATGCAAACGAACTTTAGAAAAAAAAAATAGAAAATAATCAGTAAAAACAGTTATGTAAATGGTGAAAACATACCAGTATCGTCGCCACCACCAATACAGCGGCCATTGATAAACACTCGGGGTACGGACGATGCACCAGTTAATATCTCGAGATAGGTCTGGATTTCTGAACACTGAGGATCGTTTTCAATATCCATTATCTCGTATTCTTCCGGCGGCAATCGATATTCTGCCAACACTTTTTTGGCATCGCGACAATATGGGCAATGTGCTTTCGTAAACACCATCACTTTTTTCGAAGTGATCTTCGAGTCGACCAATTGTTTAATTTGTTCAGACATCACGTGTCTGCTTGATGACAATAGGCTACCTATTTTCGAGACTTTAAGCTTCAAGGTAATTGATTTCAATAATTGATTCCTATTCAAATCAGGTTCAAAATTTAGAAATTTGTTTTAAGAACAATATATGGAGTTGTCACTTTCTATAGAGAATCAAAATATATCTATCTATCTATTTATTTGAGCACATATATGCTTTTATATAAATGTTCAAAGGTCAATCATAAAGATTGTCACGCGCAAAACTTGAAACAATTGCATCACACATTTGTTGTGGTTGCCGGCAAATTTATCGCTCAATGGATCAGAATTTAGTTGCCGGGAATAATTCCTTGCTTATTTTTTACGCAAACTGTTGCTCATTTTAGCCACATGATCATGATATACGATGGTTTATTATTATCGATTAATGGTTTTGCTGTTGTTGGCCTTTTGGACTGCCGTGGTGAATACCGTTCCAGAAGACATAGGTAGGTCTAATCACACATCCATTCAGGGTTTCATCTCTTGTGCTTGGTAAAGCCAAAATCATCGTGGTTGGTCCTGGAATACAAAATGTGCAGCTAGCTTTCCCAAGTCGTTATTTTTTCATTCTTCATCGAATTCCAAAGCTAGGATCTGTAGAAATTCGACCAACGAAGCGGCTGAATAAAAATCCTGGTCGCGGTTGTCACATCTGGCCTCAAGTATTCAACCAAACTCGTTTCTGCATCCGTTTGGCTCTTTCCGATCTACGTCAATCATTCCAGAGAATCGTTTCCTTGAACGATGTTTTAGATCTAGCCAACTTTTGCGATGATGAACAACCCGATGGTACTGAATCTGATGATCAATCGATGGTTACATACTGGCTTGCTATCGTTCGTTACAGCTTCCATCGAGGACATTGGCAATGTGATCAACCGCTTGAATTGGTAATTTACGGAGATCATGATGGACAGGTGCCAATCTATCGACGACCCATTACAAACCAGAATAAACCATTCTATTCTGAACACTGTCCATGTGTTCGAAATGAATGGCCACAGCTATCTCAATGCGATTCGACCGACAACCGACAATTACAACAAAGAATTGATCATGACCTTGCCCCATTTCGTTCTGGTATAAATTTTACTTCCATCTTGGATGAAGCTATAAATCGATTTGGCCAGTACCCTCAGACTTATGCTTTCTGCCATTATCGGATAAAAAACAATCAGGTAAAAACTGTTTTCTTGTAATGATTCACCTTTAATCTTTTTTCATGACAGGCGTACAAACGATGCTATGGCCAATACGATGGTTTTTCGAAATTTTTTGATCGTATGCTACTGTCATTGATGCGAAAAACTAGATTAAGTGATAGTCAATTGCTTATGAATCTTGGCGATTGGCCACTATCGCAAATCAAAGACACTAGACCATTGCCCATTTTCAGTTGGTGTGGTTCTCAACAAACCAACGATATCGTACTGCCTACATATGAACTGACTGAATCCGTATTGAATGGCCATGACCGGATATCCACTGACATTCATTCAACGTTTGGTCGTCAATTATTCGGTTTTAGTTCCAAACAAAATCGTCTATTTTGGCGTGGTAGAGATTCTAATGAAGCTCGTCTGAAACTGGTCGATCAATCAATGCTTATGCCTAATCACTATAATGTGGCTATCACAAATTTCTTCTTCTACCGTGATCGAATGACAAAATACCGGCCCAATAATACTACCACTATTCCATACGTTCCATTTAAGCAATTCTTTGACTATCGTTATCAAATCAACATTGACGGTACGGTCGCTGCATATCGATTACCATTCTTGTTGGCGGGCAATTCTTTGGTGATCAAGCAACAATCCCAATGCTATGAACACTTTTATCATTTACTCGAACCAGGCAAACATTACTTACCAGTAAATGAATCGCTGGACAATCTGTCCAGCCTATTGACAAACCTGATTGAACAGAATGATTTAAAACCGATCAAACGCATAATATGGACGGCCAGGATGGCTGTCATTCGATGGTTAATGCCATCATCTATCTATTGTTATTATTATAAAGCACTTGAGTCATATAGTCAATTGCTAATAGCCCAGCAACCATTTGACGAATCGATGAATCTCATTACCGATGATGATGACCTAAACTATTATGGAACATGTCCACATGGCTGTCAACAACATGCAACAACTGGAAAAGATGAACTTTGATTTATGATATGATATACTCTCTCTCTCTCTTTCTCTCTCTGTCCACAAATTATGAATGAAAACAGGCTCGTATCCAAACTTGATATTAATTTAATACATTTGTCAGTTTTTTTTCCAAGTCATCGAAAATCAAATCAAATCAAAGTAATTTTAATTCTATAGAAAATCCATTCCTAACACTACTAAAAAAAAACTTTGCACAATACACGAGAGCATAATACAAAAAAAAAATAAACGTTGGAAAGGAAAGGAAAAGATTTATTTTCTTAACATCATCTTAACATATACTTTTTTTCCGATGACATACAGTCAAACGTGTCAAACGACGCTTGAAACGCCGTCACATTTGGCATCAATTTTATTTTTTCTTTCAAAAGTTGTTTTTCAATCATTCGATAGACAATTTCTTTTTTTTTTACTGATTGATTGAATTTTTCTTTTTTTTTGCTTTATTCCAATGATGAATTGATCATCAACAATAATCAACAATCGACAAAATAAATTAATTTTATTGACCGAAAAAAAAGAATTAATTTCTAAAAAAAAAATTTAAAGTTACTGACATAAGTATATATATTTATATTATTGCAAAACTGTCTCAGAAAAAAATACGTCTATTTTTGGCTTCACTAAATCAATCTTTTTCATTCACACATGTTCATTCATTGTTTGTTGTGCATCAATGATTTTGTCGGTCGCTTCCCTTTTTCAGGTTATTTAAGCTGAATGATTTACCTGCAATCATGCATTAACATTTCAATTCATATATACTATGTCTATGTTCATACAAAGAATATTTGTATGGTTTTTATTGGCCCAGTTTTTTATTACAGGCCAATCTTATCACTGTGGTGGACAATTCTGGTCATCCAAGTTGCAATTTTTATCAGCATATGTACCGTGCAGAATCCAAAATGATCATCCTGGATTGGTGACATTGCCATCGGATAATTTTCAGTTGGCAAGACAACCACAGGATGACCGTTTTGAATCGAGTGAGTTAATCTGTCTAGCTATTTTGTGTTTAATCATAAAATTATGTGTTATTTCTGATTCCAGTTTATCTTCGTGGTACGAGAAATCATCGAATATTCCATAATCTCAAAGTAGATCCAGAATTACAACGAATACGTTCAATCCGTAGCGATCGTGACAAAAATGGACGTCATTCTCTACATTTAATGGTCAGTGATAATAAGTTAGTATAATAGCTTGTGATAATAAAATTTTATTGATAAAGTTCTGGAATAATCGGTGATAATTTGTTCAAGCTCATTTAAAATAATCGGAAGGTAAGTAGAATGACTAGAGCATGTTAGATGTTTGTTTGGCCTTTTTCTGGATCTGTTCGTGTTTCATTGACCGGCGGCTGCTGATGCTGTTGGAATGTATGTTTCATTTCCTGTTGTCGTACGAACGTATACATAGTGGACGATGCCAATACAATCACATTGCTCAACCACCAATTGAATGTTTTGTGTTGTTCGTAAACATAAGTAGCCAATATAGTCTGACTGCAAGCTTTGGCCGTGCCGCTAATGTTATGCGTCAATGGAGAAGTGTACTGAATTTGCAGATTGGTCACTATACTTATAAATAAACCAAATATACCGGTAGTGGCCATGATAAGCCAGAAGTGATGATCGCCCAAATGTGCAATAATCATGTGCCATTCATTATTCATCATGATGAACGGTATGAACAGTACGACTGCAATAATTGAATTATAATAAGACAATAAGGCTACGTTTTGATCGACCACTTTCAACATAGAAGCCACGAATATTGAATTTAGTGATACGAACATGGAAGCTAATACGCCACATAATACTCCTATTGCTGACAATGTGCCCAATGCTTGTTCCTGATCAACGCCTAAAAACGAAAAACAATGATTAATAAGAATATATGCAAATTTAATACCACCTACCCATGGCAAAACCGAATATGATACCCATGCAGCATAGTATGGAACGAACGGACGTTTTCTTGTGTAAAATGATGTAGGAGAATAATACGTTGAACACAGGTGTCAATGAGCGAACCACAAAATAGAAAGCGATTCCCACGAATTGCAATGAAAGATTGTTGAACGAGATCATGGCTACAAATACCACTGACAAGGGACAATATTCTTTTGACAACAGAAAAACGAATCTGATAGCAAGGAATGACCAAGAAACGGCTCATAATACTTATCACGCCATTATCACTGATTAAAGATTCTTGGCATTTGTTGTTCATCCATTTTGAAGATCTCCAATCGTCTAATACACGAAATGTGAACAACATTACTCCGGTAACCAGACATTGGAACCAAGTAATAAAAAACGGAGCATTAACTTGATTCAATGCTTGTTTATTTAGAAATACCATCGTTATCGATACGAACCAGTAGAAAGCCACAACGGTAGCAATGCGAATATATTTGCTACATAATGTTTCTGATGATACTTTATCGGTTTCGGTTGGTTCTTGTGCTAGGCGAGAATATCCAGTCATTGTATTATTTACAAACAAAATTCATCTAAATCGTATTGAAAACAATAACGAATCAGCGATGCTAATGCTAATAATGAGTATATTAATATATATAAGGTTAGCAGTGTTGAGTGAATATAGTCTCCCGGTGAGTTTGTATATGATGATGACATGGCCTGTTTAAACAATAATAATTATTCTTTAATCTAATCACTCTAGCTGTATTTATTCTGTGTAATTTCCATATTGTAATTTGTATCTCATCTAATTTCGAATTCTGGATTATTCCAACGAGTTCTTTGATCAACTAATTATTGTCCAACAAATATTGTGTACGTGCCAGTAAGGCACGTGTTATTTTCGTAAAACTTTCAACCCATCTGTGATTGATTCACGCCACAATTTGATAATCAAACGGCAACGTGAAGCCACGTATACAATCGGGTGAGTGGTAGCAGATTAGCCATAGCAACGACAAATGATATTATCAAGTGTTTAATGTGGGATTTTTTTTGATAATCTTTTGAACAGATATTAGAATACATCCATCATCATGTTGCATATCTTGTTTGCCCGCCGATATCGGCGATTCTGTTTATTCATCTTAATTCCTTTGGTGTTCTTTCTCATTCTCGTATTGACATTCTTACCAGATAAACTGGACATTCTTGATCCTGCTCATAAAAGCGTTCAGAAAGCCGAACCTCTTAACGGTGAAATTTTCGAATCTCAAATTGATGATAGTCATATCGAACTCGAAGCCAGAACACAGGTGCCAATCTTTCGTGATGGTGGTCTACTAGGTAAACAAATTGGTGTCCATTTATTTTGTCTTTTCATTCGCACATTTTTTGAATCAGGTAACTTCGAGCCGCCGAAATCAATTCGAAAATCGCGTGTTCACAGACCGGGAGATTATGGGAAAAAATTTTCGATGGAAAACCTTGATGTTGATCCAAACGAAGTGTCCGCTAAGAAAAATGAATACGGAATGAATATAGTTGCATCAGATCATATCCCGATGGACCGTATCGTTCCAGACCTTCGTCACGAAGAATGCCGCCATTGGGACTATCCAGAACAATTACCCAGTGCTTCGGTGGTCATTGTATTTTATAACGAAGGTTTTACCACTTTATTGCGTACCGTACATTCTGTGCTTATCCGATCTCCTCGACGTTTCCTTCGCGAAGTTTTGCTTGTCGATGACTTTAGCGACAAGGAAAATCTGCACGGTATTAATGAATAAAAACTTTCGGTTGTTGTAATCACATAACTTTGTTTTCATTGCTTAGCTAAATTGGACGATTACATCATGGAACATTTTGGATCGTTTAAAATGAACTGGAAACCTGACATGAACGATCGGGCCACTATATCTGGTGAGACGTTGGCTGATCGTAGCGGTAAAGTTCGAGTTATACGTAACAAACAACGACTAGGACTGATCGGCAGTAGAGCACACGGAGCTAAAGAAGCTTTGGGTGAGGTGGTCGTCTTTTTGGATGCTCACTGTGAAGTGAATACTAATTGGCTGGTTCCATTATTGGCTCCAATCGCTGCCAACAATCGCACAATGACCGTACCAATTATCGATGGTATTGATTCAAACACATTCGAATATCGACCTGTTTATCAGAAAGACAAACACTTTATCGGCATTTGGGAATGGGGTAAATATATTTCATAATGTTTTTGACACTGGATGATAATGTTGTTTCATTATGACAGGTATGCTGTACAAAGAGCAAAGTCTCAACTTGAAACAACATCTTCTTAACCATCGCTTCTCCGAACCTTATGAGTCTCCCACACACGCTGGTGGCCTTTTAGCCATTAACCGGCATTTCTTTTTTGAGCTTGGTGGATACGATAATGGCCTGCTTGTCTGGGGTGGCGAAAATTTTGAGCTATCTTTCAAAGTTTGGCAATGTGGAGGAAGATTACTTTGGGTACCGTGTTCTCGTGTTGGTCATATTTATCGTCCATTCATGCCTTACGGATTCGGTAAATTAGCACAGAAACGTAAAGGACCTTTGGTTTTAATCAACTACAAACGAGTAATCGAAGTATGGTTCGATTCAAATTATAAGCAATACTTTTACACTCGCGAACCAATGGCTCAATTCTATGATGTCGATGATATCTCTAAACAACTCCAAATAAAGGAGAAATTGCAATGCAAATCGTTCGATTGGTTCATCCAAAATCATGCCAAATCCATTTTCATCGATTTTCCCCGATTGCCGCCCAATGTCGGCTGGGGTGAACTTCATTCATTAGCTCACAAAAGCCTGTGCCTTGATTCTCCAAGTGCCCATCCGCCTTCCATGATTATGTTGTCGGGTTGCCATGGTAGTGGCGGAAACCAGTTGTTCCGGCTCAACGAAAAAGGACAGCTAGGCCTTGGTGAACGATGTGTTGATGCCAACGACAATAGTGTTTTTCTCACCTATTGCAAATTAGGCACCGTTGATGGACCATGGAGCTTTGACAAGGTAATGTAACTTTCTATAACCAATGTTCATATTTTTTAACTGTTGATATGCACACAGAACACTCAACAGATGTTGAACAAAGGGCAATGTCTATCGTACCATGATAGCCAATTGTTATTGGCCGAATGCAGCGATAGCGATCAAAACCAGAAATGGTATTGGCATCCGATCAAGCCTAAACGTCACTGAATGGCGACCAATTTTCTCAGTATTGCTCTTTTTTTCGACCAATCATCTGTTTTCTGGCCACTTGTTGATAGATTGTCATTACTATATCTGGAGCAAAGTTTCGACAATGTATACACATTCCTTTTCTCATTGCAATTTTTTGTAGTTTGTTTCCTCATACATTTATCCATTGTGTTAACAACCGGTAATAAAGGCTGGCTTTTTTATTTTTCACACTTGATTGACGTGAGTCATTAATATTTTTGCTGCACAGTTCAATGACTACATTTATCTACTATAGTAGATATTATTAGCTTTTAATTCAGCTGTATTTACACAGCTCTAATCATAACAAATGATAAAAATTGAATAGTATCCACAGGCGCAATACATTAAACTCGACACTCAACAACGTCAACATTACATCACAACAAACAGTTTGTCCAACCATTATGAGCCATGGCCCCAATATGGTCGATCTACAGGATTCAGTCCATACGGACCTGGTCCAATTGTTTGAAAAAATGCAGACCTGTAGTCATCCCCTTAGCGACGTAATCATCAAATTACGTGATGGTCGTAATTATTATGCTCATGGCTGGGTTTTAGCTTTCAGATCTTGTTATTTTCAACGGATGCTCGAATGTCGGCTTGGTGAAAGCCAAACACGATGTATAAGAATAGAAGATGAACCCTATCTTATCGAGCAACTATTACGATACCTGTACTTGGGACAAGTACAGTTCGAAAATCTCCATCAGCTTCTGTGCTTATGCTTAACTGGTAAGTTACTTGTGTTGAAAATTCTGATGAATTTTTCATTGAGCTACATCTTTATTATTAGCTGACAAGTACCTTGTTGATAGAATGAATGAAGCTTTGGTTGAACATGTGCGAAATGGATGGATCAACCAGTTCACCGCAGTTTCGATCTATCGATTTAGTTTTCATTTCGAGCAAAGAAGATTGGCTCAATTTGCTACCGATTATTTGTTGGAGAATGGTCACCAGGTTTTAGCAAATCGTTCGCTTATGAATCTGCCACCCAAACAATTAAAAACATTGATAGTAAATGATGATTTCCATTGCATAGAGAATGACCTGCTTGATTTTATTTTAGCTTATATCAGCTACTATAGCTCTGAGTACAGTGGCCAAATTCAGGTACGAACATTCGATTCAACCATTGTACCATCACAGTTTCGCTTGAAATTAGACGACATTGGTATTGAAACAATCACCATGGATCCTGTATTGACGAACGATATGGCCGATAACCAAGATAAGCTTTTCTTATTGAATCGTTCTGATCAAGAATCATTATTGCAATGTATACGACCACAAGCCTTGTTACAAACTGATAATCTTATAAAGTCGCTGTTGTTGATCTGTATGTATTTTCTGATTGATTGATTTTTTTTTACATATTCATGAAATTGAAACTTTTTAGATGATACTCGACTAGTCAGTTGGTGCAATGACCAGCTCCACTTGGCTGATAATCAATGTCCATTACGTCATTGCTATCCAATCTCTAACCGTCGTCGTTATCGAATTGAACCACAATCAGGTCTTATACGACTTCAAAACAGAATATTCGTTGACACCGTACTGATTGGACACTCGGATTCATTGCAGCCATTGTCCCAGTGCTTTGTTGTGTTCGAATATGCAATAGATAATCATCATCATCATCAACAACAACAACAATGGCACAAAGTAGCTAGTGTCAAAATGCGAATGGTGAATCAAAAGACAATAGAATTTCGTCTAGCTCGAATTATAGATGCACTCTACATTCGATTGCCATTGTGCAATTGGATAAGTCAGACAAGAGCAATCGTAGCTGAAATGGATCTAAATGGGCTACTGTAGTAGATGTGTGGATGACACCATTCCAAACGCATATATTGCTAGCACACCACTACGACGACGACAATGAATAGTGAATGGAACCAAGCCACAGACTTCTATGTAACATTTCAGATTCTTTTGGATATATACGCCAACGTGTTTGTTTACGTATGATCGTTCAAATGCCATCTGGTCATCACACTCAATACAATCAAATCGATGATGAACAACAGCAAGCAAACATCGATCAATGATCCATTTTCACATCTTCATCCATCATTACTTACCCCTGATGATATAACTTGTCTTGTACAGACATCCAATGTTGATGGTGGTCATTCCTATGACCGCTATGGATTCAAAATTGTTCGATCAACTAACAGCAAAGACGATCGATCAGATTCAACCGAATTGGATGAAGCTCAATGGTACACCGAAACTAAATCCCAATGGATTTCCTTCTTGGAGAGTGAATACAGGCGGATGGCTCCTTCATCCTGTCTTGACTTATCACAATTCGATTCTACTGAAATCGAGCGATTACCCCGACTAAATGAGCTGATCTGTTTGAGTATCAGCGATGAGCTTCGACCATTTTTTTGGATTCGTTTCTCACGAGCTTTACATCTGAAGATTGCTAGCAAATGGAGCTTTCCTCAATTAATTGATCTATCGGCTAGTGAGCCTAGTCTGAGTGTGCATCAGGCCGCTCAGGTGCTTCCCAACAATGCATGTTTTACGTTGAATTCTGTTTCGAATCGTTTGCGTCGTATATTACAGATTGTGCATTGGTATCAAAAAACCGATCTGGCTCATAATGATAATAATGGTGATCAGCAATTCAATTTGTCTTTGATTGGTGCCTATCTGCTTCTTATCTGTTCGGAAGAAGATGCCTTCTGGCTACTGCTTCAAATCACATTGTCAGTGAATCTAGACGATTGTATCGAACTTATTGGTCAAATCATGAAAAATGCTGTCCAATAGTGAATACATTACTAAGAAAACATGAAATTGAATTTAAACTGGTCGCATCGATTTGGTTTAGTTCGTTATTGGCTGGTTTCGTTACCAACGCTTTTTTGCTTTATGCTCTTTGGGATCTTTATTTTTATGAAGGACCAGTATTTTTAATACAGATAACAATTGGTTTGCTCATCACCGAAACAAGATCGTTAGAAAGTTGTCAGGATTCAAAAGAATTCTTCAACACATTGTCCGACCTTCCATTGAATTCATTACGATCACTGGACAAGATCGTATATGTATGGAAAAGCGGCAAGAACATAGTCGCTAATATAAATTTACCTGGAAAACTCTACAATTATGAAAACCAATCCAATGCAGATCAACTGCTTGGTTCAATAGTGGCCAACCAAGATATAAAACAGGATGAGCTTAAAATGAAAAACATCAAACAGACCGCTTTGATCATGAAACTACATGAAGCGATCGTGGCTATTGGACATCATTTTCAGGCCTATGAACCAGACGTCCATTACCGACTGGATCCAGACTACGACAATGTGGACAAAGTTGACATCAAACAAGACATGATGAATCGGCTGCGGCCATATCAACATCGAGCTAAGGCATTGATTGATTTTAGTAGCGATGATCCAGACGAGCTGGCCTTTGCCAAAAACGACATTATTACCATCATTAACGAAAAAGACGAACATTGTTGGATTGGTCAATTGAATGATCGGTTCGGTTGGTTTCCGGCTAAATTCGTCGAACTACTTGATGAACGAGATCAAGACTACAGTATTGCTGGCGATGACCGCGTTGTGCCATTCATTAACGATCTTGTCAGAGGAAAGCTAAGTTCAGCACTCAAAGCAATTCTGGCGTACGACTTGCGTAAGAGCTTTTTTTTGACTATCCATCCATGGACGATAATAGAGCAAATATCGACAATGACAACAAACGCTGGATTCAAATCAGTCTTTTCCAGGCTTGTACTCACCAAAACGTTCAGGCTGGACGAATATTCTCGTGTTTTGTCGCCCAATGACCTTTTGTATAGGAGTATTGCTTTGATTAATCGGACACACCATCATTGTCCGATGGACATCAAACTCCGATCATTAATTTGTCTCGGTCTCAATCAATACGTCCTTCATGATTGGTTTGAATTGATCTGTGTATCACAACCATCGATCATTTTCAAATCATACGGATCAAACAGTTTTTAACCAGTCCAGCGTGGAAACTGATCAAAGCTGAACTCAAGTAAGTATTAAATGGTTTCATATTCACATACTAATCAGACTGAATTTTTTTAGGCTTTTGGTGCAGTTTTCATTCCACTTGAATATTGATGCAGAAATCCCAAATGGTCATGAACCTAAATCTCCAGTGACCAAGGAAGGTGTTTGTGATATGCTTGTGAAATATCATCTTTTCTCCTGGGACATCTGATCCAACATCATTCTACGCACACACACACACACACACACATTCACTCATACATAAACATGAACAGAAGAGAATGTTCAGGAAGAATAAATGATTGATTTAATAAAAACTATGATCAATATATTTATTAAGACTTAATACAATTATATTGCATTTATTTATTATTATGCACACTCAGTGTGCTTATTATGATCAATTGCAATCAATACGGTCAATCAGCTAATGTGATCATCTAGGTCATGGATCGATATGGAGGAGGTTTGGGCCTTGGATTTGTATTGGTCAACGCAAGTCTTGTGCAACTTAGACAAAACAATAGGACCAGAATCAATGGTAACAAAGAAACGACCAGAAACCACGACATATTTGATGCAAGCTGATGGCAGCGTTGATCCAATTCGTTGATTTGGTAGTCGCTTGGACAGCGACAACGTCCATTGCTAGAATCACAGATCATGTTTTCGTCCCAATCATAACATTCATTGTTTAGTTTACAGAGGAATGGTTCACAACGATTATCGTTCATTCGATGATTCACAATGCACAGACAACGGCCATTCAAACACATAGAATCCAATATCAAAGGCTGACAATCATGTTCAGTTTGACATTTGATCTGTTGCCATGTCGATAGATTTCTTGTCGATGCACCAGAAGACTGTGTCACTGAAACCAACACAAACACAAAGATAATTACAAGTTTGGTAGACGGCATTTTTTTATGTTATTTCACATGACATATTTACAATGAAAGTAAATTTGCTTGCCCTTTATATAAGAAATTTTACTAAGATAAATGCAATCAGATCCTTCCGATTGGCCAAGCCAATGTCAAGGCACTTGAAACATCCAATGGTATTCTTGCACTTGTGGCGCCAACGTTGAATAACAATTCTAACGAGCGGCCAAGATCAAAGCTATAGATCCAATACTCGAGTGAAGAGGCGGCCATGTTGACGATTGATTGCAGCTTCTCACATAATACGACAATTGACAATGAATTAATTAAACAATCTGATCGGATTGATGTGTCCGATCATCTTTTCAATCAATCAGACAAGCAATTAGCTCTAATTTAGATGCCATTATCAATATATGGCCTTCCGTCTAGTTCTTATTGCCAAGTACAAATCACATCGATTCATGAAACGGAATCGCCACTAGATGTCATCTCTGGTTCATTGTTCAAAAAATGAGTTGAATGAACCAAACGGTGGTTCAGATTCTATTGGGAATCTCATTCTGACAGTCGTATAGTACTGTGTGTTTGTGAAATGAACATCCACCATAGCTATCACGGGGCAGTGGACAACTGAATAATAACTGTAAAACAAAAGTGGGTGAGTCCAGAATTGTGAACGAGGCGCGGGTGGATTTTCTACGACAATCGAATGGCCATAACCCAGCAAGCTCATTTACTATCAAAAATCAACCACACAACGATGGATGCTCTATTCATGCCATTTATTGGATATTTTCATATCCAAATACTAAGCATTGTAATGTTTTTGATAATATCTAGTGAATGGTTACTGTGCCATAGTGTCCAGTTGATTGGAATCGAATCCAGAATGGCCACTGAACCTTCAGAAATAACGGCTGTTGTCATCACCTATTGTCCACTGATTGAAATTGATTACAATTATGAAGCCAACGTAAATCTAACACGTTCCCGCAATTATTATGAATGTCCAGGCAGTCAAGGACCAATGTACACTCAATGTTGTGAATATAACCGTTGTTGTTTGCCATCTATCTACACTCGACTTGACCAGAAGTGAGCATATCCACTTTCTATTTATGTATAAATTAACAAGCTAATCGTTTGATTGATTCAATCAACCCAGTGTTTACTACTATGCAGCGTTGATCAGTTTGCTCGGCTTTGCATTATTGATTATCATTATATGTTCTTGCTGTACATTACGAAGATGTTTGAAATGCCATAACAAACAGGACCTTCATCTACGAGGTAAGTTACTCTCGTTTTTTTTTATTCTAATCTTAATCGAATTCATTTATTATTGTTGCAGAAAACAAATTGTTCGAAATGTCTCACCAACAACAACCGAACCACGTTGGTCATCATACATCACAACAGACATTTGGACCGGAAAGTAAATCAAACCATCATCGAATGGACGATGAATGGTTGCCAGTCATGGATCAGGTGGACGATTCGCCATTAGCACATTATTACAGCAACCCGAATCCAAATGTCGCAAGAGATGATCATAACTATGTTGAGGGTGGGATAGATGGTGGTAGCTGTTTACCTATGCCATCCATACTAATTAATCCATTGGCAGACCATCGACCACAAAATTGGCAGGCCCAATTCTTGTTTGAAGGTATGGTCTAAGCCTTTTCTGACCAACTTTCTCATATCATAAACATCATGGAAACGATCAACTCCGGAACAAAAAAATTTGTACAACTCTTCTATTACTTGATTTGATTTGTGTTTGAATATTATTTAATAAATGTGTTCAATGTGAACACTGTTTTTTTTCATTTATTCCTTGGTTTAGGCAGAATAGAAGATTTTTAAAAATCATGTCACTGAAAAAGGAACAACAGTATGTTGGCGTAGCTTGTATGTATTTTTGTGATAGAAACCCAGTTGTAGTTGGCCAAGGCAGTAGGTGGTATATTTCCTCGCAACAGGAAGCCAGTCTGACATTTTATTAATATGGTATGGGTGTGTGTATGTGCGATGTTCACTGATTACTAGGTATCGTTGGCTGACTCTAGATGCTGGATCGTTTTTATTTTTGAATGGAGTAAAAGCATTTACATGTGTCGGGTGTTGCCAAAGTTGAGACCGCTAGCATTTGCGCCTTTGTTTGTACCGTATTGTAAATTGATAACACCTTCACCAGCACGTAATTGTTCTTCCGTGAAATTACGTTTGTTTTCATCGGCTGGTTTCGGTCCCAAGAACGGACCTGGCCATTCCGGATGCAAATAACACTATATATACAATAAGATGATAAAATAAGAATGGGATAATCATGATGGCTAGAATATACTTACAGTTCGGCCCAAAGCCATAATGCATTGAGTCACTTGGGGTATGTTTCGTCGTTCATACAAATCGACTGTTTGAAAGCAATCGATATCTGGTACACCGTACTCCTTGATTGCCTTTTGGAACTTGTTAATGTTTTCCATCATTTTGAATTGTCCCCCCGAGGTGTTGATTTTGGGGATGGCACCTGGTTTCAATTTGTTCATCAATCTGTTAATCAAATGATTAGTCAATTAGGAAACAGTCAGTCTTAATAATTGTTGCTTACCTGCATAAAATGGTTCCATCTCGAAGAACTTCTTCAAATGGGCCCGATGGCAATCGTTCACCAAGGACAGCTTCGATCCATCCCAACACTTCAGCTTCAAGCTGAGGATCACGTTTACCAGCAATCTATGTGTATGGAAAAACAAGGAAACGGTAAGACCGTATGCTCTAGTAATGATTGGGCACTCCTCAATGCATTTATTCTAATGTGCAATCAACACTAAAGTTACTAAGTCGATTCAAGTTATTTTGGGATCGAGCCAACTGCCAAAATCGAGTCGTAGTCGATTCTGGTGAATTTAAACCGCTCGAATCGAATCAAATCTAGACTTGGCATCGTATTCTTTTTTTCCTCACATTCAACAGAACCAACCAAGCCAAACCGACTATTGAAAGCTTCATGCACAATGCCCAGCTAGGTCGAACTATTCTATAATAATAATAATGCTTTCAGTTTGACTAAACAAATCAATTAAAATCGGGACAAGATCGAAACTGCTTGTTCGATTTGAATTGATCGAATTCAAACTGACGTTTCTAGCTACGATTTACATACATCTATAGACCTAGGGACGATGGCAAAAAAACCACTTTCAATCATTCGGTAAGACTGGCACAGTTTATTGGATGAACAGGAAGTTGAACTTACTTTGTTAGCTACTTGGGCACTGAGGCCATATGATGGACCACGTGATGCCATTATGAGTTGATTTGAATATTATAAGAATTTAGTTCACGAACGAATATAAATGATGGATGAATAGTGGAGTTTGGTTACGATGTTCGACGCGATTCGATTGCTGTACGACTCGATGCTAACACGATACGATCGTTTGTGAATCTGGGCAAAAATTACGACGCCTGTTTTATAGTCGGCCAGAGCAAAGTCGAGGCCTGTACCGTTATTGATGGCCGGGTGTGTGCGTTGTATTCATCAACCAAAAACAAGTGCCTCGCCTGATGTAATACAGTAAATAGCAACAGGCTTGCAATTGCATCCGATTGGCATCATCCACCCATCGGCCATGGTGGCAGTGTCGGCCAATGACGCCATCATGGAAGATTCTTTTTTACCAGAATGACTTAATTCTTAATTCTGCTGCCAACTCCTATTCATCCATCTATGTAAGCAATGATGATTACCACACTCGACAATGGTGGAGACAATGAGTGTGCTTGGCAAGAGTGGTTCCAACTTGTCATCCTATCCAATCAAATCAGCATATAGAGAATAACCGAATATTCATATGCATGTACGCCCTCCAGTTACATTTTTAGAACGGGTGCAGTTTCCATTCTCGTTGTGTTACGGTGATAAATTGATTATTAGACAGCTAAACGAGCAAAATAACTCGATACTAGCAGTGAAAAACAAACGGACGGGACACACCGACTATGGTGGTAAACAGCCAACAAATTCGACATTCCAAACTTCATGCCAGATTATTACTAGAAATGGATGAAATTGCCACCAACGCATCATAATATTAATGCAATATAGTCTGGCCAAAAACCAACAAGCCAGTTAATTACAACAAATTCCCAAACGCCAAATCATACATCACCACACACACACACACGCCTGACACTCCCCACCAAAGAATCCAACGAAGACATTTGATTGCAATATGGTTGATGATGGCCAAACATTTTTGCCAAATAATACCTAATGATGATGATAACAAAATTACATTACTATCAATAAATTGCTAATAAAACCATTTAGACGGTCAGATGGCAAGATTTCATAGTTATTATGCTCAAGTATATGAATCGTTTTATTTTCTTCAATAAGATATATTCAACGCCAATCAATACCATGAAAAAAATTGATTATCCAATCGAAACGGCATCTCGATTCTGACATTCAAAAAGATTGGTTTATAGTCATCAGACACGCATAGTTTGATTCTTCATCCCACTAGGAAGTACTTCAAGGTCGAAGGCATTTGGACATTGGAATTCCTGTACTATGGTTTGACATTGTGGGTTTGTTTCTACTTGATTGACAGGCTATCATACTATCATAGAAAAGAAATGAAACCATTGTTGATCGATCAAGTGCTGACAGCCGTCATGACAATGATGAATGCTGAATCGATGCCAGTCGAATTGGCATAGTTCGCCAAAAAAAACTTGTCCATTTTAAATGATATTATCATGAGCTTGTACTGAATATTCTCATGGGTTTTTTTTTTGGTTGGGTTGTTGAATGTCGGTGTGTGTGTGTGTGTGTGTGATCGACAGTTCGGATAGTGATTATAATGATTTCTAAAAATAGTGTCGCCAATTCGTCGTTCATGGTGGAGACTATATTTTCAAACAACGACAACATCACAATTTTGTGTGTGTGTGTGTGTGTGTTGCATAGATATCAGAAATTACGCTCGTTTCATGCAAATAGTTTACTTTTAAAGGAATTTGTTGGCTGGCACGAATGGAATGTTTCTTTAGCAAGTCATTTTCGATGACGGTAATCATCACTACTGATAGTGTAATAACCATTAGTTCTCATCAGTCATGATTGCATTTGTAGCTGACATTTACACGTTTAATCAAAAGTACAATCATGTCAATCTGGGATTTTTTTATAGTCCATTCCATGTTTAAAAGGTTTGATCTGTACAAAAATCAAAACCAGGAACAGAGAAAAAACCAAATGGAACCTAATGTAAATTTATGGTGAAAGAATCGAACTTTTACATATTTCGAAATTGAAAACATGACAAATGCATTGATAGCATAAATCACAATGAATTCCAAGAATTAAATAACAACAATATCCACAAAGAATAATCTAGTAATCAAATAATGATGACAAATTCAGGTATTTTTTTTACAAAGCCATTTAATCTTTATTTAAACGATCATTGAAAATGGAAATAATTTACTGTGTCAAAATGAATGAAAATTATTTTTTGCTAGATTTTTTGATACCACCACCAGAAAGTGGACCTTTTTGAGCTGCCTTTTCTTTCAATTCTTTAAGTTTACGTTGTTCTTCTTGCTGTTTTTTACGAAATTCAGCATCCGAATCGTCTACCACTTTTTGTTCCTTTTTTGGTTGCTTAAGCGGTTTCTTTTTGCCACCTGATAATCAGAATTCCAATTATCGATTATTCGGTTATTGATATTAACCATAATATACACTTACCTTCTCGACTGGACATGTTTATTGATTGAATGAATATGAATTCTGGTAAAGTTAAAATAATATTCTTTAATAGACTTGTAGGCTAAACTACTGAAAGGATCAAACATTAATAATAAATAAAACAATATAATTCGCTCACCACGTTGGTTCTATGTTGAAAGTGTGCTGTTGAAAGAGAGAAAACGAAAAAACTATAGTGAGTGATGATAGCCAAAATCTATTCATAAAGAACGTTGCTGGGGGAGTAATGAGGCAACTGGTTCACTGCTTTGTTGGTTGTTATAAATGCCGAATGGCCACATCGGCGTCACAAACAATTTAACTTTTAGTTTTGAGTTTATTGCCCGTCAACAAAACTATTGATTTGCATAATAGTCAACAGATATGATAATGGCGATATTCTGATGTTTAGCATTGTATTCCTTAATTCACACATCCACACTCACATATCGATGCTCAAATCGATCGGTTGAATATCGAGCCAGGATGGAATTTCATCACTATCAAATCTCAAATGACGATGATGGTGATGGTGACTTTGGTGATTTCCAAACTTGTGAAACTCCACAACAAACTACTACGAATTTTAAAGAACCAGCTCACATGATAGCCAATGTTTTCGAATTTCCATGGTTCGAATTTCAAGCTTTTCGTCAACAATTTGAGCAGCAATTGATCCAGATATTTGAAAGTAAGTCATGTACATCACCATCTCAAGACTTTGCAACGACAATCCAATCACAAGAGGATATTATCAACCACTGTCCGTAAGTATTCATCTCTATTTTATTATCATGATCACTAATGGTCATTTTGTTGTCACTAATAGCATCTGGCTACATCTAACAACCAATTTCCGTAATCGAGCAGCGTTGAATTTCGGTCAAAGTTACACATTCAAACGATACCTGCAATCACTCAAGTTGGAACAAACCGCTAATCGAGGAAGCCGCAATTTCAGTACGGATAATGAAGATCTTCCTGCTAATACTCGAAAACGGAATACTGCCAGTGATGAAGAGGACATCGCTAATGATCTTGACATGCATTCTTTAATCATCAGTTCGTTTGGTGGTGCCGATCAGCAGCCAGCATCGTCAGAAAATAGCAAACCATCGAAACAAGAATCATCAGCCACTTTAGTTATCGATGCCGATCAAGTAATTAAAGAGATCGAGTCCCTGTATGCATCCAATCAATCGACACCCAGCAAACGATATTCTAGTAATGGTGGTCAAACCAAACAACGACAATTAAATAAGACCGATCCTTTACTGTCACTCGATGCAGCCACATTATTAGACGTAGCATTGCGAAACTGGGAATCCAACAACAATCGCTTGTCTGCCGATGATTATGGCGTGAATCTTGAGACGTTCGAATATTGTCATGATGATCAGGAATTTCATTCTTTGCCAGCCAACCTGAACAGTGATATGCTTGACCAAATGGTAGTGTCAAGTCCGGTTTTAACGGCAACAGCTGACTATAGTCATGATAATTCATCCATGAAAAAAATAACCACATCCACTGGAGAAAATCAACCCGAACTTGTAGAAAAGCTAAATCAATTGACGATAATTCAGCTGAATGAGCTTTACATGGAGTTGGAACAAATCATCCAGATCCGTTCTGAAGTTCTCATCCAAGAGTTGGCCTTACGTGATGAACTCGAATACGAAAAAGAGCAAAAAAACCAGTTCATATCGCTGTTACTTAGCGTTCAGAACAAACGTCGTCATTACATGACCGCGATGGACAGGAAAACAACTGGTCATCACCATCATCATAATCATAGTAAAAGAATAACCGCTGCTCACAATGGCCGTTTGGTTCGCCAAAATTCCAACGATTCTATACGGGCGACTACTAGTCGTTACAACCCAAAAACTGGATTGCCTAATGCAAATTCCAGCTGGCTGCCTGCTGTCGTAGATTTGTCATCGTTGGGTAACAGCATTAAGCAATCAATTTTACCATCAAATTCTTCGAAATCGAGTCCTGTTTACCTGACCACGGTCATACCATACACCAGTTCGATGATTCCGATCGATTCGTCAACGTTAGATATTCTGATCAAACGTAAGTGACATTAACCATTTTATTACAAAATAAGTCCAACATTAATTATCATTATTTTAGTACTTAAGGCGCTGAACGAAGATAGTCCGACTGTGCCGGCATTATTGACTGATTACATACTCAAGAAAATCTGTCCATGATTATCGCCACAACGAACAATGGCATATCATTTCTCATTTGAATTATACAGAATTTTGTTTATAATCTATCTATATCTATCTATTTCATTATTATCTTAATAAATTACATTTATTCATTTGATAAATTGTTTTTTTATTTGATCGTTTTTTGTTTCGATTATTGTGTCGATTTTCGGCTGAAAATGTCGTTTCCATGCCTCATTCATAAGATGGTTGTGTTGGTCATTATTGATATGATTAATGTACAGTAATGGTTTGACCAGTACTCGACCATGTGCGCAACGAAAACTGGATCGACATGTTGTCAACGCTCGGATCATTTCATCACATTCATAGCGACTCAATGGTTCATTGAATCGAATGGCACCACGGCATGCTTGAGTTCGAATTTGTTCCACCAAGAATGGCGTCATGTGACCAGTAGAACTTTGAGAATTGCTCTGCTGTTGACTGTCAAAATATCGAAGTGCGTCGATTAGAAAATCCTGAAACAAACCTGGATAATGAAAGTTGCGTCCAAAACAGACAGGAACATTGGTTATGATGACGGTCGAATCGGTTGGTCTGACAGTCATTTGTGTGTTTAGTTGTCGTTGGAATTTGTTCAATATCTCATCGGTGAGTTGTTGGCTGAGTTGTTCTGGTATGCTGATTTCATATGGCGGTTTTACCGGTTGACCACTCAAATAACCTTGGTCAAACGATGCTGTCAGTATTCGTTCGTATCGGATTCTTTCATGTACGGCATGTTGATCGAATGTGAGCAATAATCGCTGTTGCGTGAGTAAGCACATGATGACCTGATTGTTGGCCTGTCCGATGATGCGAACGTTATCAGGTCGAAAAATTCTTTTGTCCAAACAAGTGGATCTTTTGATCCGAAATTGATCGTTAAGTCGGTATTTGGAACTTTGTTTGTCCATTCCTAAATGATTGAAGCGTTCTATTCTATAGCCACTTTAGTGGTCGTTTTGTATTGAAACAGACACACACACATACACACACACAGGAAGACAATGCACACTTGGAATGAATTTAATATCAGCGTTTGGACACAAACAGCCAACTATAACAAGAAAAAAATTGCCAACCATTGTAATCACCGTGTGGGCATGGATGTATCTGAGAAGTGTATGTGTTTTACAACGACCTAAACTTCAAGCGTGTATGAGAGAGTGATAGATTCAGTGGTTGTGTTTTTTTTTTTGGTGAATGTGTCATCCACGATGATAACCAGAGTGAATGTGTTTAGTATGAATAATTCTGAATAGTATTTAGTATATGCTGGCCCTTACCCTAGCCACATATTCATCCTGGATTGCTTCCTCACGAGCATCGCCACAAAGAACCATAGTAGAGATTAAAAACATTAAACAGGCAAGGGCATCGATACCGGCCACGGCCAAGATATGCAAATCATTCTCAACGTAAGCGTTTATTGGTGCATTTTTTCCGGCGTTTGTCTTGCTGCTTTGTAGATATACTTGTTTGTCTTCAGTACGTACGATACCAGGCGGTGGTTCCAGATGGCAAGGCTTGTAGAAAACAACGTACGAGCTGTAGCAGGCCAATATGGTCAGGCCACTTAATGTTATGATGAGCTAAAAAAAATCATTCAATTATTGGATTCGTTTATTAACGATTCTGAAGAAATTCTCACCAACAAATGGAAGCCAAAACGAAGATCTTCTTGTGATGGGGCAATGTTGATGAATGCGACCAAAAATATGATGACGTCAATCGATACTAATGAAATGTGATAGATCTGGACATCGTCATAGTGCTCTTCTATGTAGTCTACCTGCAGACTTTGATTTGATACCATCGATGACCAGAGCTCGTCGGCAATGGGCACAAAGTTGCATTCTTTCTGTTTGTTTAACAGCAACATAAACGATCCTGCAACAAGAAACTGTTTCCATAAAATTCATTAGCTCTTTGAATAATGATTTATCAGTCATTTTAAACAAAAACTTACGGCAGACAAAAACGTAATGAAACGGTGCAAACAATGGTGCTTAGGGAAACTGGAGGGCATGGTGATGATCTCTTTTGGGCACCCAATAACACACTAATAACAATTTGAGCAATCAATAACTTTATCGATCGATTTGATTCGTTGTTTGAAAGACAGATGTCCAATGAATGGATCGATCGATCGATCTAATTGTCTAATCGCTAATGACTTGATTAAACTAAGCTCTCACTGGTTCCGATTCTTTGTAAAGATGAAATCGCTCTCTGAGCTCAGGTTCATGCTGGCTTTCAACAATAATGACAACGGAAATTAGCGATTTAGATCACACAGATCGAATTATATTAGGATTTGGTAAAATTTTAATCTATTCTGATCGTTTTATTGCTATTGCAGTGTTTGTGTGGAGGACAATTCTGATGCTCGATATCGCTCAGGAAAAAGAAAGAGTCTGCCCATAACGGCAATGCTGCTTTCAAGTGCCAATTGAAAATTCAGAATCAGTTTCATCTTTGGGAGGATGCTCAGTATGAATTACATCCATTAAAGGCATCGGTATTCTGTCGACAACAACAACAACAATAAAAATATAGTGTTCAAGGGCGCTATATAGGCCGGATGCTAAATCCATGGCTGTTAGCTTAATGTTGACTATCCACATAGCACAGACAGACAGGTCGAAATAACTATTTAGTATTTATTTAGATTAAAACCAATCAATCATCAATCAATGAGACAATGTGGACAACTATACTATAGTGGACAACTAATCTAAATTCATTCGATTTATAGTGAGGATCACAGGATCTTTTGGAATTTTTCTTCGTCCCATTCAGCCATTTGATTTGTATCATCTTCGCTCTGATCAATGAGATCTGTTTGCTGATAATTGTGGCTAGCTTTGAAGGAACAGCTGACCGAATTTGTAACAATCAACCAAAACAGGAAAAGGAAAAGCGTATATTGAATCGATATAATCAACAGATTACGTTCATAACCGTCAAATTCTTCTTCCATTAGATTCATTTGTTCTAACACAAACGAACGCGTTTGATTGGCCATTGTACAACGGCCCAAACCATACCAAGTGACCAGGGTGAGCTGATAGCTCTGTTTCACGAACGATATTTCAGCCAGTGATCGTAGCCAAGTATTTCCATAACTTTGCACAGGAATTAGGTAGCCAGCGAACGTTATCAACACAATTGCAGCTATGAATGTGATGACATTGGCCAACCGTTCATTAGACACAGAAATGGCTGATATCACAAGACCTAGATTCTGGGCACAAGCAACACCAGCAAATTGTGAGAGAAAATAGAGCCAAAAACGCCAATGATCTTGATGAAATGGTAAAACATAGTCGACATTCGGATATTGCAGGTAATATGCTAACGCCGAACATGTGATCGTATTGATAGAAGGCATGACCATGTAAGCCACCGTTTCAGCCACGATAAACGAATTGATGTTGATGAGACCTGAAATTACAAATAAAAATTACTTGAATCATGGTAATCATAATGACGCACTTACCATTACGATGTTCATTACAAGCAACAATTATTTCTTCGTTCAGTGCAAATACAGAGACTAGAAAGTGGGACAAGGTCATTAACACCGTGGTCAAAAAAAGAAACTTTAAATTCTGTTCGATCAGATGTTGGCCATGAATGGTGATCACATTCTTATCCCGCAAATACTCGTCTAAAGTACTATTCGTGCTCAATGATCCATCCAAAAGAACAAGTCGCCCATAAAGAATCGATTCAGGCTTTTTGGTATAACTTATTCGATCATTGCTGACATTTTTGGTAAGCATTCTGTCGGGATTGGTGGATAAACGACCATTGTCGATAGGTTGGTAGCAAGAATCAGGCTCACCTATGCCCTTATCAAACAAAAAGACAAGCAATACGATTGCTGAAACCAGTGCCCAATATTCGAACAAAATAGATTTCCAATAGTAACGGTATTTGTGTACTAGACTTCGTTGAAACAGATGCCATATGTTGATTAAACTAATGGGCGATACAGGAGGTTGAATTCTTACACCCAACAAAACGCCATATTTTTCAGCCAAATGGAGTATGTCATTACGAGTAGAGAAAACTCGGCTAGCTACTCGAACTGTCAGTTCAGTGGGTTTGGATGCAATCTTAATTAATCGTTCGATTGGAGTCTGTATGCCAGATTGGATTATAACACCAGATTCACGTAAAAAGAGTGACATGTGTTCCACACTTCCCTCGTAAATACAAAGGCCACCACGACTAAGTACGTACAACTTGTCGAATATGGAAAGTACGTCTGAATCGATCATTTGCCCGATGGACAGGTTTACCGACATGCTATAAACTCGACTCATCTGTTTCATGAGATTGACAAACTAAAAGGATGACATAATCATTTGATTATAAGATCGTTTAGCTCAAGCCATTATCGTTATGCTTACGTTCTCAACGCTCACATTATCCAGATGAGACAAAGGTTCTTCCATGAATAGCATGTTTGGTTTGTCCAAAGATGAAAGACCCATCGCTACTTGCGTTTTGACGCGTTCTTCGACTGTGCAGTCGGTCATCCGCATGTTAGCCAATTCTTGCAGCTGCAAATTGATCAACAATTCTTTCACGATAGATTGCCGCTGCTCTCGACTGGCGAAAGGATGACGGAAAAGGAAGGCATAATCTAGTACTTCTTGTACGGTCATGCTCACCAAGATGTTGTTGTAAATAGTGTTCTCCAGAAAAAATACATGGATCGAAATATCCGGATTGACGAACAGCATAGTACCAGCATCTAGTCCACGGTTGTTACGACCAGAGAGGCACTTAAGTAATGCCGTCTTTCCACAGTTTTGTGGTCCAAATATTCCATTTAGAGTGCCATAATTCAACTGGCCATTAATCTTACGAAGAACAGTTCGTGGTGGATGCATGAATTTCTTTTCGACAAACTTAAGATCAATGAAGGCGATGCCAAAGTGTGAGATGAATTTCCGGTGCCGAATTACCTCTTGGTTTTGATATGGGTTGATAATCGATTCATAGGACTCGACACTGTCTGTATTCTCCATCATGATGATAACTGTTTGAATCAACATTCACAACTGGTCTGAAAACTCAATTGTAAGACTAACACACAACCAATCATTCAGCCATTTGGCCACTTGATTTCGTGATTGGTGGCCATTCACCAGCTTTCCAAATGTTTTGAATCATTACGATCCTTATGATCGATTAATGAATCGATCGATTTTGATTATTGACGCACAATTGCCACCTAATCTTCCATAGTGATAATCGATTGAGCCGAATCTTTAGGGCTTTCTATTGATTCTGATTATACGCTTCAGTAATCTATAGTGTTTTGGTTTTGGAACTTGCTGTTTGTTTGTTTGTTGACTTAACATAATTTGCATTATAAAATTCATATTGGGGTACTTATTAGTCTTGTTATTTCAGGTGGTAATATTCAATAAATAAATAAATCAATACTCAATCATCATGAATATCACAATAAATTATCACATTTTTCCACAACATCATGAAATCAAATCAAATCAAATCATTTCGATCAAAAAATCACCATGGTGATTGTTTTTATTTTATTTTTTTTTTGCAAAACAAATAAACAACAGACACCAAAACAAATGACTCACTATAGCCACTATAGATGGTGTTGTGATCGTTAAAACAATCAACAAATCTTTTGTGGTAAAACACATTTCTTATTACAGTAATAATAATAAAAGTGTTTCGAAATATAATAGTTTGCTGTTGTTTTGAATTCGAAATTGAAATGTTGAAATGGCATCCAAAGGCAGAAACGTCTGCATCGAAAAGATATTCTGTTATGAAACCAAAAACGTAAGTTTTTTCCATTCATTTATTTTTGTTTCCATTCACTTGTTCTTGTTTGTTTTGTTCATTATTTTCATTATATATTATATGTGGGAGTAGTTTCTCTATGTGATTGGATCGACAAGTTGCAAGAGCAAACACCGAATTCTCAAGATCGATCGAAGGAATAAACAGCAATTGGAGATAGAATGTCTAGACTCTGTTATGAACACAGGTGAAATGTTGAGTTATCTACGTGAACAAGGTTTCGATACAAACAAGAGAATCGAACCAACTGTCGCTTTCGGCATAGCGGGTTTTGTTCGCTTTCTTGAAGGTTACTACATGATTCTGATCGTGAAACGACGTTGCATTGCTATGATCGGAATGCACTGTATCTATAAGATTGAGGATACCCTCATGGTTTACGTGCCTAATGAAGAAAAAACAGCCGCCGATGAACAACGCTACCTTCGTATATTTAACAACGTAGATCTCAAAAGTAATTTCTACTTTAGCTACAGCTACGACCTTTCCAATACGCTTCAGGTTTGTATTCTTTGATTCTTTCCTTTGATTAAACACATCATCAAAGAATTGTTTTTATTTGTAGTACAATTTATGTCCACAAAGTGCAAATACCATCAACAATGTTCGCTGGGGTTTCGGCACCGGACAAACTGTTTGGGACGTTAGTGACAAGTCGACGATAATTAATGGTCAGCAAAGGGAAAATGGATCTATCTACATCAAACCCAACATGAAGTTTGTATGGAACGAATACTTGTTAGCACCTATGCAAACGGTACACAATGACTTTTACCTTTATGTGTGTCATGGATTCGTCGGTCAAGCCATGCTGCCCATTCATGGTCGCAATCTGATTATCACAATAATTGCACGTCGCTCGAAAAAATACGCCGGTACACGGTTTCTGAAAAGGGGCACAAACTGCGATGGTTTCACTGCCAACGAGGTTGAAACCGAACAGATCGTTCACGATGGTAACATTTCATCTTTCCAATACGGTTTATTCTCGTCATTTGTACAAATGCGTGGTTCAGTTCCAGTCTATTGGTCACAGAACAGTGCCAAAATGACACCCAAGCCAGCCATTAATATTGATATCAATGATCCGTTCTTTGAGGCGGCGGGTAAACATTTTAACAATCTGCTTTACAATTACGGTTCACCCGTCATCGTGCTCAACTTGGTCAAGAGGAAAGAGAAACGGGCTCAGGAGTGCATTCTGTTTAACCAGTTCGAGAATTCAATCGAATACCTAAACCAATTCTTGCCCAAACTGCATCAGATCATGCTAATCGGCTATGACATGGCCAAGTCAAAGAAGCAAGACGATAACGTTATCAGCTGTCTGACCAACATAGCCCAATACACATTACGCAAAACCGGCTTTTTCATGAATCGGCTGGTAGCCAGCAATCGGCCTGTCCAGTCAGTAGTGCAAACTGGAATCGTTCGAGTGAATTGTGTCGACTGTCTGGATAGAACCAACACTGCTCAATGCGTCATCGGCATGGTTGCGTTCGGTTATCAGCTCTACTCAATGGGTGTTCTCTACAAACCGGAAATCGATCCAGATACTGACATGGTTAGACTATTGGAAGAGCTTTACGAGGACCATGGTGATACACTGGCTTTGCAATACGGTGGTTCACAGCTCGTTCATCGGATAAAAACTTATCGGAAGGGCGCGCCAATCACTTCTCAGTCAAAAGACATCATGCAGTCGCTTTCCCGTTACTACAGCAATGCGTTCGGAGATTGGGACAAGCAAATTGCCATCAATCTTTTCTTGGGCGTTTATGACACTAATCGACACGATCTTCCTCTCATCTGGAATCTGAACAGCGATTACGAATTGCACCATAACTTTTTAGGTTCTGATTTCGATGATCGCAAAGCAATCAACAGATCCATGATAGTGTCATTGACTTCGACTTCAATGTCGCAGCAGCGTATTCGTTTCACCAAGTGGTGGTCCGATCAAGTGCGTTTTTAGTATTTTTTTTTTATTAAAATTTTACTTTATTTCGGTTAGGTGGCTTTAAGCTTGCCTCGGGCAGCAAAAGAGCTTTTCAAATACACCAAGGAAGGAATGTCCCAACGAGATTTGCAGTTTGTCAAACAGATCGACTTCTATGACTGGTTTTTTGATGTACATCGGCTCCAAGAGAACACCGTTTTCGTTGAGATGTTTTTGTTCAACATGAAAAAGTCTAAATACTACGGCCATTACAAACGTAAACTTACTTCATATCGTAGCCAGAATCGACACTCGCTGGTTGACATTCCGATTATCATGCGATCAACAGCCGACGAATCTGAATCTGATGAAGAATCCGATGACGAACACGACAAAATTATTATCCGTTTCGAGAACGATCTTCACTCGATTCCGTTGGACCAGGTAGAGGAAGCAAATTATAGCAGCCGTGTCAATTCATGTACTGGTGGCCATTCTGCTGCCATTCAGCTCGAAACAAACGCCAGTTATCTGAGCAAGCCACTACAGAATAATCGAGCTCTATATGAACGTATCTTGTATCGGGTGAGACATCCGGCAACTTGTCACAACAATCCTTCCGCTACTCACGCCAATATCACCTGCTATATGGATTATCTACAATGCACACCCAAGTTTCAACAACTTATGCAACAGAGCCATCGTCGTATGTTCGATAGACGACACGATTTGAATGGCCATCCAACGGCAGAATTTTGGTGGCGTTCTCATGGTAACGATGGCTGCTATGGCATCCTTGATGGCTCATTAAGACAGCAATACAGTCACTTTTGCCGGTTTCAATGTTAAACCTACTCAGTTATGTGTTTATATATGATAATAAAATGATATATTGTTTTTATCGATAACAAATCCATGCTAACTGATTGGTTAGGTGGTAGTTAAGCCAACCTTACGTTGAGTGAGAATTATTACTCACTAATATATATATCCGTAGTAAAACGCAATAATTCAATTGCTACTTCTCGTATGGTTTTCAAAGTCTACACTATGGATAACGAATCAAACAACAATGACCAACAACAACCTGAACCGGACACTTCCCCACAACTTCGTGGTCAGTCTAACGTGGCAGAAAATGCACCCGATTTGGAATTACCAGCAGCCACCGGTCTGAAAACTTTTGGTAATATTTCCACGGATAAACATCAGATAGGACTCAGTCGCTTTGTGGTGCTCGTATTTCTCTTCTTCTATGTGGTATGTTCAATGTGAATGTCACCAAAACACCATTTTGTTTATTCCTTTGATTCCTTTCTAGTTTTTTGCCGTGCTGCTCATGGTGAACAATGCCCGACTGACCCACAAGGACCGTCTACTCAGCGAGATTATTGGTCTTAGCGTCAAGGAACGAACGATGCAGCTGATGTTTGACATACAAATTTTATTCATGTTGTCGGCCGCCGCCATAGGCCCTTTATTCATTACTACACAAAAGTTATCGCCTTTTTCTTATGGTAAGTTATGGAGATTCAACACATTGTTTTGATTATCGATTTCCACATGTTTTATAAATCTTTTAGTTTTCGTTGCTGACGTTCATTACGATTACCGTGACTATTGCGACACTAGTTTTGTCGATAAAATCCTACGATCAAATGGTGAGTATGTTGAATATTGTTTGGAATATAATCATGATTATATTTGTTTACTGTTATTTCGAACAGGGCACCAGTATCGACAACCGTGGCAATATGATCAATTTGATAAGCAAAAATATTCAATCTTACAATTGGTTTGACATGACTAACAGCTCGTCAGATTTCATCAACAAACTACAATTTGAATACCGATGTTGTGGCGGACAGCAAGGCTACCGTGACTGGGAAGTGCTTAAACCAGATAATGTTCCGTATGGCGCGTTTCCAGTAAGCTGTTGTTTACCTCGATTAGGTCCAGAATTTCAGCTTGAATGGTGTCCTTACGAGTTGGTTGAAATAATGGTAAGTGCTTCTCAATCGATGATTATTATCATCTCATTGTTCTGATTTTTCAATTGTTATTGTCCTACAAATAGCCTGACTGTCCATCGGCATTCACACGTCATTTGATCGACGTACAAAACATTTTCCACACGATGAACCTGCTTGTATTAGAATCATTGCTATTGCAACTATTGTCTGTTTCGACATTCTTGTTTCTCATATTCTATAGCAAAAATCTTTATTAATAAAGTTCGCATTGAATTGATCATTCACACTTTACAAACACATTGGTCACATATGCTGACCTAATGATTGATCGATCGAGTCATTGTAGCCATCGGTGTCATTATAACCACTGCTATTATTGATTGCCATTGCTCATCTCATCCATTGACCAATCTAATTATCCGATCGACAATCAAACGAACCGAATGCAATTACCGGCCAAAAGATCTTTGGTGGTCACAATGGTTGGTCTGGCCAAGTTAACTGATTGCAATCTTGCCATCGGTGACAAGTTGTTGGCTATCATTATCTGTCAGTACCTCAATTTCCGGCTCATAGTCAATTTCATTAATCAAGCAGATTATATCAATTGTTTGAATCATCATTCATCGCTCATAATTCACTAGGTTATTATCTGTCCTGACAATTGTCCGTCCATGGGTCAAATGGACATCCTGCAAGCAAGTTTCATTCACTCAAACGGACAATGTATGAATGTTTGTGTATTGTGTACATTGGGTGGCCAATGATTAGACATCTAATTTGAATATCCGAGACTCGGATTTTTAAGTTAGATAGTTATGATGGCACGCACATACTGCTTGGTGATGCTAAATTGGGACAGTCATACCATACACGCTGGTGGTGGTCAATGGGCAGCCCTGACCAACGTCGTTATAATGGACAACCATATCTGACATGTGACTATTGTTGATCATCTCTTTATTTTCTCTACGATCCGTACATTGCACACATATACTCAACCATTTCTCTCACCCGTTCAATCGGAAAGTTATTCCTTCATTCAGTGAATGAATGAGTAATTGGCTTGTTAATTTCCCTATTGGTTTGTGAGTGGGCCAGATGAGAGAAAGAAATGAATTGGCGCCGATATCAAGTGGATGGTTTATTATATAAAATACAATATTTCAACATTACCATTTGAACGCTGGTCAACGCCGATCCGTATATATATATTTCGATCAGTCATAGCTCAATGAATAGTGATTGCCCTACCTAATGATGATGATGGAACGTATTGATTGTGCTTGCCAAGAATCGATCAAATAGAAAATAAATCTTTATCAGTGATTTCTAATTGACTAACTGTCATCAATGAATGCAACTTGTGTCAGCATCTAATTCCGTGCATTTTTTTTTTGTTCTAGATTCTTCAACCCTCATTTCCCTTTTATTCGTTATGGCAATTGCTCGTTCTGTCTTACCAGTTATTCCACTACTCATGCTGATGCGACGTCATGATTATGGTCAGCTGCCTACGACATCAAATATTATACAGAATGCAGCTTCATCTTCACCTCTAATCATGAATCAACGAGACCATTGGGACCATGAGTATGATTATATTATTGTAGGAGCCGGTTCAGCAGGCTCTGTCTTAGCCAATCGGCTATCCGAAGATGCCTATATCAAAGTGTTGCTTCTCGAAGCTGGTGGCAGTGAGAACATAATTTCTGACATTCCATTGGCATACCAAAGTTTGCAGCAAACACCTATGGACTGGAAGTACGTAACCGAACCGCAACAAGCAGCATGCTTCGGAATGAAATCCAGAGTATGTACCAAACAAAATTCATTCGAAAGACAGATATGTAAATTGTTATTTGTTTGTAATGAGATTATCTAAATCGGACCATTTGTCATGATTTTCGTTGACCACTTCCTGTATGGGTCACTATGTGAATGGCAGTCTTCATGTCCACATTTACCAATGTCAACCATGACTGACGAGGATAATCCTCTTAGGCTCTAACGGATTATTTTCCAGTTTGTCAGTTATTGTTCAAACAATTCACAAGCATAACGATATATACTGACAGTGAGAGAAAATTGGCCATTCAAGTTGTTGATTAATCATGGCTACGGTTGAGAAGCAAGCCAAGCTAGTCGATAGCGAAATCGAGAGTGGAAGTTGGCCATTGAACCAACTGGCAAGCCATAATGCACACATACATAATACACATAAACACAAGCATATTCGTATAGATTGCTCTAAATATAGTCTGGCAATATTCATGTCGTGAGATAGACAATCATTCAAAGTATTAACCACGACCATTAAACTATTGCCATTGAACGGCGCCTGTATCGATGAAAGACATTGTGCATTCAAGTCACTTGTTCAATTAGAGTGGATTCTATTTATAGCCAAATCTCTTTATCCATGGTCATTGATTAATTGGATTTGATTGTTTATTTCAGAGAAGCCTTTGGCCTCGTGGCAAAGTTCTTGGTGGTTGCAGCGTTCTCAATGTTAACCTATATGTTCGTGGAAATCAGAATGACTACGATGAATGGGCCAATAATGGTGCTACCGGTTGGTCATGGCGGGATGTGTTTCCGTATTTCCTCAAGTCCGAAGACAATCAGAATAATGAATACATGCTAAATGGTTACCATACACGTGGTGGATATCTCACCGTATCACAACTCAAATACCTGACACCAATTGGACAGGCTTTCATACGAGCCGCTCAATACATTGGCTATCCTGTGGTCGATGTGAATGGCCCGTACCAAAGTGGTTTCACTGTGCCTCAAGGTACGATTCGCAATGGTGCAAGATGTTCGGCAGCCAAGGCTTTTCTTAAACCCGTTCAACATCGTTCCAATTTGCATATATTGACATTTGCATTTGTCACGAGAATCTTGTTCAACGAAGAAAAACGTGCTGTCGCTGTACAATTTGACCGATTCAAGCTCAGCCATCTGGTTTATGCTCGCAAAGAGATAATCGTGAGTGCCGGTTCCATCAACTCACCACAACTTCTATTATTGTCAGGAGTGGGACCCGCCGTTCATCTCGAAAAACTGGGTGTAAGTTGTAATCCACCACGCATATCACATTTATATTACTAATTTTTTCTTCATATAGATTTCGATCATCTCAGACCTTCCAGTCGGCAATAATCTTCAAGACCATATATATCCTGGGGGCATCCATTTTGCTGTCACCTATCCAGTTACTTTTAGTCAAGAACGGACATTTAAGCCAACCAATGTAGCAAAGTACTTCACTTCCGGTACAGGTCCGCTCACCTCTCTTGGTGCAGTAGAGGGACTAGCATTTGTGAGTACCAAATTTGTCAACGTCAGCCAGGATTGGCCTGACTTTGAGATCCATCTTTCTTCGGCTACGATCACCACCGATAATGGCAAATATATGCGCAAGTATATGGGCGTCACTGACAAAGTAAGTTTGATCAGATATCATTGTCGTTGCTTTGTTTAACTGTGGATATGTCAGGTTTGGCAACAAGTATACTCGCCGTATGTTCAGTACGATTCATTCACATTGGATCCTGTGTTGCTGAGGCCTAAAAGTCGTGGCTATATTCGACTTCGATCAAATAATCCATACGAACATCCAATCATCGATCCTCGTTACCTGAGTGCACCAGAGGATATTTTTGCCATGGTTGAGGGCATGAAGTTGGCAATAGCCATCGGTCAAACACCACCTTTGAAGCGTTATGGTGCTCATCTATTTCAGACAGTGTTTCCAGGTTGTGAAGGATATTCTTTCATGGGCGACGAATATCTTGCCTGTGTTGCTAGAACTTATACGGCCACCATCTATCACCCAGTTGGAACTTGTAAGATGGGTTCTATTGATGATGTTACATCAGTGGTCGATCCACGACTACGTGTGTATGGTGTTTCTAATCTCAGAGTGGTTGATGCATCAATCATGCCCAACATTGTATCCGGCAACACGAACGCTCCAGTCATCATGATCGCGGAGAAAGCGTCAGACATGATCAAACAGGATTGGATAGGATATTGAATCAACGAGAGAACCAAACCATTGCCATTGTAAATATCACCAGGTTTACCATACTGTACATTAACCATTTGATTACGGTCAGACATTTGTTGTGGAATAAAAGCTAATTTCTATGTGAGACTGACAAGCATAATGTTGTTGATTCATTAGTAGCCACTATTATAATAAATTCAAATTGGCTCTAGAGATGTTTTATTTCTCAAGATGGCATTACAGTCTAGAGTCTAGACTTTAGAGAAAATAATTTCTTTTTTGGTCAAACTTTCATTACCAATATCTAGAGTCTAAAATGAGTTCCAGATACTAAGCCCAAATTCATTTAGAAAAAAAAACCTTTTCTCTATTTAATCGTGGAAAATGTTTTTGTTTTGTTTTCTATGAAAAATCTGGTTAACGAAGCTTCGAAAAAACCCTTTCTCTCATAGAACGTAATGTATTTTACCAATGAAAACTTTTTTAATCATTCAATGTTTTTGTTAGCCTATAAGAACTACATATGCAAACATTAGATTGTAGTCGTCCTTGAATGCAGGATCAACAGTCCAATTGAATGCTAGCCACTTTGGCTCACTTTCATTGAAGCGATCTACTCTTTTGATCGATGTTAATGAGGAAATGGCCAACGGCATAAAACAACATTAAACGAATATACTATGAAAACAACTTTGAAGCTAGCAATACGTGTTAACGCCGCTCCTTTTTATCATGTGTGTACATTGGCCAAGTTTATTAACAACGACAACAACCACAACAACAACAACAACAACAACAAACATATCACGATGACAAGTTACGGGCTGTATGGTGCGATTGGCCATGGTTGTCTTTTATTGCTAGTTATTCATAATTCAATTCGATAATCGTCGATAGACGCAGTTCAGAAAAGAGATCGTCTACTATAGTTGCTTTATTGGTATTAAATAGTTGAGTATTGTTGCGACAACAATATACAAACACTTCAACCAATCTTATCGATAAAATGGCGTCCAAAAGAATCCAATTTAGACCATTGATTTGTTTGTTGATGAATAGTGGCCAAATAGGGCGCCAATTACATAACCGAACTAGTCCAAAACAGACCGCAACGGCAACAGAATCAACTCAAGCCACAACAAGTGGACCTTATCCTGGCAGATGGCAATCAATAAATGGTGGCCTGACTGAATTAGATGATCAATTGCAACAGGTCAAAGTGTTTGCCGAAGAGCAAATCATCCAAGTAATTATAAACTTTTCCCTTTATCCACATTCTATCGCCTGGCTAACCAATCCATTACTATTGTAGTTTACGTTCAAATCTGGCAAATCGGTCAACTACACAATGTTTTGGTTACGGCACCTATGCTCCTGTCCGGATTGCATGAGCGGCAAATTCAATCAGGCAATGACAATCAATACCAACACTAATACGGCAGTTGACGAGAATTTAGCGTCGTTAAATGTGGCACAGATCCGATGTTATGCCGATTCGAGTGAATTCGAAATCGAATGGCTGGACGATGATTATCGAAGACACACTAGCATCTACAACATCAAACACCTCAATCTCCACTACAGAATGATTAAATGATTAAAATTAAATACAAAAAATCTTTTATTCGCTCGTAAAATGATAGACCCAATTTAAAGTGATTGTAATTTTATTTGTATTCAACAACCGGGTATTTTGGTATGATCAATACATGTCCGACTTACTTCGTCAAATGCCTGTAAGTGATTGGCACAATGATGCACGGTTTTCTCCAGTCCAAAATCGCCTTTTTTGCATTCGTAGTATGTGGCACAATAGGTCTTATCGCGGAAGAATCCTTCTTCATGGCAATGAAACACGCCTGGTATATCGGTCACATGTTCTGTTGTATGTGTGACTGGAGGAAGTGTAACGACGGTCGGTTCGGTTACCACGCCATGATAATAGTTCGATTGGATAGCATGCAACAAAGGGTTTTTATCACCACAAACGCCGTGCACATCTTCGTTGGACAATGTGTAGACTGACATTCCAGCATATCCTTGTTGGGTTATGTTTTTTGCTTTTTCACCAAGTGTATGTCGGTCTTCGAAAGAGATCCATTCTGCATGGTTGCTATGCACATAGACAGCGTAAATTGCGGTATTATCATGATCACGAGTAATGGTGAATGCATTCGTTTCGGCCTGAATCTGAACGCACAATTCGTTGTAGCTAAGGAAACCATCAGTCTGTGTAAACTGACCTCGTGGGCCTGGTCCACTAGCTTTATCGCCAATGTCCTGTTTGTTCATTTTCTCGAGAATCCAGGTACGTGCATAAAATGGTACAGCCATGACCATCTTATGACGTGGAGCGCCTCGTTTGTGGTAAGCTTCTAGCGTTTTGAGTTGTTCAGGAAACGGAGAAGCATGACCGACCGTATGGGCCCATGATCCAGTGTAATCCAGACTAAGCACGTTCATAAAATCGACATAGTTGGAGATGGCAGGAATGTTATAGTTATCGTATGATGCGATCGTTGCCGGCAAGGTAACACCCATCACAAACGAGGTGTGAGCAAACTTTTCGTCGAATTTGTCCAACAATTTAATGAAATTATCACTATCTTTGGCTTGCATGCCAGACCAATCAATCATGACACCATCGAAACCATAACGAGTCATAAGATCAACTGTGCTAACAACAAACGTTTCCCGATAATGTTCTACCGCTGCAGTCTTGGAAAATTGATCGGACATAGTCGAACCACCGACGGCGATCATGGCTTTGGCGTTGCCCTTATGCTGCGTGAAATGTTCCATGTCATCTGGTGTGTGGATATGAATATTACAAAAAAAATCAGCAAAATGACATAAAGACTTACGTAAATCTTTCATAAGATATTCATCCAATAGTTTAATCTCATGAGTGGCAGCATCAATGCCGAAATAAGAGTAGACAATGTGAGTACACAACGATGTATCTAGGGAAGCGAGCCATCAGTCAGTATGAATCGATTGTATACAAACAAAAAACAAACCTATGTCTTCGGGATCCATTTTGCCTTCACCTTGGCGCCAATGTACCCAAGATTCATAGTAACATACAGTTTTAGGTTCCAAAGTTGCCACATTCGGACGAATATTTGAACCGAAACAAGCGGCAAGTACGGCCAATACAGTCAAAGAGAATCGAGTCATTTTTATTTGGGATAGATAAACAAACTACGCACACATGAATTGTCAACGAAAACAATCTTATTTATAGCAATCAATTTTGAATGACCATTTTTATTATCAGATTCAATCAGGATACAGCCTGGATCGATTGCATCGATTTTGATTGCAAAGCACATAACAACAAAGTCATTTTAAGTCAAGTACAATCATTCACAAGTGCTTGATCACTTAGGCAACTATCAAATTAGCCACGTCTTTACACAACAATTGCTCCTGTAAATCCTTTTCCGCAAGCTGTAATATTTGGATGAACGAACTCAGTTCCAGTTTGTTCATTTCGATGGAGAGGGTTCGACGCTGTTGATCAGCTCCAACAATGACTAGAGTTAACTTGACCAGTAAACTTTGCATGCTGGCCATTTGATCGTTGCAGACCACTTGCACCAGCGACCAATCATAATTATCCAGATAGCCGTGACGTGAGCTGGCCGCTCTGAAAGCGATAGCTTTGAAAAGCTGTAGTCTACGAATTCTCAAACACTCAGTGGCAATCCGTGTCACATTCTCGTCCAATTCCTGGATAATCAAGACATAAAATAAACATAATTCATTAATTCTGTTAATTAATTTATATAAAACTCACTTCTTTCTTGGTGAAATCATTCAAACTATCCTGAGAAACATTTGTCAGAAAAAATTGTATCATATGTTCACTGAGGATGATTAATGTATCCTTGTCAATGGGAAATTGGTTGTAGAATTGATCATCGAGGTAATACTGCTTAGATTGTTGAAGATCAATTACATACATGTCGCAGCAGACATCGAGAATTCGGTTGAAAAACTGCAAACAAACAAAAAAAAAGAAAATTAAGATTGACGAATTTTATCAATTGTCATGTCAATAATAACATAACATTTAATTAATGTCAAGGAATGTCTTACCTCATTTAGCAGATCATTTGTCCATTCATTCAACTGTTGAAAATTAACGGCCATGATCAATGAAATTGATATGATTGACCAAATTCTTATAAAATAGTCGAGCTCAAATATGCTGACTATTTTGACTGTGAATGGTCAAATTCTGTTTATGTTATTGATTTTATTAGCTTAATTAACAAATGAAATGGTTTTGGGACAATCGCTTATCGTCATATTGACAGCTTTGACAGTGTCCATTTGCTCAGGTAGATCATCACTGTTGATGTGTATAACAATTGTGATAAATCAAACTCATAATAGATCCAGATGTAGATCCACAGATACTATACACAACTGAAGCCTTCTATACGCCCTTATTGCTTAATCGAACTGGATGGTCATTTGGTGGTGTACCAGTCACCCAATTAGAGGTGATGCCTTCGTTGAGTGGTCATGCCGATCTGCTTAATTGGATGTTCTACTTTCGCCGGCCAAACTCACCGATTGGTTTCATATATGGCACCCCACCACTCAATGACGATGGTGACATAGACATTGATCTTGTCATACTGAACCGTGTCACCTTTAACACGACCAGCTACCGATTAAAATATCGAATACTCAATCGAGATGGTGAGTCAAGTTCGTATTATATGGCCAATTCACTCACTCATTTACTGTTATCTTTGATCGTCAGAGATCTACAAGTTTCAAGTGGAGGTAAATGAAATGACTTTTGAAATATTGTCACAGTGAAATATACATTCTTACTTATAGATGAAATTCTTTGATATGGACATTGAAGACTTTTTCAATGGTGGCATGCTGACCACAGTTCAAGATATTTTTGCAAATCGTTTATGGCAGAGTGGTGATCACAACGCTAACTCAGTATACGTAACTCAAGTTGCCCGGCCGATTCATGTAGGCGGGAGATTTCCGCTCGATCCAAGCGAGAAAGAATGGTATTTTACAGATGTAAATACGACTTACTATAGTACTAATGATCTTTTTCCATTTCAACAGTGTGGTCATTCGAGTGGGCTGTAACCATAATTTCACTCAGCAATTGTATCGACTGGAAAGCGAAGTTCGTCAGATCAAAAACCGTGATCCATGTCCCAAACACTACAAGGCTACCACCGTTGAGTATGTGTTCCGAGAACGAAAATTACACGTAGATTGGTGTAGTTTCAAATTAATTAGCCCGTCGACAATTGAATGAATCCCGTTTCAGATCTCATATACAATCTACTCAAGAAAGTTGATCAAATGTAGAATATTATAACACATTATAATTTAGAATTCGACATGAATTATTTTATGTCTAAATATAGCAAAAACATAATTTACTTGGATGAAGGTAGATGGCATTGTGACACTTTGTTTGTAAACTTACATCCTATGAACGGGACACTAATACAGTCACATGTTCATATGAAATAGCGTGAAGTTATATTTTATTATTATGGCTACATCAGATAATAATAAAGGCGATTATGAAGATATTTCTGACCAACTTTACCCTGACCGTAAGCGAAAATCGGCTTCACCAAGTGAAAAGCAATCTTCTTTTTGGTACGATCTTCTTACCGGTAATAAGAACACAGCCGAGAATTTTGTTCGAATTCGATGTCGATACAAAGTGGAAAAAGCGTTGAACGAAAGTAAGTGTTCATTTATGAATGTTATCTAACTAAATGAGTTTTCGTTTCTACAAACAGGTCCTCTGGTAAAGTTGTTAGTATCTGCATTGCGATCCAAAGGATGGTATGTATCGATGATTGTATGAAATGTATTTAGTTGAATATTTGAAAAAACTTTATGGATTTGCATAGAAAATCGGTTTTCTCTTCATCTATGGTTAGATTAGTTTGCATTCATGTTAGATTTGGCTTGTATTTTCGAAAAGTATACACTTATATAATAGTTTGGTATAATAGCTAATTTTCGCATTTTTCCTTTCAGTGAAATCGACATGAATCGACACATTTGCTGTGAGAATTGTGGAGAGCAGGTGACCGGTGGCTACGATACGACACGTAATCAGATTGTCGTATGTCACAATCGCGTCTATACTAAAGAGATGACTGCCGCAGTCATTGGACATGAATTGATTCATATGTTTGACTATTGTCGCGCTAAACTCGATTTCAATAATTTGGACCACATCGCCTGCTCTGAGGTAAATTCATTTTTGACGTCACCCACTTGATTTACCAATCGTTTTGTACGCAGATTCGTGCTGCTAATTTAGTTCACTGCTCGATGACAAGTTCATTCTTCTCTGGGACCACTGGATTCAACAAAATAGGTGCATCGCATCGGGAATGTGTAAAGGCCAAGGCCCTTTCATCTATTCTGGCCGTACGGAAAGGAATGCCTATCGAACAAGCTGCACAAGTGGTAGATCGTGTGTTTGATCGATGCTACAATGATTTGGAGCCAATCGGCCGCAGAATACGGCTTAATTCACGTCACATTAAATGGGCATATCGTGAACGGTTTCTCTATGATTACGACTCTTTCACTTAGCATCAATGTTTGTCTTGATGATAGTTTTGTGTGTGTAGTTAATGTTTTTTAAAATTACGATTAAATTGTGAAATTCTCAAACTTGTTTGATTAATACTTTGCTTCTAGCTGGACGATGTCCAGCCTTCCTAATTTATTAAGATGTGCTAGAGCAGTCATTCTCAACCACTGTGCCGCGGCACTTTTGTGTGCCGCGAAATTCTAAGATTGTGCCGCCAAATTTTAGATTTAATAAAATGAAAATATTTTTTGTTTTGATACATTTGAATATTATGGTAATCCTGAATCAAAAACATGTACTTCGATTAGTCAAATATCTATTAATAGTTGTGCGAATTGTTTGTAGTGGAACCAACATAGGAAAAATAAATATAATTAAACAAACAAATAAAAGCAATTCTTCTTTAAACAATTTTTTATTAATCAATGTTTTACAAAAAGTGCTAGATTCTAGAAATGGCAAGTCCAAACTAACACGACCAGTTCAGAATTCAAAATCGAGAAAATAACAAATCCAAACTAACACGATCAGTTCAGAATTCAAAATTCACAATCGAGAAAAAGGCAAATCCGATCTAATACGATCAGTACAAAATCAAGAAAATAACAAATCCAACCTAACACGACCAGTTCAGAATCGAGAAAATAACAAATCCAAACTAACACGATCAGTTCAGAATTCAAAATTCACAATCGAGAAAAAGGCAAATCCAAACTAACACAACCAGTTCCGAATTCAAAATTCAAAATGGAAAAAATGGTAAGTCCAAACTAACACGACCAGTTCAGAATTCAAAATTCACAATCGAGAAAAAGGCAAATCCGACCTAACACGATCAGTACAAAATCAAGAAAATAAATCCAACCTAACACGACCAGTTCAGAATCAAAAAAATAACAAGTCCAAACTAAAACGACCAGTTCATCTTCAATGGCAGAACATCCGATACATATCGAATTAATTAAATGTAACAAACATTATTTAACTCTGAATCTTGGAAAACACAATTCATCATTGAAAATAATTTTTAATGAATCTAAAAAACGGTATAGAAACCAACCAATTCTGGTAACTAATTCCAATAACTAACCATCTGAACTGCTCGTGTTAGGTTGGATTTGTTATTTTCTCGATTCTGAACTGATCGTGTTAGGTTGGATTTGTTATTTTCTCGATTCTGAACTGCTCGTGTTAGGTTGGATTTGTTATTTTCTCGATTCTGTATTTTGAATTCTGAACTGCTTGTGTTAGGTTGGATTTGTTATTTTTTTGATTTTGAATTCTGAACTGGTCGTGTTAAGTTTGACTTGTTATTTTTTTTATTTTGAATTTTGAATTCTGAACTGGTCGTCTTAGGTTGGATTTGTTATTTTCTCGATTCTGAACTAGTCGTGTTAGTTTGGATTTGCCATTTTTTTGATTTTGAATTCTGAACTGGTCGTGTTAAGTTTGACTTGTTATTTTTTTTATTTTGAATTTTGAATTCTGAACTGGTCGTCTTAGGTTGGATTTGTTATTTTCTCGATTCTGAACTGATCGTGTTAGGTTGGATTTGTTATTTTCTCGATTCTGTATTTTGAATTCTGAACTGGTCGTTTTAAGTTTGACTTGTCATTTTCTCGATTGTGAACTGGTCGTGTTAGGTCGGATTTGCCTTTTTCTCGATTGTGAATTTTGAATTCTGAACTGGTCGTGTTAGGTCGGATTTGCCTTTTTCTCGATTGTGAATTTTGAATTCTGAACTGGTCGTGTTAGTTTGGACTTACCATTTTTTCCATTTTGAATTTTGAATTCTGAACTGGTTGTGTTAGTTTGGATTTGCCATTTTCTCGATTGTGAATTTTGAATTCTGAACTGGTCGTGTTAGTTTGGACTTGTCATTTTCTCGATTGTGAATTTTGAATTCTGAACTGATCGTGTTAGGTTGGATTTGTCATTTTCTCGATTCTGAACTGGAATAAACGAATTAACAACAAATACACTACATACTGTTATTTTTGTAGTACATATTATATATTATTTTATTTAGCACATTTAAAATCATTATCATAATCTATTTTACGCAGTGCTTTTTCTTTGTGTGCCGCCAAATTTTGAAATCGTAAAATGTGTGCCGCAACAAAAAAAAGGTTGAGAATCACTGTGCTAGAGTGAAAGAATCATTAGTAGTTTATAGAGAGAGAGAGAGAGAGATGAATGCACAGTAAATGTTGTGATGTATGGCTGATCAAATTGAATCGTGATATTTTTGTTATTACCCGCCTTATTGAGGCTGATGTGTGACGTATTGAATTGGCCAGTATCCAGGCATTTATTTCAGGGATCACGGATCATATATAACTCGTGTTTCACGTGTACTGACTGCGTGTGCGTTCATTGTGCTGGCTGGTGATCCGAACTGAAAATTCTGTATGCACGTTCATGACGACGAGCCTGGTCGTTGTGATGTTTCTCATATTGATGAGCAGTAGCCAAGTTTGACACAAGAACAGGGAGTGTATGCTGTAAGAATTGCCTGCTGCAATTGTTTGCTTCAATCCGAAACACCAGAATCACTGAGCCAACCATAAAATTCTTTGTGTAGTGCCAATCTAAATATTGATCAAAATCAAATTTAACCCATGAAAGCGAAACGCTTGTCAGGGGATTTTAGTAGCCAGATGGCTAGAGCCAATGTGTCCAGCCTATTGACACAGCTAGGCCTCACTTCTCCATCCACTGGTTCATCGACCACATCGCCCTCGTTGTCACCGTCCTCGTCATCTGGGTCAATGGCTGCAACTGTAACGGCATCAAAGGTACCAATCGGTCCATGTTCGTCTTCACCCGCATCCTCTGGTCATATTAGCGATAAAGTTCAAGTTATCGAAATGGCAGATATGGCCGAATACCGGCGTTCTGTGATCAGCTCATACAATGTCCGATTCATTGGGTCAATCGCATTACGGAAACGACAAACCTATCCTATGTTGAATTGGATCTTGACCGATCTACTATATCAGTCAAAATGTGTTGGCATGGACTTATCTGCCTGCATCACCAATTGTCTGATGAAAGAAAACGACAACGAAAGAACCGAAGGTTTTCGACATCTCAAGCAGCAGTTAACACAGGATGGCGACCAGACCAAAAATGGATTGCTTATCAACATGGACATGGTGCTGGCCACTACATCGGAAGGCAACTCGTATATGTTTCAGATGTGCAATCCAGTTGATGGACAATGTCTTTTGAAGCACAAATTTAGCCGAATTTTTCTGTTTGGAAAATACTGTCGCCAACCATCGTTGTTTTACTATATACACAAGTCAGATGAGGACGTCGTAAACGCTGTGCCTAGTATCTATCTGTTTCAGGCGGAAAACCAAGTCCAGGTAAGATTCTAATTGCCAAATTTATGCACTTGACTCAAACTGTTTTCTCACATAGCAATCGGAAATTTGTATGAAGTTTAATGAATTTCGATGCAAACTGCAGTCATTAGAATCGACCAAAGGTACTAGATCAACAAATGACTCGAGCGATACGAACAGCACGTACAATCCGTTGTTTGAGCTGAACAACCAACAAATCAACATAAATAACAATTGCTTCGAAGTACGTCATATTGGCTCTGTGCTTATCACACAGAAACGATCCACACCATCCATGATTGACCGGGCAGCCGACAAGCTCCACCGAGAAATTCTATGTGACTATCCTCCCGATTCTGAATCTACGCTTGCATCCGATCGATCAGCTGAATCAACCGCTGTCACCACCACTGCTTCAACCAGTAATAAACCAACGGTCATCACCACCACAGGTTGCTCCCGTCGTCAATACCGCAAGAACCGTTTTCTCGTACAAGTCATTGAAGAGTCTAACGAATCAAATGAGCCAAGCAGCTCGTTGCCGCACCCATCTTCGATAGAAAGAACCATCGAAGAAGAATCCAAATGCTGGCCGCCAGATTCAAATGGAGGCAAGCAAGAGCCAAACAAAACAATGTTATTCATTATTGGCACTATGGACATCTGTCTTATTTCAACCGAAAACCACCGACAAGTCTATTCCAAAGTATTTGCCAACATTTCTCACTGCTCCCAGGGTTCAAAACACGCTGATCACTTTGGAGTAATTGTACGTGAACCGTACGTTCCACCACAACCTTCCGGTTTGGACTTTACATCCATGTCGCATCAGTCGACCACAGCTACCGCCTTTCAAAAAGTATCGTCGTCCACAAACGCCAAAACATCTACCACATCCGCTGTCGAGAATTACGTATTGCACATATTCCAGTGCCAATCTGAGTCGATCGCCAATGACCTTTTATGCTCATTGCGACAGTCTTTCAACAACGCCTTTCGTCACCAACAAGCCGCTACTGCCACAAAGACAGCAGCGGCTTCCGGAAGCAAGGACAATTCGCCTTCATCAGCTTCAGGTTCGCAGGAAAACATTTCAGCAGCTTCAGCACAACCTCTAAAAGGTTCGACAACTTTTAACAACACTCAGTATTGCGGCAATTGCCCGATGAACTGGTTCCATCAGCTTTGCCTTGATATCTACGGCCTCGACGATGTTAAAATTTTTGCCATGTTGCTTCACAGAATACGGCACGGTTCTTCAGAGCGTCGTTGGCGCGAGTATCACAACGTATTCGAGTATTTACAGTTAGATAAACTTGAACAACGTGTCGACTTATTGGTCATTATGCTTAAGGCAAGAGTGGAACGAATGCAACGCTATCATGAAATACGTGATGGCAAATGTCGCATGGATCTGATCAGTCTATATGAACAAATCGAACAACATGACCCGGTTTTACGTCAATACCAGCAGCAGAAATCTACTCTCAGTTTGAATCGGCTTGAAGGCCTTCGAATGATGGCTCGTAGTTCCATTAGCAATACGTTCGATGCATTTCGAAAAGTGAGTAATTTTAATTTTTTTCATGTAATTTGACTAATAGTGATGCTTCTCTCATAGCGTAATCGACAATCCCAGTCCAACGAGAATCTACAGAACAACTCTGCAGCCAGCTCACCTTTTTCCTCGTTAATGAACCTCAACTCGCCGACATTGTTCAGCGGTGGTTCATTATTTGAATCGTTGTTGGTTTCCGAACAACCAACAAATGATCATCAGGCTTCAATTGCGACTGTAAGTCAGGCTAGCAATCGCGACAACAATCAGTCATTTCAACGCCGTAACACGGTGGCCAACTGTGGCCGAGACGACGAACTCGAATCTGTAGTAGATAAACAACAGAATCCACTTTGTAAAAGTAACTCGATTGACGAAGAAGACGAGGGAAATCTTGCATCAAACAACCAAATTAGCCAAAAGCAATCGACACCTACAACCACAGGTTCCAGATCTGGGACACCATACCGCAACCAACCATTAATGGACATCTACATAAAGACCTCCAGTGGTAATGCTATGTCATCAGCTCAATTTTCCAGTATGGAAGAATTGCGACAGAATCTCAACCAATTGCTTGATCCGATGTTGCTTGCCACTGAGACCGTAAACGAAGTGAACAAAATTCCAGACGAAGACCACGATGATTCAGTTTTTGAAGATACGAAGCGCATAAATTTGCACCATGACCAGAATAACATCGAGCCAAGTGATGAAAATCCACAATCCGGTTCTGAAGCCTCGTCAGCCATCCAGATGCGTCATCAGTTATTTCGTCGTATTCGAAAATCGCTAAACGCATACAAATCCAATGCCGACATTGAAAGCCTTATCAATCACAGCAATGCAGGATCCTGTTCGCTTATAGACCGCGTAAGTCAATTATATGTGGATATTCCGACCATCGAGAATCAATCACAACTGGAAATGACAATACTTCAATGGAACAAATTGATAGAAATGTTTGAGGCTTATTGTCACAATAATCCTTGCCAACCCCAACAACTGCAACCTAACGTCGTCAATGAAGACGAAGGTGCGATCCAAACACAAGCTCAAACTATGCACTGGTGGAGCCACTACGAACGATCCATTGTGGAAGCACTTCGAATGGGTGTACCAAAAGAGATTAGATCAACTGTGTGGAAGTTCCTGGCTAAATATCGTCGCTACCACCAACATGGACAGTATGATAACTCATTGCTTCGCGATCGTCCTAGCTACCGCAGCTTGCTTAAACAATTGGCCATCCACCAACACGCCATATTTGTTGATCTTGGTCGTACGTTCCCAACAGTACCTTATTTTGCAGAGCCAATGGGTGCCGGTCAATTGGCACTTTACAATCTGCTAAAGGCCTATTCGTTGCTCGACAAAGAAGTTGAATACTGCCAAGGTCTTAGTTTCGTTGCTGGAATACTGCTATTGCACGTAAGTGTCTATATCTTGCAAATCATTCAGATTATCAGTTATCTTTCTCGTAGATGAACGAAGATGACGCCTTTGATCAACTTTGCTATGTTTTATACGAATGTGGACTTCGGGAGCAATACAAACCATCGATGGATGCATTGCAGGTAAGTCTAATTAGCATTACCATACAATGAAAGCCTAATTAATCTTTTATTCGAACAAAGATGCAAATGTACCAACTGAACCGCCTGCTCTATGACTTGAAACGGCCACTTTATGACCATTTGGATAAAATGGACATTTCACCCACGCTGTACGCTGCTCCTTCATTCCTTACCGTATTTGCCTCCCAATTACCTATTGGATTCGTGGCCCGAATGTTTGGTTTGTATCATATCGCTCAACATTAACAAATTCTTTAATTAATTGTTATGCTTATCTTTAGATTTGCTCATGTTCTATGGCATGGAAGCTATTTTCCGTGTGTTCTATCTTCTTATCGACCGAATTCGAGAAGAGATTCTCAGTACGCAAGTTGGAGATTTGGAGCGTATCATGCACCTTCTACGAGTTGTCATGCTTGATTTGAGCAACGATGATATGGCCCGATTGTTTGATCAATGTCTTCCGGTGATTACCAGCAACAGCAAGCACTCAATTCATTCGATGAAATCGCGGCTAGAACAATACCGACTTGAGTACCAGATTCTGCAGGAAGAATTTGTCCATCTTAATCAGATCAACAAGCTGGCCGTCGAGCAAAAATTACAGCTCAAACAGAAACAGCAACTCAAACCTGTCCATCCAAAAGCCGAACATCAGCTAACGTCAGTTGAAACAATTGCTGCAGCTGCCAATCTGGATACATCAGCTTCGGGTTCTGCCAAACTGATTGAGTGCCTTCGAGAGGAGAATCGTCGATTACGTGAACAAATGGAGCGACTTCATAAACAGAATTTGCAGCTCAGCCGACAGATCGATGAGCTTCAATCTCTAGGCCGACGCCAGAGCCATTGATACTCTTTAAAACACACACACACACACAAATACACACCTGAAATTAATATAGTGCCTTCAAGCTATTTAAACTACTTTTTTAATAGATTTTTGCATACGGACACGCGCACCCTACCGGAAATGGTGTGACAATGGCCACCATTAATAATATGTAATCGTATAGCGTATGGTGGATACACACTTGACACACACACACAGAGTATATTGTTATGGCATCATTTACCATCCTGCACATACCAAGACACGAACCAAGTTGTTTGCTGTGAAAACAATAAAGCCAAACCATTTGAACGGAAACCAGAGCCCATCATTCACATCAGGCCAAACAAAGCAACCGCTCATTTGCAATCTATTCAATTCTGGAAGCCAGCACATACACACATACACATATTGAAAGTTGTAGAGAATGGAACAGGAGCAAGTTTAATTTAAAATTTTAATTTATTCTTTCTCTCATACACATACTAAACACAGCGGGCATCCTGTGTCCTCTATGTGTGTGTGTGTGTGTGTGTATGTATTTGGCCATTCATCATAATTGCTGTTGTGTTGGCTCTTGTTCCAATTGACAATGGGTTCTATTTATCAGTATTTGTGAGTGTTTGTCCAACACCTTCAATATGAATGAAAAAATCGACCAGAAAAGAGATTGTCATTCTGGTCACGCAAACAGGCAATAAATCTGTTATATTCTAATATAAATCGAATATACAACATTGAATGACCTAGGAGTCATGAATCGATGGCCAATCGCTACGGCTAAAATTTTCATCCATCATCAATCAGGTCCGCTTGATCGAGCCGTCAATTCAACTATCGAATCGATTTATCGGCGTTGGCTAGTGAAAAGCCTTTATGAACGATTCACCTGAAACGTGAAGAGGGTACTTGAAACTTAGCAATCAGAGTGGCTCTTTGCTGCCTTGTATATGGATACATCAGTGAGAAGGCCGCTGCCATCAAATCAGATGTAATGAAACTCATTATGTTCCAGCAGTCTTGTTAATTGCCATGAACATTAGGCCATTAATGCATGTCTATATTGTAGACGTATTGCTTCCTAGTTGTCGTTGGTTTTAGATGTTGTCATTATCAATATGATGATTAGGGTCATTAAGACGGCCATACTTACTCTTTCATCATTATAAAATGATCATAAGGCCTAGATGATAAGGCCGGCACGTCGACATTAAAATTTCCGAACCCGATAAAGACACACACACACACGAACAACCTGGATATGATACACATAGAACCGAGAACATATAGTGAATTTCAAGCAAAACTCATTTTATCTTTTTGGTTTGTTGTCGGTTGGTAGTAATGTTGATAATTTAATAATGGTTAATCTCATTACACAATCAGAATCATTTCCAGCCATTCTAATGCGATTACAATGTTATTCTGTTATCATGTAATGTTCCATTATTTTTCTACTTGATTCGTTGTTGTTGTACAAAAACTATCGTCAGGTTGACTTTGTCCATTGTGATGCCCAACATTCGACGGCTGCTAATCGCTGACATCGTTGTTCTAGTTGATTCATATGACCAATCCAACTGTGCTGTGAATAGTGATGTTGTTGGTCGGCTGGAGCCATGAACAAACGACCGTTATTTTCGCACAAACATAGTTGCCCTACGGTCAGATAAGTACGACCTAATTTGGTTGGCACAATGGTTCTTATGGCTTGAGAATTCAGCTGAATTCTTGTAGTGTTGATCATAATACGACCATGGCCACTGTGAATAGCAATTGCCACTTGCCGACTGTTCATTCTCACAGAATGGTTTTGAGAATTGATTGTCAGATGTCTGGTTCCACGTAGACGAATATGATTTGTATAAGAAGTGAGCATCAGACTTGACGAAGTTGAATTATGAACCGATTGTAGCTGCATCACTTGGGCAGATCCATTTTTCATTGAAAGGGCCCGATTCTGCAGGGCAGGCGTCGATCTCATTACAACTTGATCGACAAACAGTTTAGATGAGGCAGGGGTTTGATGGTCGATGAGCATTAATAAACGATCATTATGACTTGATCGAACAGTGATCATTTCACCCACTTTGGCCAGCATTGAATCGGAAGTTAAAGCTAATGCAGCCATCGATGATGACCATTGATGAGGACGCATTTCTAAATCGGCAGATTGAACACGTAATTCAGATGAATCCTGTAGTAGATAGAAATAGAAAAAAAATCATAGGGATGGTGGATTTTGGTACGACAGGAAATACAAACTATTGGAGATGCCAAACGTTGTACGGATAGTTGGCCATCTACGCGGACACTACCGATCAAAGGCAAGTAACTGTCGTTGTCGAGTTCGAAATTTAATTGGCTCAGCAACCAAACCAACAAAGACAAATTTAGGGTGACCATCAAAGTCAAAGCAAACAGAATAGTTGAATATTGCTGCATAGTTGACCATTGAACAAATAGAAAAGAGTATACAGATCTTTGGCTCTGTGGCCTTTGATTAGCGGTAAGAATAGTTGGTTGATTCATTGCAACGTCGTTAACTATGACAAAGACGGAATGTGATCAGGTTAGAATGAAAAGTGTTAAATCATCTGTCACACGGGAATGAGGATTATGAAACTAGACCTATTATTGATGAACGTGATGGCTTCATTAGGCTAGTTTGTCGGTTCACATGGATTAAGAAATGTTCGTAGTCGCATGATGACAGGCGGCCAACTTTTCATTATGATTCTATGAACTAGTTTTTCATACACTAGACAGGTTGTCACCCAATCAGTCGTGATCGCGATCATATCGAATTCAAGAAAGCGCGAAAGCAAAACTTTAGCATTAACTCCGGCCCTCCTGCCCGTTTGCTTTCCTTACAACAAACACACATTTCTACACATATAGACCGAGTTTATTCTACGCTATGAGAAAAATTCAATTTGCTACTGTTAGCTGATTGGTTCACTGGAATCAATAATAATCGAATTAAATTAAAAAAAATAAAATGCCCTAATGAAACTGATGTGCAGCTCTAGCCGATCAGATCAGATCGAATCTCGTCTTGGCATCTGCATTGATAACCCAACTGCAAGTAATTGAGATTGTCATCAACCAACCATAGCACATAAAGATACACATGCAAAGGCAGGGATTAGTTGGAATTTGGTGATGACGAGCAATGAATCGATCGGTTGGCCATCGATTCTGCTAATGAATGCTGGTTATTATTGTAGACCAAATGTCCGCCGTGATCGATCCATAGGGCTGGTCATGAATGGATCATCCAAGCTTTCCTTTGTTTCTAAAGAATAACTATTTCTCGTCAATGAACGCCTTGCATTCATGTCACGTTCTTCAAGCTCTGATTACGGCTTTTTGATATGACGGCCAAACGAACACAAATCTAATTTGGAAGCCATCGATGCTGATTATACGTCCAGTGTCCAATCATTGATTGGCTAGCCATAGCCAATGATTGGAGAATCAGGTGAGGAGAAAGCAGCAGCAGCTTGACATTTCATTGGCAGCGGTAATTACTAGTTGTGTAAACGGCGCTATTGGTAATCACTGTCCCAGAGGAACACAAAGGCCATAATTTAAATCCGATTCCATTTGATTGGATTCTATGCTGCTCATCATCGAAATCGGGCGTTATAGCAGTCAGGTAGACCAGTGGTGACAACTGGGCCCATTTCAATCGGCAGCAGATGTTCCAAAGATAACAATGGCCCAAATCCAAGTAGTTACATGTAAATCATTGCCGCATGCATGGATGCAGCCAGCATATGGCTGCCATTATGTAAATTGTCAAGATGTGACCAAGATTCTCATACACACATTAGTTATAAAAGCAGACATCTGCCACACACGACATAATAGATTGACAGGCAAAAATGGCGACGGGATAACAAGCCAATTACACGAAACAAGCAATTATGTCATTGCAGCCATTAACTGTGATGGGATCAGATTGCCGGATAGTGCTTGGTCAATATATAAGAATAACTCACCGATCAATGGTAGCCTGTCAACAAATGTCACACTGGCCAATGGAATTAAATCGGGTCTGTTGCTGTTACAGTATCTGGTTTGTACAAGCCGATCAACCGATCGCGACTGACTGACTGACTGAATGAATTCTTCACGACCGACTACGATGGGATTCAATAGCAGTTATTGGATGGTGCGCATCATCATCATCCAACAGACGAACATAACGGGCTCAATCCATTCTCCAGCCAGCCATCAAGCCTGAATAATGCAACTCTCAATGGCAGCCTATTTCAAGCCCTAGATGCATGATTATTTGATTATTTGACTATAATATATTATATTATATATGCATTAATTTGGCTGCTGGGCATCGAGCAACCTGCATTCCATTTCTTGAAATTTATTGCTCATTAATTCCTAATTAACAATTACATAGACAGCCGAAGGCACGTTCATACCTTTATTTGCATCGATTCTACCAATTCTACAATAGTTTACTGTAACTAGGATAATGGCAGAATTTTTCAGAGCGCCATCTGTGGATAAAAAATACAACGAGAGTGAATGGATAAACATTTTCTGATCCAATCGTGAAGCTTGAATCAGAAAGAATCTATGGCCTTTATTTAATTTGGCAAATAGAATAAAGTTCAAAAACAAGGGCCGTTCGACACTTTTTCATTATACAACTTTGATTCTTCCCTATTGGAAAAATTTTGTTTTTTAATTACACATGAAGGAAATAATATTTTTCTGTCTATAAACCAAATTTTTTTTACGCACACACATATATTTATAGCGCGTTGTATTTGAGTTTTCAATCGCTCTTCAAAACAAACAAATGATAATCATGTAAATTTTATTCTCGGGTATTTAATAAATATTTTGCTCTCTGGCTCAACAATGATTAGACGTAGAGGAGGCAACAGAACAGAACATGGAAGAAAGTAGAAGAGGCTCACAACTGGTCGCCAAACGCATCCAATACCGATTGAGGTATCGATCGGGAATAAGTTGGTGCTTCAAGCTCCTCATGCTTAGTAAGCTGCTTAGTGGCCCCTTGCTTCTGTTTATAATGGTTGATAATGTCCTGATCTGCCGGACAGCTTTGTTTGAACGCGTCCAGATTGTACATATGATACATGTATCGCCAAAGGTAAATAAATGATTCTGATATTTCGAACCCGGTAAAGTATTTGCCTGCAACAAACAGAATTAATGACTAGATGGTGAGTTGAAAGAAAACTTACCAGCAACCCGAATATGCTGTAGACGGGTCATAAGTTCGCAATCAAAACAACAAAGCGTGTCGCCAGTTAGATAACGTGTTTTGCGTTTGGCCAGGTGTTGATCAATTTTTTTCAATTGGTTTTCGAAAGCCTGCTTTGAATGATCATCATTCTTTGTGAGCATAACCTTGAATTTCTGAAAAGTTAACAGTTAGATTAGGTTATATATCGTAAAGCGCCAGTAATCCACTCACAGTGTAAATGTTTTCAATGACGCTAAGAGTCTCCTTGTCCGAAACGAATAGGTTGTGTCCACCCGGAATGTTTTTCATGATATATCGCTCAATCTTTTCGTTCTCAAGAACCGGCTCGCCCCGGTCGATTAAGATAGGAGGTGGCGTCGAGTCGAATTTAGAGCGAAAGTCCGGCGGCGGCTTGAGCATGTCGACCGTGGTCACCTTAAGCGAAATTGTTTTCAGCTCGGCTAACAGGTACAGGTCCATAAAATATTCTTGACCGAATAAACATGCTCCTTTTCGGCGACCGTCAATCGTTGATGCCTGATTGTTAAAAGCAAAAAGTGAAATATGTTTAGACGGATGGCAGCAACTCACCTTAATGATCAGTTCGATTTCTGGAATGTCATCTTGGTTGTTGTTGTCGTCCTGTGGCGGTGCTGCTTGTTGGAATTCTGGTAAAGTTGTTCCGTTGTTGCCTGTAGGCTCTATTTCCATGTCCGGAACTGATGCTGGTTCAGAATCCATTTGGCTGGTCGTTGTAACTGATATGGCTGGTGTTGAGGGCGATGAGCAGTCGAATATACGATCACTCAATCTGCAAAGTAGTAATATGAATGAATGAGTCAGTAAATGATAAGTTGTGAGATAATTGACACATAATCCCGATGGCCAACATCGATATGATAGTCGTCATGGTGTTACTAAATAAATCACCGGGACAACGCATCAAGAACAATGCAGCCATTACATTGATAAGACGCCAAATTTGTCGATGAATGCAATCAGGGCGGAATCACTTACCTTCACACCGATGATTTTTTTTTTTGGGTACAAACGGCTAAAACGAAAGACCCTAGAAAAATTTTTTGAATTAGGTGAGGAAATTAAAAACTATAACCAATTTCAAGTATTAGATCAATCTGGTATTCGAGACCAAAACAAATGAAACGAAACGTCAATTCACAAAACATCAACAATTTACTTACTCGTCAATAGCTCAATCGCACACTCAGCAACGAAATCGGCAAGTTTTAGTATGCTTAACGCCACTTCATTGACATGATAGCCGTTGAAGATAATGGCGACGCCTGTTGCATAAGTTCACACATGCGCGTAATACGGCCATCAATTTCATTTGGGCCTTGGAATGATATATCAAAAGCAAGTTTAAAAGAACAATGGCCGCCATCTGTGAGTTGCGATAAGAATGATTCATGTGAATCCAATGATGATCGATTCTAATATAATCAGAATCCAGAGAAAGAGAGAGAGAGCTAAATAGAACCAGAGACAAGTAATGATAATTAAAAACCAATCCAATTCTTGATTATATTTTAATGATAATTTGAATTTTTTTACTTTCAAAAATTAATTATAATTATATTATTTTTATTTATTATTATTATTTATGATAAAATTTTTTAAAAATACTTACAAAAAAATCAATTGAATTACTATTTAGAAAAAATAATTTTATTGTTTTAAAATATTCGACGACAAAGTGTTCAAATACGAAACGATTCGTGTTTGCCGTCTATATGCCTCAGCCGAAGGTAAACATCGGTTCCAATACCTTGCATCGATTCGATGGTCAGTTTGCCATTAAGATATTCGGCGTAAGCACGCGAAGTTGGCAATCCAAAGCCAAATCCATGCATAGGTGAGGCCTGCATAGAAGAATCTTTCATGATATTTTCAAGGATTCCACGATCAAAGCGAGAATCAGTCCGATTGGCTGTCGTGAAGTGGTATTGAGTGACCAGATCGACAAGATCGTGTGCTATGCCGCCGCCACGGTCGCTGATTCTGATAATAAAATCGATGTTGTTCGAGGCGATTGTGACCATTATAGGCGTTAGGTTAGAATCGGGAACCGATGCTTGTGCTTCTAGAGTAGCTCTTACGGCATTCTTTAGCAGCTCAGGTAAGATATAGTCGAGCGGCGTCCGAATATAGGGAAAACAAGCGTTAACGTGGCCGTTGATCTTAACAGGGGGTGCACGGCCATAATGCCGCTCAGAGAGCTTTGATACGTAATCAACCCAGTAGTCAATCACATCTTTGGGCTTCATGCGTACGTTAATGATTCCCACGTAGTCTGGCCGTTCATTGTTATCGTGTAAGGCCAAGTGGTGCTCTGCAAGCATCCTAATTCCTAATCGCGAAGTAAGTGTTCGGTCCAAGAATTGGCGAATCATGTCTTCGTTTTGAATGTGTTTGCGACATTCACGGAATCCTTCAGCCAGCATGGTAACAATATTTTTGTGGGCATCGAGCAACTCTCGCAGCATGCTGGTAAAGCTAAGCTCTTTCTCTTGGTCTGTGATCTGATGATAAATGAACACTAGGTCAGCACTAGGTTATAGGTTTCATAGAATTTACTCACTAGAGGATGTTCAGAAAGCAGGTAAAAAGCTTTGATATACATCTCGTGGACGGCTAAGATGGTCGGATGGCAGCCGATCAAAAATGGCAGCGAGCGGAAGCCGGCGATCCGGTGGGCAATTCTCACAGGAAGCTCTTTCTGCAAATACATAGCACTACGCTATAAAATACAGAGAACGGTTAAGCAAGCATAGTCCAAATAAACTTTATAATAATGGATGCACTTACCAAGGTGTGGCTGCCATCGGCGCTCTTGCCAGAATACAGTATGGTCGCAGGCGTCAATCGCACTGAAGGCTAGAATCGATACCAATAACATTAGCTTACAATGATAACATTATGGATACTTACTTTAGTAGCTGCAATGTCGATAGCTGACTGGTTGTAAAACCAGTTAATACTCTTTGACAGTGTCGAGGTCCAAAGGGTAGACTTACGATTTGTGCTATTCGTGCTGCCGGTTTTGGGACCAGCGTTTGATCGACTGCTTCCATTGAGGCTAGTGGATGGATCGCTGGTCACGTGCGATTGCTGAAAAGTGGAAGTTGAACTAGGTTTGGATAACTCATTCGTATGTTGGTGACTGTAGTAGTTTTTGGCAAATGTATTGTCGTTGTCGCTGTTTGTTTTGTGAATACAGGGCCATTCGCCGTTTGTGGAATTGGATTGAGATTCTATGATGGGCGATTCGTTGTTCATGGCCATTCGAATGTGACGGAAGAAGCTGTTGGGTGGATGGCTGTATCGCTGTCGTGGTCTATGTAAACCGGGTTCATCGTTGCTGGTGCTGCTTGTAAGTTGATGGAAGTTGATCTTATTGGCCAATCGGTGAAAAAGCAATGCTTCACGACCATAAAGCCATGTATACCGTTTGCATAACATTGCAAAAGGAAGTGTGGTCAGCTGTCAGTCCGTGGCAAGGAGCCAGAGAAAATATGACGATCCAATTCGAATGATGAATAGATGCGCTGATGGACAAAGAAATTCAGCTCTCATGGACGATCTGGCATCGAGACAACTAGTCAGCACAGGATTAGCATCATTGGATGTGCAAGCAAACATGCAGAGGCGCCAATCATTGTGCCATTGATAAAGCAAGACAAAGTCCAATTTCTGAATCGCTGACTGGATCTATACTATACTTGTTCCCAGTTATTCGTTCGATCTAATCTAATCCTGTCAAATTTCGCTTGCTGAGTGGTAACAAACGTACAAATATCGCGACTGGTTATGTAGCAATTGATTTTGATGGACATACCAAGCATAGTCGTCACAAAGAGTTTGGATAAGCAGGAAGTACAAGGTTACTAACCTCAATGTTGATAATGATCCATCGCTCGATTGCTTGCCCGTTATAATATATAGAGCAAAAATTGTAGAAGATTCTGGTCCGATCCGATCTGGATGTTTAGCAATATTCAACTGACTGCTTGATGATTTGTCATCTGTCTGCTTTGCTCATCATTTCTCGTCGATTTACGATGAAGATAAACGAGCGCGATACGCCTGCGTCATAGTTACCAACGTCATTGCCGTTCATCAAGGATGCGGTTGCTGACCACTAGTCGAACGATCGATTCCATCAATCATACAGTCAAACTTTTCGATAGCAAGCTTGGTTACTGAATTTAATCTTTATCATAATGATGATGATGATGATGATACAAAGAAATGGTTTCCTGTGAATACTGCAGGCGCCACCTTGTGTAGTACACATGTCTGATATGGCAATGCTTGCAGATGATAATGGCTATAACTGGATCTTTGGTCACAGTTTAACTGTTCATACAATTCATCAACGAGAACTGGGCGTCACATTCCATGATAACTTGTTACACATGTTGAGTCGTGTATCTTGCTGGCCATGAATGGTTGTCAATCCAGTTTGTGTCGTCACTGTTGAAAAGTATTTTTTTTTCTGGGACATATATATTTTTTTTTTTTTTTGAAATTCTTTTGTCAACAGCATTTCATTTTTAAAAGTATTCTTATTTGAAATGAAAAAAAAAATTCATTTTTGTTTTTGGTCCATCCCCTTCGCTGATGATATAATTAAATTTTTATTGTTACCAAAAATTTTTTTTTTTGAATGAAAATTTTCACCAAAATAACAGTTACAATTACGAACTTTCTTTCAGAGATTACTTGTTCGTAAATCGGGTAAAAATCACTTGAATTTCATACAATATGATGATAATAATAATAATAATAAACAGATAAAATCCAAGATGCCTTGAAGAAAACATTATAACAATACACTGTAAATATATATTATTCTCTTTTATTTTTTAAACAAAGCAAATCTTTCGCATAGAAAAGCATTTTTTTTTTTTTGGATGTAGATATGTTGAAAAGCATCGCGCCATGCATTTTGTACGCAGAAAAAAAAAGTGCGCAATCGCCTACAAACATGCATGCATATTGAGAATTTTTAAAATGATGATGATGACGACGATACCCATAATATATTGAAATGAATGCAATATAACAAAGTGAATAGAAATTTTCAATAAACGATATGAAATGATAAACAACAACAATATCTGTACATTTTCGAAAAAAAATAGAAATGGAATTTTTTTTTCATGCGATAAGATAACAAAAAACTATCTGTGCAAAATTGAACATGTGAAATTATGTGAAAATTTCTTCAAAACCAAAATCTTGATTCTGACTGTCTGTGTGTGTGTGTGTGTTACTGGTTTGATTTGACTTTTTTTTTCTATAAATTCTGATTGCATGCTTTGAAGATTTTTTTTTTAATCCTCATGATGACATTATCAAGATGAATTTTCTCTTGGATAATTTGAAACTTTGATCTTAAAAAAACTTGACCAATTTTAAAAAATGAGTTCCAGATATTGGGCAAAAACTCGTTTTAAAAAAAACAACTATCTTTGAGAATATTTTTTCAATTCTATTAAAAAAAAAAATGTTTTGAGAAGCATCAAAAAATTCTTTTCTTCATGAGATCGTAATGTATTTTGCAAAGTGTAAACTTCTTTAATGATTGAGAATAAAGTGAATCATAACTAATGAGAATAAAACATGTTGAATGAATAATGTGCTAATCCAATGACATTTCATTTAGTCGACGTTATACAAACAGGTGAAGCGGAAACACTGGAATTTTCTGTGGCTTTTGTCGTCGAGTCGCTTACTCTTGTTGTTGTTGTTGGTTGAACATTGGTCGACCACTTTGTTTCCGCCTGTCACATGTCCTAGCCGGCGGCGGATTTTTCCGTGTTGGCCAAACCACTGACACCACCACTCTACAATGAGCGGCCACAAGGCTTGATCAACTGCTGTCGTTGTCTTACGGTTTCGTTTTTCATCTTGGTAGAAGAAAGCGACTTTGCCACCATTCTCTGCTGAATAGTGAACTAAGCGATCGTTAGCTGAATGTTCGTGTCCAACGTTCTGTTCGCTATTTTGGTTATCAGGAACCATGGCAGCCATAGCACGTTGATATTGTTCGTACTGAGATGTCCGGTCCTGTTGGACATGAAGCTCACGTAATAGATATTTGTCGAAACAAAGACATGCGACACGCTTGAACAGATCAGTTACGTTTTCGCCAGTGTTGCTGGACACCATCCAGAATTCTGCTCCGATCTTATTGGCAAGTTTGGAGCCTTCACTACGGTAAAAAGCTGCCGTTTCATCAGTAATCAAATCTTTTTTTGTGCCGACTAGAAACAAAAAGGGCCTACTGCTGCTGTGCTGTGAGTTGCTACCACGTTGAGATTTCCGACGCGTCAACGTCAGTGATCCAGCAGTATGCTCAGGTGATTGGGTTGCCTCCATTATTTCATCGTGCCATAGGCCGACGTTCTGGAAAGATTTGATTGTAGTCAGGTCAAAAACAATAAGGGCGGCATGTGCACCACGGTAATAAGCCCGGGTTATTGAACGAAACCGCTCATCACCAGCTGTGTCCCAAATCTACAAATGACAATGATAAATTAATCAGATGGCGGCAGAACAATGTTGCAATAATGTTACCTGTAAGGTGAAGGGTCGATTCAATATGGAGAATTTTTGCACATCAAAGTCAACACCGATAGTCGCTTTTGATTTGGAATCGAACACGTCGTAGCCGAAACGATTCACAAGACAAGTTTTACCAACTGATGTATCGCCTACGACGTTACACTTGGCTATACGAAGACGATTTTTAAGAGGCTCCAGTGGTGGTAGTTTGTTAGTTTGTGATTGTTGATTGTTAACCGATTCGTTTGTCGAGCTGAGCATGTATTGGACTTCCTCTTGACATAGGACACGTACTTTATTGTTAAAGTCGGTATCGTTGTAGGGTGTGCAAGAAGAATCCATCGGATAAACCCAGGAGTCGATAGTACGTTCGGTTGCCATGGCTAGCGACAAGCTGAACAATGGACACTGTTGAATGTCACTGTGTGGCGATAAAAAAAATAATTTAGTTTGGTGACAAATAAACAGATAAAAAAGGAATGGTCAGTTAATGACCTGATCGACTACCCTAACACAGACAAAGAGCATTGGGCGACAAATTTAGAGATAGACAATTTGATGACGATGTTGACCACCATCAACATGACGGCCGTTCCACAAATGCAACCAATCAGCTAGCTTGCATCACACTAACTCACAGTCAGTCTGCTGAAAAGGAGATGCGTTTCGTTTTGGTGATGGCCATTGAGCGATGCAATACTAATGCTGTCATTCTGGATCTTTTATCCTGACAGGTAGCTATTCAGCTATATTGGCTACACTTGTTGCAATCTTTGTCAACACCAGTATAGTAGCACCACTAAATGGCCACGCTCGATTGCATTCTACCTGTGTGTGTCGTACCGATAAATAACAAGCTTGACAGCTGGCCTTCATATGCAGTTCATCACCATACAGGACATGCAGAGCAATGCATCATTTGATTTTGTGGCAAAACAACAAATACGTCCAAATGGGTCGTCTCCAGCGAGATTGGCTCAATTAATTAAGCCAAATTACGAACTGATCTACGAAACGAGTGGTTAAATTATGCATGACAAGTTTCGCCCACTTTCAAATTTACAATGCCAAGCAGTCGAAACATCACTCACACTCGCGTGCAGCAACGGCGATACATCAATACAACTAACGGAGCAAAATTCAATGCTTTATCATCGATTGATTAATGATGATAGGCATTGATTAGCTTGTATTGGCCCACAATAATGGGTTTTCACGTCAGCCTGTTTGGGTCAGCCATCAAAACCATCGTCCAAGGATCACGTTAAATCGATTTACGGTTGTCTTTGATAAGAAATTCTGTTCTAATCAGGGCTCATACTGTGGTTTGTCTATTTCCGGCTTATTCCCATGAAGGCCATTGGAAAATTAGGTCACTTGATGAACAGAAAAACTCACCTTATTAATGTTTTAGTGACTACAGCAACGTTGCCAGAATCAATGATGATCCAGAATTAGAAACGAGAATACAATGCTGGGATCAGCCAAACAAACAAACAAGCAAACAAACAATCGAACAGAAGAAACAACCAATTAACTGAATGCACGAATGAGCTGAAAGCAGGCAAAGGGAATATTGAGAATGAAGACTATTTGGCATTGTTAACAACGCCAACAGCAAGCACTAACACACCAAAGAGAGTGCGGTGATGGCACAGTTATGACGTTAGACGCCTTGATAACTGGAGCCAGGAATCGGTTAATCAGACTTGGTGGTAGTGGTGGAACCAATAATACGAGTTAACTGGTAGGGGACAAGCCGCCATTGCCATAGGATATGGGCGGTTTTCCTGAACGTGCTTAATTGCCTACGAGCAACTAGTGCTTCGCAATGTAGCTGCATTCGATAGAACGACTTACACAAATGACATTGGCAGCTGATGAGCTACTCGTAATTCGTGGTCACGAATTTGCACAATTAATGCAAACAGGAAAGACGAGTTTATTGGTCACGGTATTATTAGTTGAAAGCACCCAAGGTGAGAACATCGTAACACAGTTCACATACACGACTTTGCACGGAACGTTTTTCCGATTGGAATTTCATGATCAGGATTTCCTTGGATGAACACCGGGAGCAAAGTTCGCGGCCACAGTGCCGACAATGGTGGCGCCTATTTGTTATGTTGAATTTTTGGCCACACTCCAAGCATTCTGGTCCGTCGCGCCACTGAGGCATCCGGGATAGCGAATCCAGTAACGAGGTAAGCAATTGCCGAGTAGGCATCACGTGGTTGAATATGGATACACCCTGGTGGTTTCGAATGCCCAACGCTGCACCTTCCTTCACAATCAATCGACACAATTTGCTGTTACCGTTCATGTAGGCTGTGGGTAGAAAATCATCATCCATCCATCTATATTCTTTCTGTTCTACTACTACGAAACTTACCAAGCAGAAGGGGAGTGTTGCCATCGTTGTCTCGGACATCTAGGTCTAATTCTGTACAATTGGCAATCAATTCTTCGAAGATTGTACTCGCAGCCACCTTGTTGGCTGACGTGGCCAAGCAATGGAATACGTTGTGACCACGGTTGTTGCTGGTACGGAAGTCGAATGGCTGGCCGCCAACACGTGTTGTACGTTCCATTAGTACACGGCAAGTGTTTTGATGAGCTCTTGTGGCGGCTAGATGCATGGCAGTATTACCGTTTGAATCTTGGACGCAAGCATCGATGCCAAGGTCTAGCAGAATTTCCACCATTTGGTATTTATCCAGGTCGGCAGCCAAGTGCAATGCTGCAAGCGCACAAGAATTAGTCAAAACGACATTCAATAAAGAACTAAAATGGTCTACCTGTTTGATTCTGTTGAGTGACCACATTCAATTCTGTTCCGGCAAGAACAAGTGTTCGTAGTATTATTTCCGAACCGGTTTCGGCTGCAAGGTGTAATGGCGCCTTCCGTTGAGAATCTGATACACGGCAATTCACATCTACGCCATTATCAAGCAAGAAAAGGACAGCGTCGTAGTCATTTCGCTGCAAAGCCAAGTGCAGGTATGTTCGACCTTTTCCATCCCGTTGTTCGGCCACGGCACAGTCTCGCCGACAAAGGGCCTGAGCGGTAGTTCTAGATTTAAGCTTGATTGCTAATGCAAAAGGAGTAAGACCATAGTTGTCTGCTTTGTGTACATCACAGGCTGGATAATTGAGCAACAGATCGACGATAGGGTGATTCTGGTTCAAAATGGCTATATGCAGGGCGGTCTTTCCCTCCTGATCGATTTGGTTTGCATCTACTTGCCGTTCAATCAGCGTTTCTACCACCAAGTCCATGCCCCAGCAACATGACATGTGTAGCTGCAGAATAAAACATGTTACAAAATAGATCATACAAAAAAGTTCGTTTTACTTACAGGAGTTTGACTGTCACAGTATTCTTTGCCTTGACTATCAGGTCCAGGCCGTCGGATTGCATGTATATCACAGCCACTTTGTATGAGAAATATGGCAGCACGTTGGTTGTTTTCATCCAGGGCCCGATGCAGCAATGTCTGGATGAAGCCACCTTCGGTTGATTGATGCCAGCCATCTGGATCACAGCCATATCGAACAAGGATTTTGGCCATCTTGTTCGAAGCATCATCTTGCTTGATTGCTTCCCACAAAAGCTTGTCACCGTTGGATCCAAGTCGACAAAGCGATTCCACGATTTCAGTCCTGCTGTAACGTATGGCACATTCGAGGTAGCTTTCGTAATTGGTTGTACATCGATCGTCTATGTCGACACCATGTTCGAGCAAGAATTGGGCACCATTGTCATTACCATGCTGGATCATTCGCTGCAACAAAGAGAATCCATCACCATCTCTAACGTTTACGTCGGCTCCTGCTCGAATAAGCATTTCGGCTACGCTGATTCGACCAGTTTCGACTGCTAGACTAAGTGGCGTTTGGTGAAGTGAATTCTTCACATCCACTTCCGGTGTTAGAAGAGCTGAATCTAGGCAGCCTTTGCGCGACCAGCCATCATGAAAGGAAAGAATACGTTCAACTATTGCGTCGTGGCCGCCAAGGATGGCTAAGTGAAGTGCAGTCTGATTATACACGAATTCTTGATCGTCTGAATTGTGGTCATTGTGAAGTGGAGGTAGCGTGACCAAATTACAATTGACGTTCTTTTCGAGCAACAGCCACACAAGATCCTTTAATCCATACATAGAAGCTAAATTAAACAGAAGAGAAAGCCAAATCAAACCTTCAAAATAATTCAAACAAAATCGAGAATATTCTAGTACCTATGTGCAGTATTGATTCGCCTCGACTATTTACCAGATTCACGTTGGCTCCGTTCTCCACTAAAAACAAGGCCGCTTTTTGCAAACTTTGACGGCCACAATGAATGAGAAGTGAGTCACCCGGTTCAATACCTCTAAAGGTGTCCAGTGATACGTTTAATTTCAACAGGCTTCGTGCGTAGTAGTCATCATCGTAGCGATCTATCAATTTGACAGCCATTGCTAGTGGCGTATCATGCTGATGGTTAACCAATTCCAGATCCAGACTCAATTTGTGGGCTTCATGTTGTTCGAGCAACAGATCAAACAATGTTCGGTTGCGACGTTCTATGCATCGATGAAGCAAGCCATTTCCTTCGCGATTTGTCTGGTTCACGTCGGGATCGCGTTCAAACAGAATGCGGGCAATATCCAACATGTTTTCGTTGTCTGGTGGTAGACAATCTGCGCACAAATGTAGAAGTGAATCGCTGTAATCAGGGGTGGTTGAATGAATGGAAGCTCCTTGTTGAAGTAAGAAACGACATGCTTGCCATTTGCGTTCGCTAAGGTACCGGTGAGTCAAAGGCCAACCACCAGAATCCAAAGCATTCACGTTGGCTTGATGCTCAAGAAGTGTCATTGCTACAGATAATTGACCATTTCGAAGGGCCATATCTAGAGGAAGTTGAGCTAGGTTGTCCAATTCGTTCACTTTGTGAATGGTTTCATGTGGTTCATTGTCCATGAGCAGTAGAAAAATGAGATCTTCGTTTCCGATACTGATGGCTTTGTGCAGTGGATAACGGGATTTTTCCACGAACAACCGGTGAAGAAATGGAGTCGATACGTTAGCAAAATCACTTTCACCCAGCGAATCCCAATGGATAGCGACCAGTTTGGCTACATAATCGCACAACCGAGACAAAGCCAGCTGCTCGGAAATTTGATAAAAGTAGATACAATTGTCCACTTGTACGTATGCTAATAACCATTGTTCACATTGATCGACCAAAGGTGTTAATTCAAAGCGAGCAGCGTGCTTGACCAACTCTATGTATGATTAAATAATTACATCATTAATCACACCGTATTCTTATTGCGTATAGACTTACTTACCAACCACAAATTCCTGATCAAACAAGCGTCTGTCTATGTAGCCTGTGTACACCCAACGGAACAGAGGTTCAGCAATTTTGGCAGTCATTTCTGGAAAACAGAGCCGTTCGATTGCATCCAAGTCCGAAACGGACCACTTTTGAGAACGAAATTTGAGCACAAACTTATGTGCCAATAAATGACATTGACCGTTGTCATAATCGATTTGCAAGTCTGAATAGAGCAGATTATTGTAAAGGGAGCCAACGAAATTAACGATGTTTGTCACAAAATTGTGGCCACCGACGGAAGGACCACGATCACCATCAACAATGTTGGACTCGTCGTCGATATCAGAAAACTTTCCCGTCACCATTAAATGATCATAGCGGTTCTGCAAAGCGGAATACTTTCTCTGAAGTTTGATATATTCATCACGTAATAATAATAGGCGTTTATTTAGTTTATCGTTCTTGTCTCGAAGCCTAAGCGAGTCATCGCTACCGTCCATAGAGGCATTACATTCCGATTCTGTTGCATCTTCCTTGACTTCCATCATGGTCACTATATTCCAAAGGAATCAACACCCAATCATATAAATACAATAACTAATTTTTGTTAAAACAGATGTAAACAATGACAAATGAATTGGATACAGCCGAGAGAGATTGTATGATCGGATTGATTATCGTTTGATGAATGAAAAAAAAACATTGAGGCATGAGTTGTCGTTATTATTAAAAGGTGCCTGTTGATTGTCGTGCTAATCATGGTCAACAACCACGACGACTATACATCATTCACATCGGTCAACATCTGACAAACGCCCATCATTAAACGCCTATCACGGCTCACATAAAAACATTCATACAAACATATGCCACTACCACTGTGTAATGAATGGTTCATTGGCGGCAGCACTATGCCTCTGCTCGATGATTGCTTTGTTTTGACAAGTTCGATTCAACAGGCCGGCCATTGGAAGCAATTATTAGTATATATATATCCGACGCCCTATTGACATGGCGACGGTAACATCCAATGAACAATCCACGACAGCCACTGGTGAATTGATGAGCCGAAGGCCTAGACCTGTATTTTTTTGGTCAAACGGTGAAGTTATGAAATGGTTGAAACGATGTTGTGAACAATACTACGAGCTGTATGGCGATAAATTCCTCGATAATGAAATCACTGGCCGTTCATTAATACGAATTCAAGAAGATACACTGAAACGAATGGGTGTAGAGAATCCAGTGCATCGAGATGAAATGGCGCGTATCATACTCAAACTTAAACTTAAATCGGATATGATCGAAATCAAGGACCTGGAACGCAAGATGCATCACCAACAGCAGTCACAAGAACATGGATCTAGTACCAATATTAATCACCAGTATGTTACCACCGATCGATAGATATTCAATGTTTCATATTGATTTATTGGATTCTACTCTCTCACCATCAGTATTCTTTTTTTTTTTTATTTCTCTTTTTGTCTGATAATTAATTGAAAATAAAACTTTGCCTTTTGGAATCGAATTCGATTCACTTGAAACACTAATGGTTTAAATCAATCATCATAATTCTTAATCTCTTTCTTACTCAATTCTAATCATACAATGTTTTACTTACATTTTAAGACAGTCGGAGACAGTACGATGTTTAATATATATCTTCATTCATATTTTCAAATGTTTTTTCACCAATATCGTCAATTTGATAAGTTTCCTTTTGAAAATTCTTTTATATTATTAAATAGTATTACGTTATCTTCTCATCGTTGATTATTATGATCCACTATCGAAATTATCTTCTTTGATTGATGATTTGAATTGTTTGTCGTTGAAACAAAAACAATAATAGAATTTGTCAAAATGAGTACTATATATATAGTATTGAAGAGAAAAAAAAACTAAAACGTTTTTGTTTGAAGAAATCTAATGAGAAAACATTTTCATGTTCAACAACAACAACAACAACAACAAAAATTTACTAATTATCAATCATAGTCATCACAAAGATGTGCAGGTTTTGTGTTTTTAGGTCCAAATCATAGTTTGAAATATTTCATGGTCAGTTTGGCAACTGTTTTCATTAATTACTATATGTGGCACCATCTTTTCGAAGATAATGGCAACAAAATGAAATATATCATATGTTCTTAGGTGCTACTTGTACCGCAAAAAAAAACAAATATTTTCATCCATTTTCAATTGGATTTTTATTTCTATATGTGATATTGATATTATCAATTATCAAGTGTATTTTGTATAAGATCCACACACACACACACACACACACACAAAGCACCAATAAAACGAGTTCAATCATCGAAAATTAAAAGGAAAAAACTTTTAACAAAAAACCCAACAGTCTATTTTTTTTTTACATGAAAAGAGGTACTCATGTTGCACGAATAATTTTGTCGTTTTCGTAATCGAACGTCATTATTCATCTTCCGTTGATTTATTTTGTTTTTTAACATTGTTGAATCATCATCATTATAATTAAATCATCATATATATTTACAGTTCAATTATTGAAACGAAATAATTCAGGTAAGAATTTGTTTATGGTTCATCGATAAATCGTAAATGACGATGATCGTTGAGAAGAAAAACAGGTTTTTTTTGCCCATTAAACCAGTAAAACCTATGCAAAGCATATGAAACAAAAAAAAACCAGAATGTTTGCTATTTGCGAGATTACCATTTCACTAATAATACAATATATACCTCGAACTAATCAAAGTTTTGCCATTCGTCATCAATTTGAATTGGAAAAATAACATTTGATCATCAATTATTTTATTATTGTTTAATTTTGTTTTTTTTTTAAATTCAGTATATCAATTTTTTCCTTTTATAATTGGAAAATTTCATTCATAATTTGTGTTTTTTTTTTCGGTAAAACATTTGATCATAAATCATCATTCGTAAGTATAATTTTCTAAAGTATATTCGTCATATATATCAAATGTTATTGTCAGAATCTTTTTTTTTCTTTTGGTTTCATCGTGTTGACATTTTTTTTTCTTCGACATTCTAATCAATAATTTTTGATTATGATATCAATTGATATGTAATTTTTTTTTGTTATCAATTTTTAAATAATTTTTTTTCTTTTCACTTTTCCCCCTTTTACCATCATTATCATGCAAATAAATAAACAAAAAAAAATGTACCAAATCGAATGGACTAAAAAAACAAAAAATTGGAATAAAAACAGTTAATGTTTCTCATAACAATTGTCGCCATTTTCATTATATCATCATTGGCAACATATTTGCTATTGAAATTATCATTTGAAGGTAGACGGCTATTTTGTCAACAATTTCATGATCTGTATAAGTTATTGACCGATCGAGACAAAATGATCCGTTGGTTTAATAGTAATGTTAATATTTTCTATCATTATTTCTGCAAGGTATGTTTGTCAAGATATTGGTTTTTTTTATTTCTTACACTAGATTTTTTTGGCTATTTTGGCCAAATAGAAAATTGATCCTAATAGTACCCGACATGGTGGTGAATTAGTTGCCTCTGTATTACATTCACACGGTGTTCAACGTGTATTTACATTATCCGGTGGTCATATATCACCTATTTTGACTGCATCAGAAAAACGTGGTATACAAGTGATCGATGTTCGTCATGAAGTGAATGCAGTTTTTGCTGCCGATGCTACGGCTCGTTTATCCGGTGTTCCAGGCGTTGCTGTTGTCACGGCTGGTCCAGGTGTAACTAATACTGTAACAGCTATTAAAAATGCACAAATGGCTGAATCTCCTGTCATTTTACTTGGTGGTGCTGCAGCTTCATTGCTTAAAGGTCGAGGCGCATTACAAGATATTGATCAATTGTAAGTAATAATTTTACATTGATTATCTTGATCTAATGATTTTTATTTTCATCTATTATAGATCATTATTCAAACCAATAACCAAGAAAGCTTATAGTATAACCAAAGTTCGGGATATTGTTCCCTGTATGAGAGAAGCATTTCAAATTGCCCAAAGTGGAACACCTGGTCCAGTTTTTGTAGAATTGCCTATCGATGTACTATATCCATATAGTGTTGTTAGTAAAGAATTTGTTGCCGCTTCTAGTTCACGATCGATGGCTGGCAAAATTGTCAATTGGTATCTGAATAATTATATGAAAAATTTATACGCTGGAGCATTCGATAGAGAACATAATGTAGAGCCATTGCCATTGGATATACCTTATGCAAGTGAATCGGATGTTTCAAAAGCTGTTGAAATGATTACAAAGGCTAAAAAACCATTGATGATTCTTGGATCTCAATCTGTATTGCCTCCGATTGGTGCTGAAAAATTGCGTAAAGCTATTGAAGATATTGGAATTCCAGTTTATTTGGGTGGAATGGCACGTGGTTTATTGGGACGTAAATCCACAATCAATATGCGTCAAGCACGTCGAGATGCTCTCAAAGAATGCGATCTTCTTATTCTAGGTGGTAGTGTTGCCGATTTTCGTCTTTCTTATGGGCGAGCGTTTTCACGAAAATCTAAAATCGTTTCAATCAATCGAGACAAAGAACAATTGTATAAAAATACAAAAATTTTCTGGAATCTTGATCTACCAATTCAAGCTGATGCCGCTAAATTTTTGGTTGATGTTGCAAATAAATTAAAAGGATCATTTCAAGTTGATACCACATGGCTGGAAACTCTTCAAGAACGTGATCGTCAAAAAGAAGCTAAAGCGTTGCAAATGGCATCCGATGTACCTGACAACCATCTCAATCCTTTGGATGTTTGTATTTCGCATATCCATATGTATTATATATTATTTAATTCTAATCTTTTTTTTTTGTTTAGATTTTGCATAAACTTGAAAATACATTGGGCGATAAAACAATCTTAGTTGCCGACGGTGGTGATTTTGTTGGAACTGCTTCGTACATATTACGTCCACGTGGTCCATTATGTTGGCTAGATCCTGGAGCATTCGGTACACTTGGTTGTGGTGGTGGTTTTGCTTTAGGCGCTAAACTTTGCCGACCAGATCATGATGTTGTCATTATTTATGGTGATGGTTCCCTTGGATATACATTGATCGAATTCGATTCGTTCATGCGACATAAAACACCTGTGATGGCCTTAGTCGGTAATGATGCCTGTTGGACACAGATTGCACGTGAACAAGTACCAATGCTTGGCTCAGATGTTGCCTGTAATTTGGCTTATTCATCATATGAAAAATGTGTTGAAGGTTTTGGTGCAACTGGCATACTTTTGGACACTGATGAACGTACTAAAGTTGCTGAAATTTTAGAAGAAGCTAAAAAACTAAGCCGTACACAACCGGTTTTGATTAATGCAAAAATTTCAAAAAGTAAATTCCGTGAAGGAAGTATCTCTGTCTAATCATTTATGCAATATTTTTTTTATAAGTGATTCCAAATCCAAAACTTTATGTTTTTGTTTCATTTGCAAAATCTTTTTGATATACAATAAATATTCACATTTTTTAATTAATCATGAACGATATGTGTACGGTATGTTTGGCATATTTGTTGTGTTTGACCGTGTATATGACCATTGGCTAACGTCATCGTCTGAACATGATGAGCATCTGTAATTATATAAAATAATATTACCGAAAACATTTCACAATTGTAGCAAACTAATAATGAAAAAAAAACTTACTTAATAATAAATCGATTGGATATGTAAATGAAACCGGTACAAATCCTTCCTGTGAATCGGAACGCATCACCCAAAACCAATCTTGATCATCTTTATTCAGTACAGTAATGATTTCACCACGTTCAACACTGATATCATTTTCATCTCTTGCAACAAATGTATAAAGCATTACATAACGGCCAGATTGATCTTTAAAAAATGGTTGAATTTCAACATTATTTATTGAATGTTCATTGGATAAATTCGATGATGCTAGGTACAGGGCTTTCGAATATTGATCATGATTTGCTTGATGATGATTGTTTGATTTGGCATTTGTAAGTGAATCAAAATCTTCAGATGTTATATAAGATCGTTTTTGTAAATGTTCATTATGATTGCTACTAACATTTGAATTGGATTTGATACCATTTTTTTGTGAATTATTTGATCCGGCTGATGTCATTGATATGGCTATTGGTCCTGTTTGATTTGTACTGGGTGTATTTGTATTTGTCGTGGTTGCCATTACAAGATCTAAATTCATAATACTGTTGTTTTGTTGTTGAGAAACAGATTCTATTCCCGGGAATGAATGATGTGATTGTGTAGGCGAATAACGATTGTGGTGATTACCGTTATTATGATGATTCTGATAATTCAATGAACTTTGAAATGTCATAAAATGTTGATCATTTTCTTGATAATTTTGCTGTTGTTTAATGGCATTGTTAATATCTATAATATCTATTACTGATCTATTCGAATGAACAGTTTGTGTTTGAACAATTTGATTGCAATAATTTCCTGTACCAAGAAAATCAATCTGATGATGATGTTGGTCATCATTGTTATTATTATTCAACATATTAGAATTTGTTTCATTTGCATTGATTTCATTGAAATTACAATCAACCAAAGAATTCGGTCCACTTCTTGGCATTTTTTTCTTAAAATTCATCAATAAATTATCGATATTTGTTTCAAGTAATGGAGCACAATAAGATGCCGGTATGAATCCTTCGGTTGGTTGGCCATTTCGATCACGTTGATCGGCTGATATAACATATACCCAATCATTTTCCTGATATAAAACATTGATAATTTGGCCACGTTTAACTTCTAGTTCATCATCAACACATGGTGTAAAATCATGTAATACAATCATTTTCGAGTTTGGTGATAGACCATTTTCTTTTTCTATACCAACACGAACTAATGTTTCAATCGAAACACTACCAGTAATTCTTCCCATCGGTGGTAACGATTGATGATGTCGTGTACCAGATAATAAATCAGATTCAAGATGCACTATATATAAATAAATGAAACAATATCATAAATGGTGAATCATGAGAATATTCTAAAATTTACCATGTTTTTTTTTATTTCTTCGTATTCGAACCGGACAGAAAAAAGCCATGTTTATAAATATAAGATCACAAAAACCAAAAGGGTCAAATATTTTTTTTTTTACAAAAAGCTTATAAAAATGTTTTTACTTTATTGATAAATGAAAAAAAAGCCGAGCAGTGGAATAGCCACGAACATTCCAAAAATTATTACAATCAATATCGAAATCGTCGTAGTGGTGATAGTGGTTGTGATCATGATCGTGGTCGTGGTGGTGGTGGTGGTGGTGTAGCCATGCCGTGCCAATTGACCACTTGTTGTTCATGTATACTACCGCAATATCCAATCCAATATGATAACTTTCAACTAGTTCGACAGGTTCTTCATCAAGATTAACCTTGAAGCAAACCAACAAATTTTTTTTTGTTGTCAAATTTGATTTTAATGAATAAAGAAAAAAAAATCTAGAGCAATGTTACCTTGATGATGATTATCATATACACATGAATAAATGACGAAATAGAAAGAATTTCAATAGAATCAATCCATTTGTCAATTGTAGCCGAAAATTTTGGCAGCTGTATAATTGTAATTGGATTTGTAGAAAAAAACCAAATTAATTATATCGTTATTAATATTGTAACTATAAATACGCAATATAATTATTTGATTTTAGCGATTGAAAAAATTCAATGCCAACTTGTATTGTTATTTGTTGACAACACCCATCACCTGAATGCAATGTAAATATATCAATACAGTGACAATACGGTTACCAAAGAAATCGATTTTATTTCTACATTTTTTCCACATATGATTTGTATATCCAGACTTTTGACGGTGACAAAAATTTTTTTTCTTCCACTACCATCGTCCAATTTGTTGTTTGGTAAAGAAAAAAATGAAAATGAAATCGATTTTGATCGACCACGACAACAAGTTATCTCTTTAATTAACAAAAAAAAATAACTAAACGATACACATTTGAAATATACTATTTTTTGAAATATACTATTATTGAAATTCTACAAAACAGGATAGAAAATTAGTTTTTTTTCTGGTGTAAATCATAGAAATACAAAAAACAAAAATCATGATGATGATAATGATGAGAAAAACTTTCATCCAACTTTATCCCTTCAAAAGTTTTTATCCGTTTTTGGACCACGCTTGGCTCAAAAAAAAATGCTGGTTCTCGGGTCTTTTGATTCAATGCATTGAAAATATTCAATTCAAATTTCTTTTTTTTTTATCATCAATTTAGTTTCAAAACAATTGACCATTCTATAGTGAACATACAATTAACTGGATAAAAAAAAACGTCAACGATGATTGTTTTACATCAATTGTTGGTTGCAAACAAAAAAAAAAGAAGAAAGATATGGATGGAGCTCAATTTGAAACAATTTTTTTTTCATTGTTTTTGTACATCATGGATCCATTCGATGACATATCTTGGATGATGTTCTGATATGATTATGAAAACATCACAGACACACACACACACACAAAGAAAAAAACAACATGTTTGAAAACGGATAAAAAGAATGAGAATTTTAGGAAGAAAAAAAATAAATTTAATGAAAAAAAAAAATTCTGACAACCTCAAACTGACATGGAGAAAATGAAGTAAATTTGTTTTGTTATTTTTTCCGAATTGGATTTCATTGTCATCATCAATAGAAATGAAATTGTTTTCTTTCTTGTCATACATACACGATGTGTAGTGGTTTGTAAGACTACAACGAGAAACTATTTTTTTTTTTTTTTTTTGGATTCGTCCATCCATTGATGGATTGATCAAAAAAAGTTCATGAATTCATTTCATTTCAAAAATCAATCGAATCTATTATTCAATTTTCAGTTAATAAATGTGAATAGAATTTTTTTGGGTTTCGGTTTCATCCATTCAAATATATTCCAAACGAAAGTTGGTCAAATATTTACCATCATACATAGATTGAAGAAGTATAGAAATGTTTATTCTTTTAAAAAAAAAAAAAATTATCGACATTTTTATTCATTTTACAACACACACACACACACAAAAAAAACATATGGATGGAATTTTTTTTTTAAATATCAAATTTAAAAAATTTGATTCTCTGGTCTTTCTGAATACTAATATTATTATTTGTACACACACACAGAGAAGAGAAAAAAAGAGTTGAATTTCAAAGATTCTTTACCTGTCTACATTTACAATCTTTCATCGTTGTCGATTCGGTCGCCATTCATCATTATATATCGACAACGAACGTCGAACAAGATCGAATCCAGAATCTACTACTTTTGAAATGAAAAATTCTTTTATTTTTTATTCTAGTTTCTTCATTGCATTGATCACACACACACACACACACACGGTGACACACTTTTTTTTGTTGAATTATTTAAATGTAATTTTAAATTTTAATTATTTGACATTTTGTATACAAACCAAACGAAGAAAAAAAAACTGGGAACAAAAGAAAAACAACCACAATAACATCGATGACGACTATGGAAACCATTTTGGAATATTTAAATTCACAAAATATTTAACTGGATTCATGGATACAACCGATTTTCTAAAACCAATAATGATATTGAAATTTACCGTAGAATGTGAATATTTTTTTTCCCCCAAAAGTTTTCATCACTCTGAATTCCTCATATTGGATAGAATTTTTCACTTTTTTTTCGCATAATAAAAAAAGTTATTATAATGAATTTTTTTTTCTCCAATTTTTATTTTTTTTCTTCATCATTTTTTTATCCATCAGTTTCTCAGTTTTTTGTTTTGTTTTGCTTTGTTTTGTTTTTATTTGATTTATAATGAAACAAATAGAAATAATCCAATGTGACAGAGAGATAAATATGATAATAATAATAATAATATAATTATGAGAATAATAATCAAGAATCAAGAATGTATTGGGAATTGGCGTTAGAGGTATTGGTGAGTGTTTTTGTGTTTATGCGTGTTGTGAACATGGATAACATGAATAACAAATGAAATGGAGAATAAGCGACAATAAAAATGTTAATGTATATATTCTGTTCAAATGATGATGATGATGATTTACCTGAGAAAATAATGTTGATAATGTTTTTTGTCCATGATATTGACCATGATGATAATTATGATGATGGTGATAATGATGATGATGATGTGGATAAAAATAATTATCTTAAATGATTGTATTTATGGTATATACGCCTTCATATTCATTACTTGTGTATAATATTCAAATGTTGTTGTTGTTGTTGTTTGTGTTGTGAGAAGGGTCACAAAAAAAAATTTGAACCGGTTCCGATACCAAAAAAAAACCGGAAACCGAACCGGCAATTCCCGGATTTGGTTCTTCACAATCAACATCTTGTACTAGTTGGTTATTTAGAAAAAGTTTGAATGAATAAATGTTCCTAACCTTATACACGAATTAGTTCGGTGACACAGAATTTGTTGATAAATTATAAGAATATAATAATTTGTGAGATTGCACTTGATTATCTTGTTATTTTTTTTTCATATGGAAATGGAATCAAATTCGTTTTTGTTTTGTTTTAATTTGAGACATTTTTGGATTTTTTTTTCATTCATTCATTCGTTCAATCAATTAATTTAGATTAGAAAAATTTGATATGATTAAATTGAAAATTGTTCAAAACAAAACACACAAAAATTCCAAATGAGGAATCATTCAAAATCAATGAACCAAAAAAAAATTATGGCGAGATTATAATGTATGTGAATGGACAACATTCTGGATATTTATTATAATAGGGCGTATATATGTTATTTCGATGATAGCAAAAATATAAAAAATTTTTGTATAGTTTTACCTGTCGCTTTGTGTGTGTGTGTGTGTTTGATTTTGAAATTTTCTTTTTTTTTACCAGAAAATAAAAATTTTGATTGTATAGATTAATCAACAAATGAAAAAAAAATAACAACAACATTTGGACTGGTAACCAATATATTATTGTGTATGTGTGAATTCTGTGTGTGTATTCAAAATTATCTTATTTCCATACCACCATGTGATGATCACAAAAATTCACAAAATCAATATAGCCAATGTGAACAGACAAACAAACAAAAATAAAATAAAATAATTAACAACAATCAGGGGAAGGGAAAAAAATTGATTCTTTTTTTGCATTCTTTATTCATATAGATTTTTTGGTATTTTTTAAATTTTCAATATTCTGTAATTGTGTTCGGACAAAGAATGAATGATTTTTTTTAGAGGGAATGAAAAAAAAACCAAAATAGAATCTAGTTCTTTTTTTTGATCAAGATTTATAGTGTTGTGATATAGTAATTTCATTTTATTTTTATTTTTTTTTTGTTAATTTTTTGATTTCAAAACATAAATTGTGAGGCTTGTATGTTGATTGTTGGTATATAAATGTGTATGTGGATGTGTCAAATGTGAAAGGCATCGGGTATTTATAGTCATCATCATTATCATCATATCAAGACAGAATCATCATCATCATCATCATCAATATAAATCACTGAAATTCATTTTTATTTGTATGGATTTGTGAATGAATTAGTGAGTGAATAAGGGGGAGAGATTCATGATAAAAATGTAACAAAAAAAATCGAATGAAAAAAAAGTATTCATATCAAAAACAGCAAACAAACAACAACCAGAAAAAAACTGAAATGAAATGAAAATAAAAACAATCGTAAATGAATGAATGAATAAAAAAAAATAAATAAAATTCTGAATTTTCTTTCCATTGTGATGATAATCAGGCATATGTTAATTGAAAAACAAAAATATTCTGATTGCACAGAATCAATTCATGGTCATTTTTGTTTTTTTTTTTGTTGATAATCAAAACTGAATAGTGTCGAATGCACAACATGCACATTTTCAATAATCAAATGTTTTTAACCAATCAAACACCAAACACGTTGTATATCACCACAGGTTAATTAAATATTTGTCTGTTTCATCACACACACACACACACACGTTTAACCATTTTTCTTTATATGAAAAATTTAAATTGTTATCAATCCAAAAAAAATATCGTCATGTAATCGTTGTGTGAATGTGGTAGAAATGAGAAAAAAAAAAATAATTCATAGCAAACAAGAATATAATAATAAAAAATAATATATAATCATTTGTATATAATATTGAAGACAAAAAATAAAAAAGAACAAAAATATAACAACAAATATAATTATTGATTCCAAAGAACAATAATAATCAAATTAATCAATCGATCAATGAATGAATGAATGGTTTTTAAAAAAAAACAGATTGTGATAATAATAATAATAATGACGATGATGATGATAGGCCAAAAAAAAAAAAAATAACACGGAATCAATCAAAAATCCATTCAAAAATGAGAATCAATTTGAGAAATGAAAAACAGAGACTTTTTGTTTCATATCGTTTGATGCAATGACCATAATATTTGTTGATGATTGAAATCATGTTCATTTTGATAACGGGAATTAGTGTGTGTTTGTTTGTTTGTATGTATCGTATTTTTCTTTGTTATTATTATTTTATAGCATATGTATAAAAAAAACAGTAAATTGTGTTGTATTGTTGTTGTTAAAAAAAAAAAAATTTCATTTGTTATGAATTTGTAGAAGAAGAATAAGAACAACAAAAAGAAAAAGAATTAGGCCAACAAAATTGATTTTTGGTTTCATTTTCGTAAAAAATAAAATATTTCAGATTGCCAACGGAGATTTTTATTAACATGACAAAAAAAGGAGAAAAATGGTAATAGTGTAGTGTAAACATTTTTTTTTCAATGTTTTAATGTGAAAATATTGAAATTTTTGTGAAAATTGAATGAAAGAAATGAAAATTCTTTTCTTTCGTAATTGGATTCGTTAACAATTAATGTCGATGGTGATGATTGTAAAATCATTGTGAGGAATATAATTTTTTTTTCACTCGATTTGAATGAAAATGATTGAATTGAAATCCGTGTAATAAAAGTGAATTTTTTTTTATTGTAAAATTCAAATGAAATGTTTTCATTGTTCATGTTTTATATATTCATTTGTTATTGTCGCCATGGATGTTGGATTTTTTTGTTGTTGTTGTTGCAAGTATGAAAATGGATAATTCAGGTGTTTTACATGTATAAATGTGTATTTAGTATGCAAATTAAATGAAATAGAATGAATTGTCGATAAATGATGGTGAAATTGATGGAATATTTTATGAGGATGGTGATGATGATGATAATGATGATGATCGTTTGAAATAGTTGTTTGTTTGCCATAGCCTATATATACGCATGACCAATAAGTAAAAGGAAATTGAGACGAATAAAAAAAAAAAAATAAAAAAAAAATGTGAATGAGAGAGAAAGAGAGAGAGAGAGAGATAGGATATAGAGAAGTAGACAGAAGAATCATAGAATGAGATCGTCGATTCGAGATTCGGATCTGGAACTAGAAAGAGAAAAAAAAATTCAAATAAATTTATGCGATAAAAGAATATATATATATTTTTATGGAAAATTCTTTGATTCGTATTGAAATGAAATTAATCAATCAATCACTTACCATTGTATTTGACGAATTTATATAAGATCATGATGATGATGATGATGATGATGATTTAATGATGATATAATGAAATGAGCATAACCATATGAAAAATATAATGGATATAAACGATTTTTCATTCGAAATAATATTTCCATATATGTTGAATTCAAATTTGATCAAATGGTAAAAAAATATATGTAAAATGAAAATGAGAACAAAAAAAAAAAAATAATTCAATGGTCGAAGACAGGTTTTGTATTTATTATATCGGTATATATATATCAATCGATTTGTATTTGTGTTTTCAGATTCCATTTATTCTCAAAATTATGTTGTTGTTTATTTGTTTTTTGTTTTGTTTTTTTTTTTTTGACTAGTGAACCCAAGATCGTGATGTTGGAACCTGTGTTGGTGATGGACCACCACCATTTGTTTCATTATTGATAAGAACGCCATCAATCACATCAACACTTCCAGCAATATTTTTATTGATATTATTTGTTGAAACAGTCATCAATGATGATGATGTTGATGCTAATTCAATAGTTATCGATGGTGTTTGTGGTAATTCCAATTGATATGCTACCGTTGATGGTGATGTTGTAGAAGATTGTTGTAATAATTTTGATGATGTTTCAAACATTGTTTGATGATGTTGATGAACATATGATGATGATGATGATTGTAAATGATCGACCGTTTGATTCCCATTAGCTAAATGATGTTGTTGTTGTTGTTGTTGATGATGATATTGACCATTATTCGTATTGTTACCAGTATTTGTAACTGTTGAGCTGCCCAGTGTTATATATGATAATGTTGTTGCTGATGTTGGTGATGATTGCTGGCTATTTAGCTGCTGTCGTTGTTGTTGATGAATTGTATTGTTATTATTATTGTTATTATTATAGATGCCAATCTCCATCATTGGTGATGGTGATTCTTGATTGGCAGTAGTATTTGAATTTGTTGATGTTGTTGTCGATGTTTGATGTTGTTGTGATAATTGGCTGCCCGTTTTATGATTTGGTACTGTCGTATTGGTCGATGATGTATTATGTGATACCAATGGTGGACAATTCATTGGTGGTGAATCTAGTCCACCTTGATGATGATGATGTAGATTTGTAAACGTTGAATGTTTTAGATTATGTTGATGTTGATGATTAAGATGAAGATGGTGTTGATGATGATTACCAAAATCATTTCCACACATATCAACTGTAAGCAAAGTTTGCTGCATTCCTTGATCAATCATTGGATCACCACTGAGCAATAAATCTGAATGCATTTGATCAAAAACAAATTCCGAATTGTTACTGTGAAAACTGCTTAAATCATTTGTATGATATAAAGATTGTTGTTGTTGTTGTTGTTGTTGTTGCTGATGATGATGATGATGATGTTGATGATGATTCTGTTGATAAACATCATATAGAGTATTGTTTGCATCATATGTATTCTGATATGGATCATATTGACTATGATGATTTTCATATAGATCCGTATATGTTTGATGCTGTGTCGATGATGGTTGCATCTTATTATTATTATTCTGTTGAATTTGTTGATGATGTGATGATGATGTTGTTGATGATGATAGATGATATGGTGATCCCCCATATGTATTTGATTGTTGTGATGAATCATACAGCGATGATGTGATCAATTCATTATTATTATTCATGATCGATTGTTTCAATGTTAATGTATCTAACATTGATGCTGGAGATGATTTATAATAATTTTGGCCATTCGTATTCAAATGATTGTTGCTGTTGTTATTAATGTTGTTGGAATTGGAATTTTCATTTTCATTACATGTACTAGTATTACTACTATTACTGCTACTACAATTAGTATTATTCATATTCGGCACTTGTTTTCGATTCGGGTTTGTCGTCGATAATGATGATGTTGACGACGATGACGACGACGAACAAGATGATGATGATGATGATGATGATGATGAAGATGATAATGATAATGGTGATGATGTTACTCCTGTCGATAATAATGATGATCCCGATGTTGATAAGACCGTTGTTGTTGATAATGTTGTTGTTGTTGTTGTTGATAATGATGAAGACGATGCTGTTGGTGATATTGATTGTTGTTGTTGATGGTTTTTATGATGATGAAAATGTTGATGGTTACCATTTGGTGGTGAATGACGAGATAAATTTTGCTCTTGTTTTTGTTGTTGCTGTCCCTGTTGAACCCGATTAAAGAGATCACGATATGAACCACGACGAATATTCTGTTTTGTTGAGCTAGTTGTTGTCGTTGATAATGTCATCGATGATGATGATGATGATGATGTAGATAATGGTGTCGAATTGTTTTGAGATTGAGATTGTGTATTTCTTGTCTTGGTTATTATATCTGTATCCATTTGATTTGTTGATGTGGATGATTCTTCCACATTTGGAATCAATGGGGCCGATAACATTTGTATATCTTGTTGTTGTTGTTCAACCATTAATTGATAATTAGGATCAGCAATCTGATGTGGTGGATCAATTTGTACGTTTTCCAAATTCAAACATTCCATTAGATGTGAATCCAAATGTGGTTGTTGATTACCAGTATTGTAACCATTGGATATGGTTGACGATCCATACCACTGTGACATTGATGAAACCTAAATTGTAGCGATATAATGACAACGTAAAAATAAAATCAATTACATCTTCATTATAAACAAAAAAAAAAAAATAAAACTAACCTGATGATTGTCTTGAATATCGAGCAACAGATTCGAACATGTGGATGATGCATTTGATGATGCACGTGGTCTAAACTCATTTGGACTATAACTTGATGTATGAAAATGTGATCCAATACGATTCAAAGCTGTTGAATCAGCAAATATCTCAAAACTTCCTGTTGAACCAGGACTTGTAACGTGTATATTATTATTGTATGGTAAACCATGAACACCGATCGTATCGGATAGATTTAAATTCGTCAAACTTAAATTGGTTGTATTCATGATATTTTTATCATTGTTGACTAATGGTTCTGGATAGCATGCAAGAGAAATCATTGAGCCATCTGTCGATTTATTCATATTAGGATATTCAGACAATGTGGTCAACGAAATATTATCACCGATGCCTAATTGGCCAAAATTTCTTGCTTGCATACGAAGCTGTTCAACTTTACGTTTAACACGTCCACGACGTTTTTCATAATGTTGTGTTTCCATTGATATTGCACGACGACGTGGAGCTTTACCAGGTTTAGCATCTGGATTGATTACCCACCATGAACTTTTTCCAGTTCCTTCATTTTGTATTCGTTTAAAACGATTATGTAATGAAAGATTATGACGAATAGAATTCTGTGTATAAGTGAAGAAATGACAACAAACAAACAGAAAAAAATTAGAAAAAAATTAGAAAAAAATTTTTTTTACACTATCCATCATTATCAGAAAAAAAATGTCATATTTTCATTTTGTCAATTTCTATAGACAAAATGAAAATTTAGGTCAAGATTTTTTTTATTTATTTCAACTATGAGTAACACATGCATTGATTTAATGCCGATAATATCGAATGACATCGAATGGCTTGGTAAAGAAACAAACAAACAAACAAACAAAAAAAAGCACAAAGAAAAAAATTGAAATTGAAACTTTAATTAAAACACATCAGCAACATAAATAAATTATTAATTAATGATCATCATCATCATTTAGTTTGTTTTGCTTGAAAACTTCCAATATGTTTCCTATTAGTGTTTTGTATATATGATGATGATGACATTGAAAAGTTGATAGCAACAACTACACAATGTCGTTAAGGGACTTTTTTTTTTTTAATGTCTCGGTTTTTTTTTGATGTTCCGTTAAGTCAGAAGTTTTAAATTGTATATATATAGTGTGTGTGTAGGTTGATCAATCTAATTTATAATTTTGTTCCCTGTGAATTGAATTCAGTTCCTAGATTTAAAACATTGTATGAATATATGAAAAGATGGTTATTTTTTTTTATTTGCACCAAGATTTTCAAATGCCAAAATGATGAAAAGAATTAACTCATGGAAATTGAAAATGTGATGGCACACATGATCTTGAGAAACAAACCAGTGACCAGATCAACCTGGACATCCTGGGAAAATTCTGGTCTTTGTTTTTCTCCCTTTTCTTAATTTGTCCTTGATATTATTATGAATCGTTTTCATCATCATCATCATCAGGCCAGAACCGTTGTCAAAATTGGATTTCTATGAATTTAACATTTGCATTGATGTTTTCAAAGTTTTTTTTTTTACTTTCCATGGTTGTTAAATACTTGTTTGGACCAGTTTTCAATGTATATATAGATAGATTATTCTCGAAACAGGATCAAAGAAAATTTTTTTTTTCTGTACTTTTGTGTTGGCGTATTGAACAAATATATAATATATATATATGGATAGAAATTAAGATGAAAAACATGATTTAGTTGTTTGATATTGGTCCCCCCCAAAAAAAATGGATCTTTGTATGGATCAACATGAATTTTTGTCGACAAATTATTATTAATTGAAAATATCATGTATCCACGGACAGACATTTTGTAAATGGGTCCATACGGTTTATAAATCATAAAAAAAAACATTATAAAACAGTTGAATGAATGTAAATGGAAAAAAAATCGATGGATATTTTTTTTTGTTATTATCATCATCATTATTATTTAACTTGTCAATAACGTATGGTTCAATAATTTGGCATTAATTATCTATCTCTTTAAGATTATTATTATTGGTTCTAGACAAATTTCCACCACCATTCCATGCCACAAACAAAATTTTTTTTTTTAACAAGAAACATAATAATAATAACACAATAACATACGATAAGCGATAATTTTCTAGATGAACTTCAAGAATAATTTTTTTTTTTTTTTTTTTTTGATTCTGGATATTGTTTTTTTTGTATTGCGCATTCTCATTTTTTTTGCAAACATCACAAACATACAGTTTCAATGTCAAAATAATAATGTAAAAAAAAATTTGTGGTGGTGGTGGTAGGGGGGTAATAAGCATTTGTTTTCCTCAGATTCTTGCATGTGATGATGATGATGATGACATGATTCAATATTTTCTAGGATTGTTTAATAAAAACAAAGCATAAATGAAATTTATTTATCCAGTTTCTTTTTCGTCATCATTCACAACACATCAATATGGCAAAGACAAAAAAAAACAACAACTACCACAACAACAACAACCACAATAACAAAATCCAAAATAAGAATCAAGTTTTTCATATTCAATAATAATATAATATAATTAAAAAAAAAATTCAGCACAGAAAATTCTAGCAATGTATTTATAACCAGAAAAAAAACATTCATCGTTGAAAAAATCAGGGTTGTTGGCAAAAGAAGAAAATTTCAACAAGAAAAAACAAAAATTTGTAAAGAAAGTACACACCTAGCAAATAAATATGAATACACACATTTTTTTTTTATTACAAGATTCATGAATTGAATTGAAATTTTTTTTTCGCTTTTAAATACGTTTAGAATTTCAAAGATATTCTTCGGCATTCAGCCAACCATCATTGTTGTTTGGTGATGATGATGATGATGAAGTGAAAAAAAATAAATTCAATGTTAACAAAAAAAAATGTGAAGGCCTTCCCTTCACAACCTAACATTTCTTTTTTTTATTCTTTCAACAACAAATATATACATATTTTGTTTTTGCCTTCATTATCTCAGATTATTTATCCATTCGTTTCGAATAACGCCAACACACAAGCACTTGCAACACGCATCAGTTAAAATTGAACAAGAAAAAAATGTACTGTATGAATGAAATTCCGAAATAGAATCAGAATTTTTTTCATATTCGGTATTCGATTCCGTTATGTTTTTCAATGTTTTCCATCTTTCTCTTTCTAATTCTCTCTCATATACACTTATCACTTATTGCAATCTATGGCATTCTATTCAATTGATGTTATAGATATATATAACAAGAATTTAACACATTCACTACATCAAACATTTATAAAAATTTGTCATACAAACGAAAATACGTATATATAGAACCAATAAAAAAAGAATCTATTTACACAAAGAATGAAATTATGATCAAAAAACGGTCCTTCTCTCTCTCTCTCTCATGCCTATCAAAAACAAAGAAAAAGAAAATTCCGAGATTATATCAAACTAATTTCTTTGAAAATAAATATAGGTATTTAGTGCGTGTGTGTGTGTGTGTGTGTGTCCAAAATGATATTATTCGTCATTTTGTTTTTTCGTTTCATTTAAAATTTTTTCATTGTAATTTCAATATATACATACATACATACATAATCCTATGTGATAATTATAATTAAACATTAATTAAATTTGATTTGATTATTAGTCATGGTATTTGTATTCATTAATTGATTTATAATCGAAAATGATTAAATCAAAAACAATCAATACAAATATCAATCATTTGATGATCATGTATATCATTTATATGTGTTAATAATAATTTCATAAGATCCAAACTATTGTGTGTGTGTGTGTGTGTGTGTGTAGGTGTGTGTTTGATAATTTTACAACAACAAAAAAAAATATTTGCATTTTCCAATACTGAGAAATAACCCAAAGAATGATTAATGATTTGAATTCAACAACAAAAACAATTCTGTCTGTGCAATTTTTTCCAACAGGCATCTTAATCTACCTTAAAAATAAGTGCAAAAGAAATAAAATATTTTCAAATGAAAATTCATTTGTAATCTGATATGGTTCTGTTTTTTTTTTTTAGTTTCTAGTTTTTCGTCCATTGTTCTCAGAATGAATCAAAACAAAACAAAAAACTGATGATTTTTGTTCTCTTTCTTTTGAATTCTGTACGAATCATGTTTCTTGAGTATTTTTTTTTATTCTGTATGATGATTTAAATTGTATATAAACTATTGTTATTATATAAAGAAAAAAAATTATGGTCGACCCAGGAAAATTAGATTCTGCCAACAGGCATGTTTCAAAATTTTCGAAACAAACACACACACACACACACACACACACACACACACACCCAATGATTATATGGAAAAATTTATTCATTCGATTCTCATTCTGTTTGTTCATTGTATTGTGTATACGGAACTCTGAGAATCTCTTAATATTTGAAAATCTACCTACACACCCACACACACTTGATAAAGAATTGAATTCAAATATTTTTTTGGTGGCCAAAAAAAAAGAAAAAAAGATTTCATTTCGATTTCGATAATATTATATGTTGATATTCTATCTTACATACATACAAAAAACATACATAACGACATTATGTTTTTTTTTTTTTTCACCTTTAAGGCATATTGGATAATAATCATAATCATCATCATCATCATTATCATTATAATGAATGAAATAAAATGAAATGAAAAAAAAATAAAAGATTTTCTTCATCCACAATTCATGTTCATTCATTCGTTATAATTCATCATTCAATTCAATCGACAATACACCATCGATATATGTTGAATTCAGGCAAGCAAACAATTTCATGTAAAGAGGGAAATTTAATTTGAAAATTTGATTGAAAATTTATGTTTTTTTTCTTCTTCTTCTTCTAAATAGTTTAAGTGGATTTCATTTTTTCATTTCTCTCATTTATTTGGCCATTAGTAACACTTTTTTTTTCTTCTCAACTTGCATATGTCCGGTTTATAATTATACACGTTATATATTATTATTATTATTATTTAAGACCTACTATATAAGTAATAATAAGTAAGTATAAGTTTATTATTTCGTTTAATTAATCAATTTTTCGCCCCTCATTTTTTTTTCATTATTATCATTCGGCATAAATAAAAAGAGGGAAAACTTCAACGAAAAAAAAAATCATTAAAATAAATGAAAAAAAAGCAATAACAGAAAAAAAAGAAACATTTTTCATATAGATAGATAGAGATTATTATTAAGAGAAAAAAACATATGCCAACAACGGTTGCTACAAAAAAAAGAAAAATGAAATAAAATGATCGATCCAAATCTTTCTATTATATCATTATCATCATAACCATTATAATAGTCCAAATAATATACATACAGGTGTATTGGATGGCCAATCAATAATCAATCGATAATAATAATAAAAAGAAAAAAGATCATAGATCGATCAATTTATTTGGCGTATATGAAAAAATAAAGGAGAAGCTTTGCTCCCATCAACAACAACAATAACAACAGCAGCAGCAGCAGTAAGAGAAAAAAAATGAAATTTAGATCGATCCAATAAATATACAACATCCGAAAAACATTATGGTACTTTGGATACACACACACACACACACACACACACATTGTGTTGAAAATCTTACGTCATCATTAT